TATAAACAATCAGAAAATGACTATGACTAAAATTTTGTAAAATCGCCTGTTTTTTATTGATTGTTAACTTATTAAATTTAATAAGGGTAATTAAGTGTATCTTTTATCGTGGGTAGATAAAAATAGACCAAAATCAACCATTAGTCATCAAAGGTAAAATTTAACTTTAGAAAAAAAAAATCAATAACAAACTTCAAAAACAGACAACCCCACCCCAATAAAAAACAACTCTGGAAAAAGAAATCTAGGTCAAGTTGTTATAAAGTATGAATAAATAGATCATACAATTAATATGCTAGACAGGGGCGAGTTCTTTTTTCTCCGTTGAATTAATGTTATACCTGCACTGCAGGGGGAAAACAACTTTTTATAAAAGCGTTGTAGCAAGAATTTCTAGAACTGAGTAGGGAACATTTATATTAAATTAAAAGAAAAAAATCATTATTATTTTGCGAAAAGATAATATTGTACAAAAAGAAAACAAATGATACAGCTCAAGATGTGGGGCTATATTTACGAAAATTTGTCTCGCATGTTCGCTGTCGGAAATATACTGCAAGGTATTAAGGTGAAATTGGTAATAAAAAATATTATATTGCTGAAGATATGGGGTTGTATTTGTGAAAATGTTGTATAAAATTTGTCTGTCATGCACTGTCATAAATGTACTGCAAGAAAAAAGCTCAAAATGCCAAAACGTTGTGGAAACTACAGCAAGCAATTTAGGAAACTTTAAAATTAAAAAGGTGTAAAATAAAGATAACAATCAAATTGCTGAAGACGACAGGTTCTATTTGTGAAAATACTATATACAATTTGTCTGGCGTCCCCTGGCGAGAAATATACTGCTGCAAAAAGGGCAATAATGTCAAAAGGATGTGGCATCTGCAGCAATCAATTAGAGAACTTTAAGGTAAAAAATGGTAAGAAAAAAATATGATATGATGAAAATGTGGGGTTGTATTTATGAAAACTTGTCTGGTATGTTACCTATGATGGATGTAATGCAGCAAAAAAAAAGTTAATAATGCCCAAATGTAGCAACCACTTTTTTAGGTACAATGATGTGAAAATTATGTAAAATATAGAAAAATATCATCATAGTCTCGTGGTGTATTTATGAAAGTATTACATCTAATTTGTAATGTCTACTGAGATGAATGAATATACTGCAGTAAGCAATTTAGCGAACTTGAAGGTGATAAATGGTGAAAGAAAAAAAATTAAATGATTCTACATTATATGGAGGGGTTTATTAATGAAAATTTTGCATCAGATCTGTCATTGTTCACTGTGATGAATGCACTAAAGGGGAAAAAATCATCAGTATTTAGTCAAATTGGGAGGGAAATAAATATAATAAAAACTGGACAAATAAAATTCTAGGCAAATTCGGCCACGTTATGTATACGCCAGCATGAATACATGATCCTTAGAAATTTAGCTTATTTTCTAGGTTAAAATTTAAAACTTCTGAATGTCTGGTGAGGTTGGTGTAAATTTGTACAATCGAGTGTTATGTATGTTTAGTCAGGTCATTTCAGTGTAAAATTTGTCTCAACGCTTTTGAAAGTAATCCGTGTTTCTTTACCGATAGAATTTTAAAAGCCAGTAAATTTTAAATTTCAGGATATATAAACAGTTAACGTTTTATAAAAGAATAGCTTTTTAAAAAATGTGTAGGCTTATAGTGTATTGAAAGTTTATATATGTCCCTGTTAAAAAGTCGGTTATTTTTTCGTGGGAATTTTTTTGTAACATTTTATTTATTTATTTTTTTAGTAACAAATCCTTTTTATTATTTCTTAATGATAAGAGCTGGAGGACGAGGACAAAGCTTTAACAGGTCAAAGGTTAAGTTCAAGACTCTCAGTAACGAGTGGCAGGTGGATCGAGTTTGTGTACGTCGTTTAATTTACACTTTACACTTTACACTTTAAGCTTTACAGATGGATCCGTCACGTAACAGAGCCCGGGAGTCGGTTAAAACAATTAGCCCGGGGAGGGATCGATGTCGAAAATGTTCCGGGACAGACGGAAGAGAAAAAAATTGGCATTTTCTTATAATGGATTTTTAAGGGAATAATTTATTTTAAAAAAAAGACCAAGAAGGTGGAAAAGTAGAAAAAATTTAACCACTTGAGAGAATGACAAATAAACACAAGATTCACGCCGAGGGGTGTTTCGTCATAGGCTTTAAAAATGGGGATTGCAAAAAAAAAAGCAAACAAGTAGAGATAAGGATGTTTTTAATTAAAAAAAAAGAAAAAAAATATTTTAAAAAAAACTTACGTCCCCAGTAGTTCTTTGAGGTTATACTTTTCCTCGAGAGTGTGGGATTTCTCCTTGTCGGCGTCCTTGCCATCCTTCTTGGACTTTTTAGCAGCGTCCTTTTTCCCGAAGAGTGGCATTTTTGTGACGGACAAGTAAAGAGAAAAAAGAACTCCTAAAACGCCAACTTCACATACAGTAGGGGTGATAAAAAAAACAAAAAACAAAAAAAAACAATGACAGTTAGGATGATTTTGTCATGACAGTAAGGTCTCTCGACGTTGGGTATAATCTACTCGTCTTTCTAATCAGTGTTGGGCATGCTCGCAACCTCTTCGAAAAAAGACGTTTAACGATTATGGGAAGAACATGGCGCGTTGAGAACGAGTTTGAGTCTCCTTCGTCTGCCCGTCGAAACTGAAACCTGGAACCTGGTTGCTCGGGCCTTGGGCTCGCGGTGGCCTGGCGACGGCGACGGCGCTCCCTACTCCGCCACCGGACTCGCTTCCCTCCATCTACGAATTTGTATTTTGTCACTTAGCGAAACCCGACGGCCCCATCTAGCCATGTAGTCGTGTCTCTTCCCGTAACGGTCCCACGTGCGATAAACATTAATTAACCTAGAACGACGAATAGCGGAATTCCTTTTCAGTTCCTCACTGAAGAAGACCACCCCAAATTATAGACTATTTGAGGTGACAGGCATTGGCGAATCATAGCTGAAGTCATTAGTAAGAAAACTGGCAAAAACGACTAGGAAAAAAAGGGTGCAGATAATAGTTGATGGATAAGGCAGCCTCTAGTTTGCAGGATAGAAAGTCAACCTACAGAACATTCCGCCATTTCCGAGGAAATGTAAAATTTCTTCTTTTGGTTTTGCAGGATAGACATTATTGGTTTTTTGGCTTTTTTTAATACCCACAGTTGTGGATGAAATGCTGAAAAGCGTCGCAGAAACTATCACATATTTCAAAAGTCATTACTGGCTACACACCACTAAAAGTATAAAAACTATTTGTAGTTGGTTACATACATTGACAAATCGTAAGGGAAGTCATTAGAAAGAAAACTGGCAAAACAACTAGAGAAAAAAGTGGAAGATGATAATTGATGAACAAGACAGTCTCTAGTTTGCAGGATAGCAAATGGACCCATATAACAGTCTGAATTCTAAAATATCTCAATGAGGTCTGCAGGATGATGAAGATTAGCCGTTTTGAGATTAGTTTTGGCTCATTCAGCTTTTTTATGAAACTCAGTTATCGGTGAAATGCAACTCAGAGGTCATTACATATATCAAATAAATAAAAAGGATTTGGTTGAACTGCTACTGTTGATGAAACATCTCTGATAGATCAAAACTGTGATGATAGGTAGGCTAAAAATGCTCAGAAAGGACCACGTAAAGCTTAGGAGAATGCTTCATTGATCAAGGAAATGCAATCATTCCAAACAGTAAACAATATCCAAGATAAGAGGACAAGTACAAAGAGCATACCAACAGAAGCCTGTGCAGATGTTGTCAGGAAAAGAAGAAACAGTAGAACTTGTCTTCTGATGGTGCAAAAGCAGGATCAGAATCCTACTCCTGGGAGAGGAAAAGCCAAGGACAGAGCCATGCGAAAAAATTCATCAAAGTACCATCACAAAAACTAACGTCAAAACTACTAAACTTAGAACGTGTAAGTACTAGAATGATACAACTTATACTGGGCACTGAAGAGTTGAGAAACATATGTGCAAACTCGGAGCAGCAAACGCTTGTGCAGATATTGATAGGAAGCAAGAAACAAATCTTTGGGATCTCATAAAAAAGTGCATAAAATGCAGAGCTTAACAATAATGGAGATTGCACAATAGACCAAGGTCGTAAAGTGATCATTTTAACCTTAATCAGAAACTCGAAAAAAGACTTGTAGTGGCAAAGGATTCCAAGTTACATAATTTTTTTTCATTTCTCCGGGCTCGTCATAAGATCAGACAGACAAGAAGCCCTCCAAAACCTGGGAAAACACAACCTGACATAAAGGAGTTCTGGATAGTGAATAAGCAGACAATTGGCCAGAGGTGCAAGACTTAAAAGCCCAGAACCTATTCCTATATTTAAAGATATCAAGATCAAACACAGACACCCCATCTTAGATAGGTCCACAAAAAATAAATGGAAACGTAGACGAAATCCAGAGGTTCAAAATTCAGCACACTGTCCTCCTCGTGTAGAAATGTGTAGTATTTAGTGACCATTAATTAATGATTATTTGGAGGTCATGAAATGCCATCTTGTGTGACATAGGTGTAGAAAAACATCTTTAAAATCTTTATTTAGATCATCTTCAGGGCCTGACATTTACACTTTTAGTGAGTACAAATATTTGCATAAATGTGTGGTGTTTAGTGACCATTAGGCAATGATTATTTGGAGATCGTGAGATGAGATCTGGTGTGAAGTAGGTTTTAGAAAAACATTTTCTTTATTGTGCCAACGTTTCCATCTTTATTGAGATCATCTTCAGGGCCTGGGATTTATAAACATTGTTTAAATTTTACAAATACATGTAGTATTTTAGATTTTAAAAAATGAATTTATACAATGCTAGAAAATTTTAGATTAAAAAAAAGGAATTTATACAATGCTAGAAAATTTTAGATTCAATCAAAGTATTTGTGCTCACTCAAAGTGTTTGTTTTCCATGTAGATGTGTCATTTTTGTGTGTCATGTTGAGTGCCAGTGAGATATTGCTTTCAACATGACACTCATTAACATTATGTTTATACTCTATAAATAGGTATTTAATAATTGTGTTTAGTTTAATCTCTTGCAAATGTATAACTTAAGTTTTAAATTATTCATATGGATAAATTTGTATTTTTTTAATTCAAAATGTATTCTATTTTGGGCATCAGCCCGTTTAAATAAATAAATAACCGGATTTTCCGTACATCAGATGGACCGGACAGACAGCATGGATCTGTGTGGTAGTTCGTTTTTGGATTTCGCTCCAAAACTCTTTTGTCGGATCGATTCTTTTGATCGATATCTATTACGTTCGTTCACCGATCTCGTTCAGATTCTCCTTCGCCCGATTCCCCGGTTTCGTTCGACGCGGATGGTGGGATCGTTTTGAATAGGAAATAATCTTCCATAACGGCCAGAACCGTCGAAAATCGAAATATGGCCAAGATATTCGAACAGGAGCTGCCAGGCGAAGGATCCGTTCTTGTGGCTGTCGCTTTCAACGTGCACGGCACTCGGATGGCTACCAGCACCTCTGACAGAGCCGTCAAGGTATTTTCAAAAAATGACAACTAATATTTGATTTTTTCCAACGTTTTAGTTAAGATTTTTAGCTAAAAGAAAACTCCGGTCTATTGGTAGTAGTCTATTAAAATCTTTCTATTATTGCCTTGGCTAAAGAATACATATTTTTCAAGTACACCCCAGACTACATGGTATTGGCATCTTTTATATTGAAAAACAGAGATAAATGGGACTCTGTTCCTAAGAAATTAAACTTAAAAGGGCGCACAGATAGACTCCTCTACCTTCAACATAAAGCTGGTCTGGGAATGCCTAGCATATCACTTAAATGAAATCTAGTAACTCTGATGTGGGCGCCAGGACATGAGGGATTGAGGGCAGGTTGTCAAACTAGCAAAAAAGAAACTGCTCGCACACCCTTCGAGTCAGAACTGCAAATCAGCATTTGCAGTTTTGTCATGAAAAAACAGAGATATGGGAACATATCCTGTATGACTAGTGCATTAGCCCGGAAATGTAACAGCCTTTTCAGAAAGGTAATACTAACCCTAGGGAAATTAGTGAAGAGCAACTCTTGAAAGTACTTAACTATTTTAGTAGTACTCTTTCTTGGGTATGAAAATAATGAAGAGTCAATTCCATGAGAAGATCTTTTAGGTCGCACTAAAAGACTAAAGTCATCTGTGATCCCAAGGAAAAGAAAATGATATACATCTTTCAAATACTTTGCCCAACCAGCATTTTTTCCACTTAAGGTTGGACTTCTGAAAAAGTATTATATTCTCAGATGATTGTAAGTTTAAAATTTTTGAATAAATTGTGAGTTTTCCTCCTGTGTTTTCCAAAACCTGGTGGAACAATACCCCAGGCATGAGGCACACAAAGAGATGTGTAACGGCAACAGAGCCAGCATTCTGATTGGACTCCTGTCAGGGCTCTGCCGCCTAAGAAAGCACATACACTGGATATGTGTACAGAGGGAAGAAACACTGTGCAGATACCCAGGAAGAAGAGGTGACCTCAGAACACATTTTATGCAGATTCTTGCAACTACGAGAGGAAAAAAGATCCTACGCTAAGGAGCTGCTGGCAAAGCTATGGAGATTGACTAAAAACCTGAAGCTGACCAGTGAGTTGTAAAAAAGAGGAGCACAATAGATCTACTCAAGTTGGGGTGCAGAAGGCCTCGTGTCTGTCTCTTTTATCCATATCCCTCTTGTGGTCTGTAGGGTGATAAACCTATTGTTTGATAGTTACCTATCTTGATTTTTGTTGGTTCAGACGCATTTCGGCATTTCACCATCCTCATGTTTGGATGGCAAAATGCCGAAAGGTGTCTGAACTAACAATAATTAGCAAGGTTAGGCAGACCAAAATGATAGGTAACTATCAAACAATATTTGTGAGTAAGTTTAACATCAACAGAATTGATCCTTTGAAAGTTGTTTTGATTCAATTTAGTGCATTGGTGTGTATAAAAACACTTTGTTCCAACAAAACAACTAAAACAGCCAGAATAATCGAAGAATGGTTCGATTATCATCAAAAATTTACCCAACACTCCACAGTCATCTGATATAAAATCCAAATGAAAATTGATGAGCCATGGTTGAGAGAAAAATTCGAATATTTAAATGTTCCTCAAGCATGAAATTACACCTTATGTGACCATACCTTGTACAATCGTTGTCAAAAAATGCTATATTATTACAAAGGGTTTTCACACAAAATATTTAAAAAAGGTTAAAAAAAGTGAATTGTCATTTTTTGTATTTTAATATAATGCCTAATTATTTTTTTTAACAAGTAATAACACAGAACGTATTATTGAATAGTTCTCATCCAAAGAAGGCTTTAGTTACAAAATAAATATTAATAAAACTGTAAAAAGGGACTGCCTGGTTAACAAATAAATAAAGAGGCATGGGGTGAAATAGTCAATTTCAACACCACAAGATCTGACATTTGCTTTATGAATTCTGAAATTCCACAGGGGTGCGTCTTACGTTCACTTCTATTTGCCATGTACATAAATGAATATGTCTGTTCTGCTTATACTTCCCTTTCATTCCACCTATAGAATGTCAGTTATCTGCATTAATATTTCTGCATTCTCAGCGCAAAACTGAATTAATCAAATTTTAGCAGAATAAGTGGATATTCCAGTAAGTCTTTAGGCTTGACTGACAGTATGATTGATTTGAGAATGCAAAAGGGAAAAAAGTTACAACAAAAATTGAATTTGTACCAAAGATCTAAACATTAAAATTTCTAAAAAGTTGTGTTGTTTAACTTTATGTATTTGCTAGTTTTGGTGAGGGTTCTTTAACCAAGAGTGTACTGGATCTTGAACCTCTGGATTTCGTCTACGTTTCCTTTTATTTTTTGTGAACCTATTCTGAGATGGCGATGTCTGTGTTTAATATTAATATCTATGTAACCCATTGGGCCTATTGTAATATTAAAAAGTAAATTAAACTTTGAAATTAAATAATTAAATTCTTAACATAATTAACAAAAAATGCAGAAAAGGGGAAAATTACTTTCTGTGAGGAGAAATGCTTCACTCACCTTTACAATTCGCTCTTGCAGGATTATGCCCATCAGTCCGCTCCAAGGCCTTAGCGTTTTTCATCAGGAATGATGAGGACAATGCAGTGGACACTTTGGCTGTGAAACATAGACCGCACTTCTCGAGAGGTGATTTTCTCGTGTTGAAAATAAAAGGAGAAATACTTCTTTGAGAGGAGAAAGACATTGACTAACTGTTAGATATTAACAACATCAAGGCGCACTGGCCAGAGAAAAATAATTTACTCCCCAAAAGCGGACTGTATCATGTTCTTAACACAGCCTGTTGGCGAGCTTCTCATCCAGTGAGCCAATCAGAGGTCAGAGGGCTTAAAATAAGGAGAACAGATTTGAATATTAATAAGAATTTTCATTGACTAATTTTTAATAAGAAAATAAAATTAATTGTGCTTCAGCATCAACATTATCTTTAAGTATAGGTGTGTAGGTTCTGGGCTTATAAGTCTTGCACCTTATGAGGATTTGTTGTCAGTGCAAGCAGTGGAAGAGAGGGAGACTAAAGTCATCAGAGATCCCGGAGAAAAAAAAATGCATCTTTCAAATCTTTTACTCCTACAAGCCTTTATTCAAGTTCAGTTAATCTATAATTTTCTCTTAGTGGTCATAATTGACTATATTAATTATTCTTTTTATATAAGATTTTTGGTTGAGATGAAAAATTAGTACCACGAGCAGGATTTGAACCCATGACCTTCAGCTTAATATGCCGCTGCTCTAACCACTTAAGCTATTGTGACTTCTGAAGGACCACTTTATGACCTTGCGCTACCAATATTGATCGATTGTGCAATTTCCATTATTGTTTAGAGCTCTTCGTTAAGCTTAAGCCTTTTGTTATCAGATCCCAAAGATTTGATTCTTGCTTCCTATCAATATCTGCACAAGCTTCTGCTCCTCCGAGTTGCACATATGCCTCTCGACTCTAATGCCCAGTCAGCAGTCCTGTCATTCTACTCCTTACACGCCCTAGGTTTAGTAGTTCTGACATTAGTTTTTTTATGATGGTACTTTGATGAACTTTTTTGCATGTCTCTGTCCTTGACCTTCCCTCTCCCAGGAGCAGGATTCTTCTGCGTTAGCACCATCAGAAGACAGGTTCTGCTGTTTCTTATTCTTCCTGACAATATCTGCTCAGGCTTCTGCTAAGTCTACATACACTTCCAGAGTCTGAAGTATCTAGTCAGGAGTCCTAATATCATTTGTAATATTTGTAGTTCTGCTATTAATTTCTGTCACACAATTTTTTTTTTCATGTTACAATTCCATATGCCACTTTTGTTAATAATGATTTCAGCTATGATTTATCAATGCTTGTCACTACAAAGAGACCTTATATTTCAGGTAATTTGCTGGTAATGCCCTTTTACTTGTCCTCTTAATCTTGGATATTGCCTATTGTTTGGAATGATTGCATTTTGTGAAAATAGTGGCCAAAGTATGCAAATGATGAGTGGTTATGCTTCTTCTGATTTTACTTTTCTTGTTTCCTTGATTCAGTACTCAAAAAACATTCTCCTAAGATATACTTGGTCTTTTCTGAACAATTTTAGTTTGCCTGTCCTCACTGTTTTGGTCTCAAAGTTGTTCAGCTTTACACCATCACTGCTACTAGTTCAACAATGTCCATTTTATTGGTGGTCTCACGAGTTTAAAAAATTATAACAAATGACCAAGGTAAGAGTTCATGGAGAAGAAATCTGAAAATTTCTCAATGTTTCCAGACCATCCTATGGGTTTGTTTGTCATCCTGCAAACTAGTGTCTGACTTATCCATCAACTGTCATCTGCCAACTTTTTTCCTAGTCATTTGTATAAATTTTCTTACTGATGAAATCAGCATATAATTAGTTCATTACACCCTTTTAGGTTCACAATGGGTTCTCCAAATTTTGTTCCTTAGTTGTCCCAATCCAGCTTCGTTAACCATTATTAGACCAATATAACCATTATTTTGTAAGACTATTCCACTAGTTTATATCATGGTCTAATCTTTGTTAATATTTTAGATTTGGGATTATGATGGTTCAGAATCAAAGCCATGGAAAAGTGTAGCTGTTTGGAAAGATGCGTATGGCACTGTATCCCATTTGTCCTGGGGACATCCACAAATAGGCCAATTCCTTGCAATGTCCTGCTGTGACAGAAGAATCATTATTTGCAAAGAAATGTGTAATGTATTTTTTTAATTGTTATTAATTAAAGTTTATTGATAATTAATTAACAAAACATAAATAATTACGTTTTTTAAAATATTTTTTAGCTTCCAAGTCTAATTCTATATATTTAGAGCTCCAATCGTGGAAAAATGTATTTACAATTGTTTTACCACATTTCCCGGCTACAGATATACAGTTTTCACCTATTGAAATGGGCTTGATATTAGCTGTAAGCACAACAGATGGAAAAATATGGCTGTATAGTGCGCCTTCAGACAATCTGTATAATTGGGAAATGGTTCAATCGGTTTATATTCCTTTCAAATGTACAAAGTTAATATGGAATCCTTCATATAAAAGGTACTATTTTAAGAATTCTAATAATAATTAACTTTAAATTAAGCTCAAAGCTTTAAAATTGTTAGATATAATTGAAAGTAGCTATTAAAAAAAGTTACTTGTAAGAAATTATCAACAATACAATCAATTCCTTCAAAAAGTAAGGAATAGTTTATGACATTGATTCGAATTCATGAAACTTTTCTTAAATGTAACAATTTTTATTGTTTAATCATTTCTAGAGAAAAACTCCCGAAAAATAGATCTATTATTAAAGTACATCAAGAACAAAAGAAACGCCCACTTCCTAGAGATTATATAAGGAACGCTTTGAGAATAGGAAGACCAACAAGGTAAATAAATTATACAGACATTATCTCACAGGACAAAGGATTTTGTGGTGATACTATTCGAAAAATATTAGACATGTGTCAGAGCATTCTTGCCAATGGCCCCCAGGAGCTAAAAATATTATTGTTGTTTTAGCATAATTCAAGTAACATTTTAAAAATATGGCTTTTTGCCATTTTTGTGTGTATGTATTATATATATATTTTTTTTAGTTTTACGCACCCTTTAATACAAATTTTGATAGCATATAAAAAATACACATTTTTAGAGTCTATTAGCATGTGGTAATTTTTTTTTCTCAATATCCGTAATTCTGCGTAAAAATTAATAACTCCAAACTCCACTAGATTTTAACCAAATTCAACAGTATTACATCCGTTGTAAAGCTGAATATCTCCTCTTTTAGACTATTTCAACAATGTTTAAATTTTAAGTCATCACAAATGAGAAAAAAAGACAAAAAAATGAAAAAGGTGTTTTTCTACCTATATTACCTCTTTCTTGAGCCCTCCTCATGGCTTCAACAAATTAAGAGAAAACAATTTTTTAATTTTTTTTTTTAATTTTATTTTTATTTATTTTTTAGAACAGCATATGATCCTAATGAGCTACCCAAAATGCCATTCGTCCCCACTGACAACGACCAATATATTTTAATGTAAGTAAAATTTATTTCATTTATTCACATGATCCTATTTACAATTACATAAAGTAATTATTACAATTTGTGTAAAATTGTTAGGCTATTCTAATTTTTGAAATCATTACTAAATTAGTTCGTAAGATTATATTCATAAATCTTTCATTTGCATCATACTGGCAGATGAAGTCAGAAGATGTAACACTAGTAACTGGCAACATGTAATAAAATTTAAAAAAAAAAAACCCCTAGATTGCTTGTACCGTCCTTTTTTAACAGGCTTTGTTACTAAGCGATATCGTACCCAAGAGCAAGTTATACTACACGAAGTGACTTGACAGCTTTGAATTCAGCCAGGTATATAATGTAAAAAATGATGCAGTACATATTTTACCCCGATTTGAATCATAAGAAACCTGGTTATCTCAACATTGTCATATTTTTGTTGTTTCATGTAATAACACTTGAGAATATTTGTTTCAGCCCGCAACATCAAATGTTAGCTGCTATATCTGATGAACCTTCCAAAAATGGCAAAGGCCTAATTAGTTTTGTTCAGTACTTCCCGGCAGCAAAACAGTGGTACCCTTTGTCTGTGAAATTCGATGGAAAAGAGCCAGTTTATGATCTTTCTTTCATACCGAGGCTAAATAGGTGTTACGATATGTTTCTTGTCGCAAGTGGTCAAATTCATCTTTACACACTGTTTCAAATTTTGTAAGCCATTCTTTCTAATTGTTAATCTGTACACACCTTATTATTCTATAATGTATCATTTAGAAATAAGAATGGCGTCGTTCGCTACCAACTCAATTTAATCAACACATTCGCCAATGAAAAGGAGGGAATATTTAAAGTTAGCTGGGACCTCATTGGTAGTTCTGTTTTCTCGGCTGGAACCGACAAAAGTATACGCCTCTGGCGAGAAAGTGAGTATCTTATTTTCTCATTATAAAATGTGTAAAGCGCTATTTTATTGGACGGCGTTATTTCAGATGAGAAACACAAATTCATTAATACAGCTGTAGTGACACCATCATAAGGCCAGCTCAAGAAAAGTTAAATTTAAACTTAATTATTTTTTACTGTGTAAAATATATAAGGCCGGCTCAAGAAAAGTTAAATTTAAACAATTATTTTTTACTGTGTAAAATATTTAATATGCAAAACTTTTATTTTTTTATTATTACATTTTGTAATTAATCATATATCATCATTGTCATTTTCAACTCTAGTTTTATCTTTTTGCAGAAAGCTATTTGCATTTTGTTAAATAAAAAATGATAAAATGCGATTATATATTTTTATTATACATTTGCCCCATAACAATGTTCATTCTTCAATCTCACCACGTCTTGCTATTAATAAGATAAACAATTTTTAAATCAACTCATAATAAAATTACAAAAGTGTCAAATATTTTCTATTGCATTATTATTTATATTCCTATCTGGAGATCAACTATGCTGTAGGACTGACTTCACAGGAACAGACAACCTGCTAATAATATCTCAGTTGTATCAATAACAACTAAATAAATATGGATGGTTCATTATTCTTACAACCTGTATAAAACCCAATTTAGGTTCAAGAACACAATTAGAACCGACTACTTAGGCCATAAGCCCAAGTAAAACTATATTAGTTAAAGCAATCATTAAAAAACTTGTAAATCTAATTTTATGTTTTTGGGCTGGATATACGATTTCTAGTTTTTTGCGTTACTGGGTTGTCTTTATATAATGATTTAGTCTAGGGTGGGTTTGGTTAAGTAAGCTTAAGCTTAGTACGCACTGAGATTCTTTGAATCGATTCATGTTGCAGGGCAGAGTCGGGGCTGCGTAGATTCATTGTTGCAATGCAGCCCCGACTCTGCTCCGCGACAAAGAACCATGTCCAGACCAAGATTCAGTTCACATTCATCAGTGCCTGCGAAAATGACGGAGGAATTAGCTCTCAGGAATTTCCCTTGCTCTTTTTTGCATTGTACGTAGTGGATCCAATTGGAAGTGCATTAAAATACTGTCCTTTTAAAGAGTGCATTTTTTTTCAATTTCGGCGATGGAAAAACTGAATTTTTGGGTTAAACTGTTCAATGTTTGGCTTTTCAAGTCCCGATTACTGTATTCCATGAACGAATCCCACAAACACCGATGGGAATGCATGTATTCAATAAACTGTAAAGTCAACTCGGTACTCCACAACATACCTTTATACAAGACAGTATCAAAATCTTCAAGAAAACACTAGAATGTCAACTAAACAAATGAAGCAAGAGTGCTTGTTCCAATTCACGTCCGCACTGGCAAATGTTGCGCAACATTGAGTCAAAGAATCCCACATCGGATGGGATTCAAAAGAGTTCGAAAATGCTAGCCCGCAACACACCAGATTCATTGCAACAATGAGTCGGGGCAGGCCCGGACTCAGGCTAGACGCAGCTGAGACTCTCCGGAGATTCAAAGAGTCGCCTCAAAGAATCCCAGTGCATACTAGGCCTTAGAATATGGTGTACATAAGGTAGACAGGCTATAGGTTAGGCACGCTTGTGATATAGGTTAGCTGGCTTACTTACAAAGGAAATGGCTATGATACCTGGGAAAACCATTCTACAACCTCACAAATCTTGCTATTTTCCTCTGAGAAGAATTCTATACTTCATAAAAGAAAGGAATATCACCTAGGAAATCCATTAGATGGGATTGGCACAACAGACAAAAGTTGTGGCAAACAGAAAAGCACTAAAGGAAAATATCCTTATGACTCCATACTGAAAGGATATTGATTAGGGTTAGGTTAGGTAGGCTTAGATGATGTATGAATTAGATTAGATAATACTGATTATTTAGGTTAAAAATTTATGTAAAATCGTATGTCTAGGCTAACAAACCATGTAGCTAGTGGTGGTTGTTGGTGTGCAAATTGGTGAACATTCATTTAACTGGTCACCACTTGATCACTCTACTGTCTTGTCCACATAAAAATATTTTGGCTTGTGAAATGCACACTGAGTGATGATAAGTGAGAGAGTAGACAAGCCCAGTAGTGATAAAATGCCGATCATTGACATGTAAAAAAAAATTTGGTTCAAAAACTCTGTAACATAAAATGTTACATTAGTAATTTTACTAGTAAACAAGTAAAGTAATTTCTGTTGTACTGGAAGGTTTAATTACTCATTGGTTGTATTGAACAAGGGGCCACACTTTTTGATTTTTTTTTTTTCAAAATAAAATTTGAAGGGTTAATTTAAACAACTTGGCCTCCGTACCTCCCCCCCCATTTTTCCAAAGTAAAAACGGATTGAGTGGTTGCAATTGGAGGCTACTTTAAAAAAATCTTGAATTTTTGAAGATAAAAGAAATTTTTTTGGATGGATAAAGGGAACTGAACATTTTTCATAGTATATCTTAAAATAAATTTAAAAATAATCTTCTTTTATAAATATTTTTTTTTACATTTCACATCACACCAAAATTTACAGTATATGCTTTAGTAATAAATACTATATTGGTGCTAAATTTTGTCAGTCGTTATCAGGCTTGAGTTGCTCTCCCTCCTCACTTATATTCCAACTATCATCTTCCAAAAGATATTCACCATAAAAAACCGAATCCTGTAAACAAAGAAATAGCAATAGATTAAATACATCAAATGTTATCTTACCTGATAAAATACTCATTTATATCAATAAATAGCATGCAAATGTACAACCTGTTGCACTGACTTTTCATAGTGACTCATCTCTCATAACAAAAAATGTGCCAGAATAAAGAATAAATCAAAATTAGAAATAGGCGATGTTGATCTTGAACAAAATCAGATTCTACTTAGAACCTGATAAAAGAGAACCACCTACCAAGAATGGTTAAATAATGGTACCTATGTCCTATTCATCTGACAGATTTTCACACTGGAAAAGGTCATTTGAATTAATTCGGTTGATGATTTGATCAGTCGAAAGTCTATCGAGCCAATTTTAGACTTATGTTGAGGTGAGCGGCCCCAAAAGAGGGCTTCTTCTGCTTGGGTTTCTCCTGGGGCCGCTCACCTCAACATAAGTTTAAAATTAGCAATTGATTATCCAACGGCCGACTAAAACAAGGACATGTCTATCGAGCCATTCAAATTTCACAAAAAATGTGTTTTAGCCAGGACCAAAAGTATTGATAAATTACACTTTTTAGTCTCAGATTGATTTTATGCAATTTTACAGCTATATTAAAGGATAAATAAAATATGTAGTTTTCGAGTAATATTTTAAGCTTTCGCAAGAAATAAGCTTTTCACATTAGCGTTTTTTAAGATGTTGAAGACCTTTAACTTCAACCACCAACTTGATCACAGTGCATCAGGAAGAAACATCCTATAAAAATAGTATCCAATTATTTTAGAAAAATTGAATTTTTTAATTAAATAAGATGAAAAATGGGTCCAAAAATATATTAAATAATTTCGCTGGATATGTAAAATTATTTTTTATATTTTCAAAAAGTTTTAACTTAATGGTGACTTGGAATGGCTGATGATTATGTGTTCTAGTTAAAAACAAATAACAAAACAATATGAATATAAAGAAATATGCTGTTTCAATGTACATAGGCAAGTCCGTTTAATTTTTTCTTTTTTTTATATAAACAATTTTACTTGAAACAAATTTCCTATTATAATTTTTCTTCTTTATTACGAAAAATATGTATGCACATACACCTGTATGAATGTTTTTTTTTCTTTTGAGAAAACAATACAATTTAGAAAAACAAAAACCATCAAGAATGAACAATAAGAATTTAAAGAAAAAATATATATTTTTCATAAAGAATATAAAAAGAATGAAACATAGCAAGCTAAACTAAGGAATAGAATAAAATGTGAAATCGTAACAAGATCACTGATTTTTTCTTTTCTTTAACAAACATAAATTACATAAAGCTTTAGTTTCCAATACAAAAACATTACACGATTAGAACACAAAAAAATTAAGCGAATGAAAAGTACATATAGCATAAATTGTCTTGTATGTACATATAAATATGTATTGTATCAGGGAATAATATAATTTATGCTTTTGCATAATGGGATTATTAGATAATCATATTAACAGAAAAATATTGGTAAAGTGAAATTACATTTAAAAAGACAACAAAATACAACACACACATAAGGAGAGATATTTAAATAATCTGACCTTATGGGGTAAAATAATTATCTTCGATGAAATACTCATCGACTTTGTTGTCGATGAAGGACAATAATTCATGGAGTAATAGCATAAAGTGCTCTTCCGTTGTTTCGTCAAATTTGCTGAAACCTATGGCCCAACCTAGTCTGACGAACAGTCTAAGGAAATGCACGGCACCATAAATTTTGGACATTTCAGCATCTTCTCCATGCTCCCTTTCAATAGCGTTATATTGAGCTTCCTCACTCCGATACATTAACTGCGGTCCGACCATTATGTCAAAATATTTTTTAACACCAACTGCCATCTGCCGCCTGCTTAACGTTATATCTTCTGGTTCGCCTTGCTCTTTTGCCTCGGTAATCTGGAGGAAGTCTTGTAAGATTTGATGCACCGTTATCGGTGGAGGTAGTTTCACGAGCATCTTCTCTTTATTAATAACCCTCCAATCTTCAGCGAGGCAGCCAATCAGGTTTGCTGGCAACTCGATATTAATCGTGTTTAAAACCTCATCATCATCCTCCGAATCTGAATCAGAATCAGCTGAGAGAAAACGATCATCAGAATCATCTACTTTATCTTCATCAGGTGGTGGCGAAGGTGCTGGTGGCAGCACCGCATATTCTTCCACCAAAGCTCCTCGCTGAAACCAAAAACAACCTGCTATTCAATTTATTTAGAATATTATCTCATGTGCTTGTGGCTTTGTCAATTTTAATTTTCAAGCAGGTATAACAGCCACATCAAATTTAAGGCAAAATATATCTAATTTATATAACTCATTTTTCTTTGTCACTATCATAGGAAAAACTTCCTTGATTAATTAAAAATTATTTCCGTCCTCCATTTTTTGTCCAATTAGTAAAAAAGAACAACCAATATTTATCATTGTATAAAGCATAGCTGGGTGATTCAAAACTTAAAACCTAGGCTGGGCACAAAAATTGCAAATATGATATAACTGGGGATTTTTCTCACAGAAGATTAACACTATTTTCAAAACAATTAATTAAGGTTAGATACGCCAGCCGAAGATCGTGGGTTCGAATCCTGCTCGTGCCAATAGCTTTTTTTCATCTCAACTAAAAACCTTAATTAATTGTAATGATTTAATTGGTCAAGCAGACCACGAAATTAGTGAATTTATTTTCAAAACGTTGGCACGATAAAGAAAATGTTTTTCTGAAACCTACATCACACCAGACCGCATCTCACGATTTCTGAATAACTATTTTCAAATTTACATTTCAAGAAATGAGTACAAAATAGAAAAGTTGAAAAATAGAAATGCAAGCAAAATAGAAACCTATTGAGAAATTCTACTAACAAAACTATAATTAAATATTATGAACACAATTTAATTAATCAAGCCATGAGTACAGGGTGATCACTACTCATGCAACAATGTCAGGCTGCTTCTACAACTCAACTCCAACAATTAAGTTTGCATGAACCATGGTATGATCTCAACCCTTTCACAGATATTCATCATTTTTTCAACTATCTGTTTTTCGTCATAAATCTACTCATAGCTCAGTTTTACCACCCAATCAAATCGTTAATTCTGTATACTGCAAACAAATAGGGCAAATAAAGTCAGCGATTGAAGAAAAATGACAGGCTAATCTCAAGGGGGATCGTTTTCCACCAGGTTTTCATCCTCACTCTTTACAAATGCGCCAGAACTTAGAGCTTAGTTATGTATTCGATTTTGCCATTTCAAATTTTTCATTTATTCTTGGCTCTGTTAAAATCTTCTAATCGAAAAGCTTTAATTCACATGAGTTCTTCGCTCAAAAACCTGAGAAGTTCTGTGAAGGATGGACTTACAAAATTATTGGAAAGATGGTAAAGGTATTGGGTGTATGCATTAATTTTTTTGCTTTTAAAAACCAAACTTTAAAAAATATAAATGTATTTTATTTTTAATCCAAAATGTAATTTCCTTTGTTTATCTATAGCATACTTCCAACATTCTGATAGCAGAAATTCTTTTTGTAAATGTATGATAGTTTAGACGAGAAGAAACCTGTACGTCTGATTTTCAAAGCATTTTTGTTCAAAAATTCCCCTACATTTTATTTGGTTGTCTAAGGAGTGGAATAAGATCAAATTGGAAGAGCGAGGTCAGGAGTGTATGGAGGGTGGTGCAACCGTTGCCAGCCTAACTCGATGATTTTTCTCTGCGTGTAGCTGTATGTGGCCTGGCATTGTCATGGTGAAACAAATGTCGGGTCTATTCACCTGGGCAGGACACTATTCTTACAACACTGCCCCAAGGCACTAAGGCCCTAGCTGCACACAGTATACCTCTGTTGTAAGGGTTTGATTATGTGGTAATAGTTCCTAATACATTATTCCTCAAATATCCCACCAAGCAGACAAAAGGCCCTTACAAGTGGGCGATACTGCTCATTATGTTAGCATTTCATTTTTCTTGCAAACAGTCCTTCGGCATTTAACATTTTTAACATAAAGGACCCACTTCTCATCCCCAGGACCAAAAAGGAAATAAATCCTTCTGATCCAAATGCCACCAACTATACGGTCTTTCTTGTTCCTGAGGCAATTCATCACAATGTAACCCAGAGATAGAATTTTTCTTTCTATTTTTGTGTGATGTACCTGACATCTCTCTGATAGTTAATCTGTCCTCATCCTCCAATGCGACTAATAAGTCATCGCTTTTAAGCTCCATGATGATGCTGGTCTTTGATTTGTCTCTCTCCATTATGAAAACGGAACCACTGTTAACACACTTCAGCTACTATGTTTCACCATAAATACTACATAAATTTCAACTGGCATCTGCCGCTCTATGTCCCAGATCAAACTTCAACTCAAAATGTTATCTGCTTCCAGCTTGTACAGTTTATTCTAGACTGGCTTTTGACATCGACTTTCTTAACAGTCTCTTTCAATAGAGCTTTTCCCACGATAGGGCTAACAAGGCTAGTAAGCAATAATTGATCGTCTTTGTAAGGATGAAAGTCAAAATTTGAAAAAAGAAACAACTTATGCAAACACCCTAAATATATGAATTTATCATAAAAAACAAGACTTATTTTACAACCCGATACTTTGATATTACTTGTAAAGTGCATTTTAAAGTAATATATTTTTTTTTGGTCTTTTTTCTCTCACAATAACAACCCTAATTTTCCTTGCTTAAACTACAGCTAAGCAAGGTTTTCATTCAATCTTATCAAAATTGATCTAAAACCGTACAATCAACAAAAAGATTTTTAAGTTCGTACCGTATCTTAAAATGATTCATTTTAAATAAATTAAATAATTAAAGATTAAAAAATCAATCTGAGACCATACTGAAATCATTTTATAAAAGATAAGAAAACGATATGATAATGGTTTCATAAGAAAACTTGAAGTTAATAATTAAGTTGAATTGATTTCAGCTACTAAACATTTATTCTACTTATTTTTAAAATTATCATCAAATGTTAAGATGCACTGGTGGGATTTTACTATTGAAATATTGAAAATTACACATTTTTTATTGTCTTATATTTAAAGCAAAGCATTAGGACTACGCTAGACTGCAACGCCTCTAAAATGCAAAAATAACTTTAAGATACTGAATGTGCCATCAAATAATATAAACATTGTTACACTATTTTTTTCTTTCAAGATTTATAATTGTTTATTGCCCGGAGCCTCCCTTTGATGGGCAGGGTTGCTAGTAACACTAGAAAGTAACAATGGACATAGTTGTGTGTAATCCTTTTAAAAAGATAGTTCTACTCAGAGTAAAAAGTATTAAAGTTTTACTGTGAGTAGGAACTCTTTTTAAAAGGATTGAACACCGCACTCACTCTACCATTCATCATTATATCCTACTCTCAGACAGTAACCAACAACACAACACTGATAATGGTAGAAATTAAAATGGCATCTGGTAGTCAAAAACTACCAAGCAATTTTCCCTCAAATTCAAAATTTTCATACACTAGTCTTATCCTTAATTGAATTAAAGATGAAATTCATAATGGAAAAGTGAGACGAGTTAGCACCAAGTTTACTTTTTTCTAATAGGGTCAGTAAATTAGCTGTTATAGATAAGCATAGGACTGACCATACCAGGAAGAGAAAACAGAGAAAGCACCTTTTCATAGATCGACCATTCAGAATAACTTGTCATATCCTTGAATTGTCCAGATAGTAGGCTAGATAGCTAAATATTCCTCTTGGGAGAAAAATTGTAACACTTTCATGGCGAATGAAGTGAAAATTGCAAGATGGACAATTGTGCATTTTTTTAAAATTTTTATTGTGGAAACAAGGAACTGGAGAAGTTCCCCATGAGTACTGGAGCTTTAGAAAATTCAGGTTCTCTTGAGACCCAATCCCACCGGACCTTTCATTCAATTCCACTCTATTTTCATTGTGGCCACCGCTCCCCTTAAATGGTGAGAAAAAACACAAAAAAACAGTGAAAATTAAACCACGAACGCGAAATCTACTATTCAAGAGTCGCCTTAACCACTCGGCTACTACGGCTCCCTTCAACCAGAATATCCTTTCACAACTAGATGAATGAGCAAACCGACATCATAGAGTTACCTAAGTTGAAAATTAACCAAGCTTGTTTGTTATGATATGATAAGATAAGCTAAACATCAAATTGAAAGGGGAAGTTTTTAAAATCCCTGACATAACAGAAAGTTAGTTTAACTGACTTGCATTAGTCCTAGGCATGATTAATGTTTTTGTTAGTCATGACAAAAAATGCTGTCATGGGCGCCAGATTATTTGAAAGATCAGTTTATAGGTAGAAAGTAGGTGTTAAATGAAGTTGAAACCAAAGCTTGAAATGTTTAACTTGACTGATTTTTGCTTGTAAGTTAAAATTAAAAAAAAAAAAAATAATAATAATGGTGATAATGTAAAATATGCCAAAATATGAAAGGAAATTGGTAAAAGTGAGCAGTTTTGAGTTACCTCTTCTTCGTCTTCCTCTGACACTTCGTCGGCATCCTTTTCCTCGGCTGCGATGGACGGTCCCGGATTCTGCGGCTTGAAAGCTGTGATCCTCAGCCGTTTGTGCTTGTCCAAATTGGTCAAGTTCCTCCTCATAAGCCTACTCTCAGCCATCCACTTTTCCCAGTGGCGTCCGGGCCCTTTGTACGAGACCCTGCACAGGATTTCCTCCCTCTGCTCGTCGTACTTGGACTCGACGCAAATCGCCTCGCAAACGACGGCCCCGTGGAAGCAGAGGACCTTCTCGTTCGTCCTGAATTTGAAACGGATCTCTTCCATGGCCGAATCTATAAAAAAAATGGTTGAAATCATTTAGAGGCTGGTTATAGACGAAGACGGTTTTAGTACTGCCTAGGAAACTACCTTATCAACGTCACAAGGGCTTTCGGATAACGCACAAACTAACCCAACCCCAACGGGAATGAGACGAGATCCCGAATGAAGAAAAGCAACAAAACGACCGCTAGCAACTCTAACGCAAGCCGTGACAACTAAACACCACTATTCCTAACAAGGGTTACGATATCGAAACAAAGTATCGAGAGAGTAGTATCGATACGCTTAATAATCCTACCACAAAGTATCGACACTTTCCAAGCATTGCATTGAATGTTTTCTTATTAATTTTGTTTTTCTATCATCCACATTATTAATTTGCTATACTATTTAGTTGAGCCGTTTGAGAAGGAATAACGGGGAGAATTTGAAGGTGTTTTGCCAAGTTAGCAGTATTAACACTTCAGGTTCTTGGATCATTACTTAGCCGAATCTTTATCTAGGCGAGTAAAATAATTGCGAAGAGTAGTAAAGTTCCGTAATCATAGTAAAATTAATTTCATTTAATATCTCTTCACTAACTCACTTACCACCCTCTCCCTCACAAACTTCCACTCCCTCCACCCGTACATAACCCCCTACCCCGAACCCTAAACACATCTTCTCGAACCTAACCCTAGCATCCTTAACTTCTCTACCCCGAACCTTAAACCCTACTCCCCGAAGCTAACCTTACCATCCTTAACCCTTCTCTACCCCGAACCTTAAACCCGGCTCCTCGAACCTAACCGTTCTCTACCCCGAACCTTAAACCCTACTCCCCGAAGCTAACCCTACCTCCTTAACCCTTCTCTACCCCGAACCCTAAACCCGGCTCCTCGAACCTAACCCTACCTCCTTAACCCTTCTCTACCCCGAACCCTAAACCCGGCTCCTCGAACCTAACTCTACCTCCTTAACCCTTCTCTACCCCGAACCTTAAACCCTACTCCCCGAAGCTAACCTTACCATCCTTAACCCTTCTCTACCCCGAACTCTAAACCCGGCTCCTCGAACCTAACCCTACCTCCATAACCCTTCTCTACTCCGAATTGTAAATCCTACTCCCTGAAGCTAACCTTATCATCCCTACCAGCTAACCTCCCCCTACCAGAACCCTAACCCTTCCCCACCTCGAGCCCTAACCCTTAAATTTTTATTTCTGTAGTCATAACAATCCTAGCAGGGGATTGTAAGATCACATACACACTTAACAAACAGCGATCGAGAGGAGAGATGCTGGCCGGCGAGGACAGGTAAGTGAGTGAGAAGGAGAGAGAGAGAGAGAGAGTGAAAGAGGTAGCGACTAGCGTCATATGAAAGACCAAGGCAAGCTTATATTATATCAATTTTCAAAAATTTCTTTTGTCCAGTTAATCCCTAACCTCCTTTCAGTACTAGAAAATAAAATGTCATTTCAGTCTACAGTCTACATTTTTCTTGTATTAAGTATGACATACCTACTGTTTAAAAACGAGGATGAAACAATGTAGAAAATTTTAAATAAATTATTTAACAAAAACAATAATAAAAACTGATTTAAAAAAAAAATCAGAATTGACAATATTCTGATAGGTTTTGTGTATGCAATAATAATAACGCGTTGTGTTGATTTTTTTTTTACATTTTTATTTTTTTAACATCCTCTGTAATCCAAATTTTTCAGTAATATGAATACTCCCTCCTCCTCCACAGTGATTACGTAGCATTACTAAGACAGCAGTGATTTGACCCCTTGTCCGCGATACCTTAATAGGTGGTTAGTTATAAAATCCTACTAAGAAAAATATTTTAAGAAATAAAAATAAACAAAAAATAAGGCAAAAACAATTATTTTATTGATATCATATAAATTTGTGCCAATACCTAAAATATGTAAAATATTTTTTTTTTTTCAAAATGGTTAATTATGCCAAGCCCAGAGACTTGCTATAATTCAGTTTATAAGGTCAGGTATGAGTGACAGGAAGAAAAGTGAGACAAATGTCCATGCCATGGATAGCCAGTTGTTTTGTTGTGGAGCTGGAGGGTTTCCATTAACTTGTTCTTCGTCCGCTGGCCCTGCTCCTTCCACAACAGGTTCGTCCTGAGGCCCGTATCTTAGTCTGTATCTTTCAATTTCAATGTAAAATCTGTAAATTTCAATTTATATGGAACTTAAAATATTGAAAATAGTAAAAAAGTTCACTCACAGTAACACCATCATAGTAACAACCAACAAGAACCGGATCGGAGATGAATAAAAATAGACAAACATAAACAAAACTCCAAAACGGAAGTATATATATATCCATTCAAGAAGATCGCGGTTAAAGTGTTCATCTTCCTCTTCATTTTCCCCTACAGCTGCAGGCTGGGGGTGAATTTGAGCAGCACCATCTAAAATTAGAGATTCTGCTTATTCTACTGTACATAATTGGAAAAAACCTGACATTTTTTAACAATATAGGAAAATACTTAGTAAGTCAACGCCTTTCCCAAGAACACATAAATAAAGTAAGCACACAAACTTTAGTCAGTTTTCTTTATGTAGATTTCTTGATGTTTTCCCAAATTTGAAAGAAAAATAAAGCCAAATTTTTGTATATAGGGTAAATTCATGTCTTACCATCTTGCTCAACTCCTGCGGGCCTTTCAACAAAACCTTCTCCATCTGTTCCTGAACTAGTATCATCAGAGTCGTGTGTGAGGGGAATGTTATACATCAATTCAGTCCTGATAAAAATTAAAACTTTTTTATATTAAGAATTCGTCCAAATTACAAGGGAATGTAAAAAACTTACATTCTTAGATAGCTATTCAAATAATTAATGTATGCTTGATGCACCCATTCAAATTCATCCTCTTGAGACTCTGCATTTCTGTTACCGGATAAACGATTGATGGGACACGAATACCAAGGTGGGTTGGTCAGCATTGATGGGTAATAACATCCGGTGTTTTCAGTAGGCTCTAAAGTGACAAAACACTAAGACTGTGTTATAAAATAAACATATATATATTTTGTAGCTACCAGGACGAGTTGAGGATGCATCACTGCTGGCCTGGAGTGGTGATGGTTGAGTTGGATTTGTAGTGACATTTGTTGTTGCAGGAGCAGGAGATTCAATACCCACATGAGGACGAATTGGGTTTACAGACACCTTAACAGCACAGACTAAGTGAATTGTATTAATTTCCTGTCCATTGTAAGTTTTGATGACATCTGACAGCAAAGTGGTATCAGTAAGTAGTTGCCCGGAATAAATCAATTTCTGATCTTTTGGTAGCTGAAATAATACAAAACAAATAAAACCAAACTTTCAAACAAGCTTAAGAAAAATTTCACATCTTACCGGTCGATTTGGGTAGACTTCGAACAAATGCTCTTTGAGCTGTTTTACTGTCCAATTTCTTTGGCAAGTTATTTTTTGGTCACCAATTAATTGGTTGGGTGCTTTCACCAGAATAATAAGATCAGCAGAGGCCATCTGAAAAGATAAAATATCTTCAAATTAATAAAATATACCTCCAGATCATGACAATAAAAAGTGAAAATATATAACTGCTTTCAACCTATAGAAATGTTTTCCGAAGAAGTAATTAGTTCTTTTACAGAAATATAAAAACAATTTTCTTCTAATTATTGATATTTTTATTAAAATTGTAATAATAGAAACTGAATAAAGAAATAATAGCTTAATCAGAGTAACTTTGTAACGGCAACACATTGGGAATGTCCTATTCTTAGGCGTGCCAAGACAGTTTCTGGGTTCTTCGAATGTCTCTTAAATTGAAAATGTTCCATTAATAACGAATGTGTCTGACTCAGTAATTCTTAAAAGCTCAGGCAAATTGAAAGAGGTTCCTCCCTTGCCATGAGAAAACCATGGTTAAGGTATGCCTATTCTTAGGCATGCTCCATGTTTCTTCTTTACGGCATGTTCAAATTCAGTCAATCACCTTCTGTGATGATTAATTTGGCTGCTCTGTTTGCAAGAGAATTACCACGAATGCGACTATGCCCCAGTATTGTTCAAAGTTCCCCTGGTATAGAAGGAATACGGGAAAATTGCTATGGCCAACAGCCCTGCCAAAAATCTGTATATTACTCAAACCAATAAAATTATATATTAAATTAGATTTTAAACTATTATAAATTGCACATGAAATGCAATTTAATCTATTTAAAACTCCATTGAATTAAAAATTATACTTTAACCATTTAAGTTATTAAATAGTGAATCATTTTAAAACTTGATAATTGATATAAAACAAATGAAATACTGAAATGCATTATGAAATTAATTAATAATAAATTAACCGTAAGCATATATTACGTACAAATAAACTTTCCTTCCTTGAGATCTAGACAAACAACTGTGTTTATCAAGAGAACCATTTCATAAAAAAGTGCCTTTTGAACAGAATGTTTATCCGGATTACAGTAAATACAGTGGTACATTGCCATAGAAAAGCACCTTGCCAGATCCAACAAGTAGAGGCATTAAACATTCGACAAAAACACAAACTGTCATAGTTTCTCAAGAAGTGAACTCGAAACAAGAATGTTTTCTCAGGTTTAATATAACAGAAATAATTTGGAGGTAGCTCATCAAATATGCAAATTATGTTGAAGTTGATGTTAATCAGTGTGTAAGAATAAGATCAATAAATTGTGGATTTGTGTGGGTGTAATGAAAATTTTAAAATGTGTACTATGAATTTGTTCTTATAAATTTTAACTAGTTGCTATGGTATCTGAAAAATTTGTGAATGGTTTCAAAAAAGATTTACTTTTGTTCTAATATAACAAGATTATTTCAATACTTTTGCATATGCACGAATATATTGAACTTTTTTTGACTTCACCATGAATTCACAGATTTACACATTTGCCATTCAATCCAATTAATTCAAACATAATTATAACTTTAATACCTGTCTAATGTTTCACAAATTATCCGCTTCTAAATATTAATAATAGGCCAATGAAACATATGTTCTTAAAAACAATCAAAACATCTGCCATTTTTATTTAAATCATATTCACTGTACACAACATACATACATTTTTTAATGTCTTAATGTAATACAGTACAAAAAAAATTGCAAACTTGGTGAACGGCAATTGAACCAGAAAATACTACACCGACAGGGAAATAACTCCGCCCAATTGATGTTTTTACTTTTCTGGGCTTTGAGAAAAATTCTGTTGTCAATTTTTCTCATTTTTTAAACAATGAACACTTAAACTCTGTCCAAAATTGGATGGAGGATTTTGCACATCCAGCGGCACTTATTAAGGATGGCTGTACCATTAGACATGCTAGTTCCTTGCAATTCTGCAAGATGCAGTTAGGTTTTTCAGGTTCCTACCTTAGTAGGCTCTACGTGCGCTAGGGCAACCAAACCGCAGAACGACTGTTTTATATATATATATATATATTTTTTTTTTTTTTTTTGTTAGAAGTTTAAGAAGTAAAATATATAAACTGCTCAGAAAAGGTTAAATGAGTGGGTTAATGGGGCTTTTCACTCTGTCAGAGAACCTGAACTGCCTAGATGAGCTTCAATTACCAGGCAACCATCAATCTTTAGACAAGTGGTCAGTTGTTCTTTTTATTTGTGAGACAAAATATTTCTCTATGAACTCCGGGTGGCAAATTTTCTCAGTTTTCGAGGTTGGTTTGGGCAGGAATTTGAATGGAGAGTAAGTTGGTTGTGGTTCATAGAGGTTCTTTGTCATTTTGGTATTGTGTGACCAAGGTGACATCAGCAAAAATGTTCTTCATATGCGTGATAATGCCCCCCCCCACCATGTTGCTCACATAGTCCTAATGTTTCTGCAAAAACATGTTAATGTTTTAACCAGTCTTAAATCCCATCAAACATAGGTTAAGCTCAGAGATAAGGAATAACTTGTGAAGCCCTTCCTGATATAGACCAGAATCTTGAAAGGGCTCTTCTAAAAGAACAGAAGAATTTTGCACTTAAATTTCATCTGTTGTGTCTAATCTCTGCTAATGATTTTTCTGGAAGATTTTCAATTTTTTAATGATCTCGCATCTCGATTGCGGTCTAGAGCTCCTCATTACAAGATCCCAACTCTTGTGTACATCCTTCAGGCCTTTTCCTCACCCAGGTTCCACTGACTCTTCTTCCTGGCAATATCTGCCCAGGTTGGTTTCTGCCACTCCGAGTCTATACATATGCAACCAGATCTGCAGTGGCCAGCAGACCTACTACTATTTTAGTCCTAACTCATCCTAGATTTAATAGTACTGCCATTAGTTTCTGATGAATGATCATTTGATGTGCTTTCTCACATGCCTCCGTCCTAAGCTACATTTGAATGGAGGACTTAGTTTTAATCCATTGTCTCATGGACTGAGTCGACTGCTAACTGGCTGTTAGAACTGAGTCAATCTTCAAGGAAATTTGAGATCGCCAGTAAAAACTTAAATATGTCAATCTGTAAACATATTTAAGATTGTTTTGCTCTGATGATGATCTTAAAATAGGTCGAAAGCTTGGCAGTAAAAACTTAATTTGCTTTCTTTCAAGACCATACCTTGATCCAGAGTGTCCATGAATATAGTTTTACTCAGTTAAATTTTTTATTTAGCTATACCTATAGCTTTCTTTAAAAATATCTAGTAAACAACAAAAATATAAAAAATAAGTATTGCACCTTAAAAATTAATAATAATAATAATAATAAGTATTGCAACTATTTACTTAAATAATAATTAAAGAGGGTGGCCATTATTTTTGCATCTCAGTATTGATAGGTTAATTTGTCCCTTAAATGATTTGAAAAGATCTTTAGTACATAAGAGAAGTGCAGCTTTAATCTGAATGTGAACATGTGTCTTGCCATTTATAAATGCAAAAAGTATGTCGGTGTATTATTAGGCAGACAAAACATCCGTTTAATAAATAATCTTTGCATTTTCTCAAGCTCCTCATAGCACTCATATCACCATACTTGACAACCATGACAAATAATAGCCCACAACACTGCATCAAAAATTTTATACATGCACGGATGTCGATTCCACTCCATACCATAACTGACTTTTTGACTGTGACGCATGTTACATGAAGCAAAGCGTTCGCTACACCTTTTCTACACAGTCCCAGCAATATGATTGGCACAATCCAATCTGGCACCCATCTGTGAAGAGAACCACCATTATTCAGGTGTCCAAGCAAGATCTGCGAATAGTCTCCTTTCCACTCAATGCTTCTCCTCTAGAAGAGAACCTATAGGATGTCTAGAGACTAGGCTATTCTCACGAAGCCGACGATGACTATTTTACGGCTCATCCTTACAATACAAACTGTTTGGAGTGACAAAGCAATAAGCAATCGTCTCTAAAATTCAGTGGCCCTTAAACCACTGTATCGTGGACAGTAGAACGCAACACACACGATTTGGGCTATGTAACGCTATGTCCTTCGTTTGCGAAAGCATCAGTCTGCATCTGCTAGACTTAAAACCATGCTTTTACTTAATAATTACTATGAGTTCTAAGTAGTTCCTCTTTTTTCTTACTTATGTAATTTGTTAATATATGTTTTGTGTTCTAAGATGCTATCAAATTAATGAATTCCAGCAGGTGTAAATAATTAATAAAAAGAGGTTTTGTAGCAAACAAAAGTGAAAACAGGTTTCCAGGACATGACTAATATTATAAACAGACAATATCTAAAGGGTCTAAAGCAATTATATTATCAACTAACTCTTTATTCTAGATAGTTTTGTTAAAAAACTTATAAATAATAAATAAATACAAACCAGGAGATCTTACCCTTTGTAGGCAAATGAAATATTGATGCGTAAAAAAAATTAAAAAGCTGTAAAAGAATGCAAAGAACTGACGTGTATATTCTTGTTAGGTAAATGTAAACAAATAAATTCACCTTTATTGATGATCAATGCTGATTCTTAATATTTTATTTCACCCCCTCGAGTTATCCACATCTGGAATTGATATTTGGAGGCATTTTAGTGGAATAGAGATCCACGAGCCATCCCAAATCGGCTGGCAAGGTGACCCACTGATCGATGCCTTTGTGAATATAGGGAATTGAGCCCAAAACAATTGGGCACAATCTTATCTTGGGCTATCTTGACAAATGTGGGTAAAACGTTGGCCAAAATATATAGGGTGCCGATGGCGTATCAATTCCTAAAGTGACGTCATTTTTGGAGATGAGTTTTCTGACTAAATTCAAACTCGCATAAAAAATTATTTTGTCTAATCACAAAGAATATTTGTTTATTTTAGAGATACAAATAGGGCTTAAAGCCCCCTCACACGTACATATCTTAGAAATAAATTTAGTTGTATAAACATAGTTAAATAATACTATTATTATAGCAATAATAATAATAATAATAATAAAACTGATAGTTAATGCTATGTGGTCGATCTGGGTCACTCACAATTTAGTGCCCCTTTCTCAGGAGTCCAGTTTTTTAATGCGTTCACTTAATTACTTGTAAAGTAGCTCAAGTTTGGAGGTTTGCTCTAGCTTGGTTTTGAATGTAGTGCTGTGGAATATTTTCATACTACTCAAACAGCACCATTCTAAATTCCTGCAAATTCCCTAGCATCAGTGGGGCGACTTTTTACCCTCTTTCACAACTCATCTCTTGATAGGGTTTAAGTTGAGACTACAAGCTGGCCACTTCAAATGTAGCTCGTTCTAAATATTCGCCAATGATCCTATCTGGGTGGGGCCTTGTCATGCATAAAAATAAAACCATCACCAATTAGTGACATATAAGGAACAACTTCTGATAACACTCTTCAATGCATGGCATAAGTGTTCGGGAACCCTCGATGAAGATCAAGTTAGAGCGACCTTCCATAGAAATGCTTGCTCAAATCAAAACACTACCACCTCCATAGCTTCTTCTCCAGGATGAAAATGTTGTGGAGATGTATCGCTCTTGTTTTTCTCCAAACCGTCTCTCAGCTGACAGAAGACCGCAAACAAAACCTTGACTCATCCAAAAACAAGATTTTAGTTCAATCTTACTCAGACCAATTGATTTGTTGTATTGCGAAACTTAACTGAACTGTTCTGTACTTTGTCAAAAGTTCTGCATGGCCTTCTCGCACTTAATCCAGCTTCTGAAAGTCTTCGTCTTACAGTGTCATTAACATTTCTAACTTGTTGAAGTTGTTGCTTGATCTTAACAGTGGTAAAATGTCGATCACGGCATTCATTCGAAACAATAAAATGATCAACTCTCTGAGATATGACACAGTGGCGACCTTATTCATGCTTTCTTGAGTAACCTCCAGTATCTTAATAGCGATGGAAGACCCTTTGGACAATTGTTAAGTACCGTGGCCACATACGCTTGACTTCTTCCATTTTCCAACAATGCTATGATTGTATCACTCAAACAAAAGCTTAAAAATGGTACAACTTAAAAATAACAAACCATCGTTACATTAGAAAGAAACTTTACAGAAAAACCAGCAAAAAGAGACTATTCAAAAATTTATGGACGAGTGGAAGATTTTATTTGTGTCTTATTTACCAGTAATCCTTAAAAAAGAACCAAAGTAATTAAGTTAATTAATGGAGGATTATCTAAGAGATAATTCAAAATATTAAGGGTGGCTACTTTTTCCTCTCAGTGTATGTGCTTTATGTAAAGGCCGATGTAGACCTTCTTTTGGTTTTTAAGTTTAAACTCCATTTTAAGTATGTGCTGAGAAGGATTACACAGACCTCCAGCCTCCTGACTTACCAACTAAAAACACCATTGCGACTTCAGTCCTTCATTAGATGATTTATCTCTCTGGAAAAACCAACTATCAAATTTAATATTAAAGATGAGAATAATACTTCAGGAATAGTCTTTGGTGAATGCTAGAGAATCAAGTACATTATATGTAAATTATTTTCATTCACGAATGAACTGCTGATTAGCTTGATAGATCTGTGTTGGATATTTAAAATGAGGGGTGAATTACATTACCTAAGTTTCACTCGATGGTTTGAAAGGAGGGTTGAGCTATGTTCATTGTGTAAATTAGGGGCAAGAGAGGGTTATTATTATAGCAAAATTATGAAGCACTCTCCAGATGACAGATACCCTAGCTGTATGTGTTGTATTTACCTTCTTTTTTTACTAGGTAAATTCATAAATATTCTTACATGAAGTATCTTATTACATTAATAATAATAATAATAAAGCATTCAAAATAATAATGATTTGGAATGAAAGCTCAAATCTGCACATGTATGTACATGCTTAGTAACAAAAGGGTCTCTGCCCGCCACCCTTGGTATTTGTAAAAATTATTATGGGTATAAACGTATTATTTTTTCAATTAAACAAACATAACACATTGAAACAGCAAACTCAGACAATTTATTTAGCACTCTCAAAAATTCTACAAATAAATTTTGATAGCAACAATAAAAGTATAACGGTTTTAGAGCAATTATTGGATGCAAAAAAGTCTACCCACTCTTGGCTGTTGAACAGAGAGATTCATAGTTTAAATTAATATGTTGAGGACCATAGCTTCAGTAAACAATGAGAAATGTACACAATGGTTCAGTAACCGATAACAAATTGTCAAAATAGCACCAATTGAACTACGACTTGATATATGCGAATTAATTATGAAATTACAATCTCACGGCAAATATTTGTGTGCAATTAGTAAAATAGTTGATTATGGGCCCTCAATTATGTGACAGACTGAACAGGTACTGTGAATTAAGAAATGTAAAGAATAGCTGCCGATCAGGCAGGCCGGAAAAACTATCGTGTACATAAACATGTTATTCTGTGGACCATAAGAGACGCTGTATCTCTCCCTGGGTGTCTCTCTCTCCATACTTGTACAATATTCATGAGTACTGAACATTGCGTAAATCACAAATCATTCGTTCATTGGTCAAGGCCATTAATAAAACAGAAAATAACTTCATTTATTTATTTTGATTTGTATAATTGAAGATTTAATAAACTTTTTTTTGGATAAGCAAGTTTTCCTTTTTGTTTCAATAATGGCTTTTCATTTTATTTTTCCCTCATGCCACCTGCGCACTCTGCTTATTGGCCGGACTTGAGCTAGAAGAAGTTGGGCTTGCAGATCCTCCTGAGAGGAACCTCTGAGGACTTTGAGACTACCAATCCTCCAGGAAGTAAGGAGCAAGCTGACACCATTGGAATTTCAGAATCTACCCGCAGAAGAGTAGTCCTTATGGCTGAAATATATATATATTTTTTTAAATTAAACACATGAACAATATGTGAATAAATTATCAATGTAAGGTTTAGACGTGTTTCCTAGTGACCTGTTGTTTCATAATTTGTTGAAGTCGTGAGGAGTGGTCAAGAATGAGGTATTTTAGAAAAACACCTTTTTCTAGATTTGGAGGAATTCTTGATTCAGCTGGTCAAGAGAGTCGTTAAAGACGTCAATATTGTTACTAATTTTTTTTTCTGGTCCGGCTGTTTTTATAAATCTAAGTCCTACTTTAATTTGCTGAAGTCGTGAGGAGTGGTCAAGCATGAGGTAGTATAGAGAAACACCTTTTTCATTTTTTTTGCCGATGTTTTGACCTTTTTTCGGGTCATCTTTAGGGCATAAAGTGTGATGCTATTAAAGGTCGAAACATCAGTAAAAAAAAAATTAAAAAGTGTTTTTCTAAACTACTTCATACTTGACTGCTCCTCACGACTTCAACAAAGTAGGGTTTAAAAATGTGTGTTTCTTAATGATCTGTTGTTTCATAATTTGAAATAAGAGGACCCAGAAACTGATTGCTGTGCTTGAGAACCATTCTTAACTCCAGCGGCCAGCCTACATGGTCTCTGTATGGAGCGAAGGCATGACACGCCTCTATTATATGGGACACATCGAGCAACCTTTTTCTGCATAAGGGGCACCTGCACCCTGCCATCATCCAGGAAGATCTCGCTGTGTTAGGTATTGTTATGACGGTATGTAACCCTTGTTGAATATGGATCTGGCTGCAGGAGGAAAGTACAGATAGGGATTCTCCAGGGTTCTGTACTTGGCCCTTATCTGTGGTCAGTATTGTTTGATGGAGCAATGAAATTACTAACCACAACACGGGATTTAGAGCCTTCGCCTATGTAGATGACTTGGCTGTTATTATTCCAGGTGACACCAAGGCAGAGCTGGAGAGGAAAGGTGCAACTCTGGTGGCTGTACTGAGCAAGTGGTGCCAAACAATCAAACAACTGCTGGCTCCCGAAAAGTCTGAAATTATATTACTTAAGAGATCCCACAACATGCGGTCGGCGGATTAGTGACCGGACTCTTACACAACCCTGGTCCTGACATACCTGGGTGTATGAATGGAAGCGGGTCTAAGTTTTGATGCCAGCCCTTCATATGCGCGAGAAAAGGTATGAGCACGCATCGCAGCCATATGCACCCTGAATGGTGCTTTATGGGGTGCTTCATATAGGACCAGACAAGTCTATTACTCGGTGTTGTGCAAGTCCATCCTGCTATATGCCGCCTCAGTATGGGTACACAGAATCCGGGCAATGGCTGGATGATTCTTGAGTGTGCCCATCGCGCAGCCCTACTTGCTGTCACACAGGCCTACCGGATGGTTGCCCAGCATGTGATTGCTGGCCGACCACCCCTTGATCTGAAGACCAAACCCCTTGTGTGCAGAATGGGAGATGACTAATGATTGCTCACTATGTATTCCCATTACAATGGAACCTGAGGCCATCCCGTGGATGATAAAACAGTGGGAACGACACTGGGACGCACCGACGAATGGAGGGTATATGCACCAACTGTTCCAGATTGTCAAGTGACGACTTTAGATGGGACACATCACAGTGGATCATTACATATCATAGTTGTTGATGGGGCACGGAGATTTTGCTGCAAAATTGTATGCATTCAGGCGAAAGACTGACCTCCTGTGCGAGTGAGGACGTCTAGACGCAATTGAGTATGTAGCCCTCTGTTGTGATAACCACATTGTTCCACAGACATGGTGGCTATGCGAAACCAACATAGAAGCCCTCCGATGTGCGATTGCCACCCCAGCAGAATATAAGGCTACCTCGAAGATGTGGAAAACCATAATGTGGCATAAAGGATGGCCAACATAAGAGCACAAAGGAAAAGGAGGAAAGAAACTCGGCCCTTTGGGCCTTGCCAGGGGGCAAGCCCCCTGGACCCCCGGATGATTTTTTTTTGAACCGACGGCTAAAATTCAGAAAACATGGAACATGTTTTAGCCGCGCAGAATTAATGTAAGTAATTGTGAATAAAGAAACAATTGTAAAACCGATGACTCACCACTATCTCAATCACAATAATTAAACATGCGCACTACCTTTTATTGTTTCTTTGCTTTGACTAATTTCTTATCTACTGTTTTCAGCTCTTCCATGAAAGTGTCCGATGACTCACAACGTTACAAAGCAATCTCAATCAACATAATAGCATTGGTTGTACGAGAAATTTATTAGTTAGCAGTAGGTGTATGGGAAATCTATTAGATAGCATTGGTTGTACAGAAAACAGCTCTTCCATGAAAGTGTCCGATGACTCACAACTTCCGTAACGTTTTTTCCGGACGTTTTTAGCTGGGGGATGATGGCTAAAACATGTTCCATGTTAAAAGGAATGCACGTGTTGTTTTTTCCTTCTCCCTCCTCATCCTACACCTACTCTTTGCCAAACATTCTCCACCTGAATACCTCTGTGAGGCCCATCCTGGACGCAGTAATTGTGACAAAGTGCTCGGCAGGTGGAGTTGAGATGCGACCATCAGTACCAAATGATTCAATGATTATTATTGTTGGTATTAATTAATTTATTTGTTTAATTTTTAATTTAATTTGTAATTAACTTTTTTCTCAGCCCATTCCCTTCAATTACAAACCGCTTCTGTCTATAAAAAAAAAGCTATACAAGAAAATAATAAAGTCTAAGAAACTGTAAAGAGCTGGCAACGGCTTATGAACAGTATGATAAAAAAAAGAAGGCCAAGACCTTGCCGTGCTAGCCAAGTCATCTACTCGGCCATACCTTTACCAACCTAAGTTCTTGGAGGTTAGATTGAGGTATGCTGGATTTTGGTTCGTCTTTACAGACGGGTCTAGGACTGACGAAGGTGTGGCGTGTGCAGTGTACCGCGAGGCATCCACTGCTCCCACTGCACTGTAGCGTTAACACAGCAGAACTGTGTGCATTTTGGCACATGCTTGGGGTGATTACGATGGTGGCTCTGCCTACCTAGTCTGCAATGACTCCCTCAGCGTGGTTACTGGTGTCCAAGAAATACAACCAAAATGGTATTGCAAATTGTATCTTTAGTTTTAGGATTTGTTGTATTTATCAAAAATTCTAAAGATTTACTTCTTTATCAAATAATTTATTTAATAATTACAAAATCAGTTAATCTTAACATCAGTTTTTATTTTCATTATAAAACATAACAAAAAGATCATAAACTAAAGTTTATTGCTATCAATTTTTTAAATTTAATATTGCTGCCATCTGCAAAATTGATTAAATTTAAACAGTTGGCACTCTTAGCATGGATATAAATCTCCCAAATCGATTACTTCTTTTTCTCCTAGGTCTTGTTCTCATAATAAAATATCTATATAATATAAAAAGAGTAATTAAAATTAACATAAAAAAGGCTAGAAGAGGTAGAGTGTCAATGTTGTCATTATCGACATATTCTGCCGTCGGTAGCCAGGCAGTATTGTCATTGGAAAAAAATGGAAGCTCTGCATCCAGTTTAATTGATAACAGTTTCTGGGATTTGTAGAGATTGCTAAAAATAATAACAGATTAATTTAATTTTTACATTTTTTTTAAATTAATCTATCTTGAAATAAACTCACGTAGGAGCAGACTTATTAAGAGGGTAAGCATGAGCCCATGTTAAATGTGGACATGTTGGAAGTTCTCTTATCATAAGTTTTCCAGTGTCTTCTAAATGATTTACTAAAACCTTTGAATACCTGAAAAATAAAAGCATTTATAACACCATTCTTACTACCAAACTGGTAAAGATTTAACTGAGGTCAGTGATAAACGCTGTGGCTGTAAGCGACAGGGAAGCCGATTTACTGTCTAGTCAAAAACTGTGTGCATCCACTTTTGCAGATTAAGGAGGGCTCATAACTCTGTCTGGGGGGCACGCAGGTATGTGGAGAAGGGCCTTTGCCCAAAGGAAGATCATCGGTTTGATTGTGTAGATTGGTCATTTAAAGTGGGGGGGGGGCAGACAGGAGACCCTGTTGAAAATATTCAGTGTTGCTGTGCTAGAGGCTGTTTTATGGTTGTATAGCCTATTCCTCAGCTCAGAAAACGCACCTCTTGTGGTTCAACAAGCTCTAATATCAGGGACTTCAAGCTGTACCGGGTGCACTTAGAACCATTCCCTTGGCCAGCCTCTGCTGCGAGTGTTCCTGCCCGAATTCAGGAAAGAGCAGTTGACTCTCAGTTAATCAGCAGGTTTCTTGGTCAAGCTGGGCAACCCCGTGATGGGCACATCCTGAAGAACAAGTATACCATGTATACCAGTGAATTAGTACTTCGACGAGGCCCTTGGGTGGGTAGCTTTGACTCTGGGTATGATACCACAGTATTACCCAAACTGCTTTCTTAGATCAGAATTCACCGGTTCTAGACCAGTCTGTGAAGACTGTAAGTGGTGTAGCATATGCTGTGTATAATGGAAGTTCGTAGTTTCATGGTTTCTCCCGGAGCACTGCAGCATGCACATGACGAAACTGTATGTGATCTGCCACATGCTCGAGGTGAAGGATTTCCAATCCAGGACAGATTTTTGGTGGACCCTCTTTTTGTGCTCTTGTTAGAGAAATATGCTGAGTTGGGGCGACTCAGATAAATGATGGTTGGGGGCAACAAATGTGTAGATGTGGCTCTCCCTCTAAAAAGAACTACTATGATCCAGCCCAGTGACTCTGTGCAAGCCGAGAAGAATGCTGAAAGCCAATGTTGGCAGTGTCAGTGGGTCACCAATTTCTTGCAAGACAAGAGCCCCATGACTGAATGATGGACCTCAGAATGTTTGAAATGAACAGTAAAGATAGTGCGAACCTGACTGACACACAGACACTTGCTTATGGGTCAAAACCAGCGCAACTGTCTCACTTGTAGAAAAAAATTGCTTAGCCCTGACCCCTTACAGAAAGCAAGTATGCATGACCCCTGACATACAGGTGGTACTCGGGTGGTCAATCACTGGGTCCCCTGTTCCATTTCGTTAGGAAAATGGGTGTGTTTCCTCATATATAAAAATGTATACTCAGTGTTTATGTGTATGTATATTTATTTGCATATGTGTTTATCTGTGTATTTAATCTGTAAATAATTAAATTATTGTGTGTGTGATTAATGAGAAGGCCTATGGTATAATACTGAGTAATCCATTGGTCATAACAATGCATGAGGGGGGGGGGCTGAAATGACTTCATTGTTAAAAACACAAAAAACAAAAGAACAAACTAAATAATAAGATTTTTGAGATTTATTTTATGCTCACCTGTATAAATGATTGCCTTCCATTCTCTGAGGCAAAGTATGAATATCATGTTGCAAAGAATACTGATTCTGTATGAAAGCCGTGGGTATATGGGCTGTGGCGGTGTAATCCAATATCGCATCAAGTAACCAGAAGCAGTCTGAAATATGAGTTATAACTTTATGGAAAATCTATGCAGGGTAATCGTTGAAAGTTAAAACGAATCTAAAATCTACATCTACATACCTCTTTGTAAATGGCTGTTATCAATACAATTTGAATCACCATATACCACAATCCTTCCACTGCTTTTACTATCTTGAGTTTGAAGTAATCCTAAAATTGGAACTTCTTCTTTTCTTGTCCTACCACCCAAAATTTCATTTCCTGTGAAAAGAAAAAACTGAAGTATTGTACACATGTTTGGTAAAAATTAAAAATTTCAAAGAGGTTGAAAGATAGATAAGACAACTTTGGATAGAGTTTAAATTTTGTCCTCATGTACCTTGATCTGTGAGCTTTGCAGAGAGAACTGTCCCTTTACTTGGAAATCTGGCAATGTGGGACCCAGACGAATAAGACACCGTCTGTTTCCCGATAGTATAATCTCCATCATAAACTATATCACCTAAAACTATCCCCCAAGATGACAACAAATCATTTAAAGCTGGAACATTGGCACCTCCCGTATCCGGCATCCACCACTGCCTAAAAACAAAAATGTAATATGTAAATAATAAAAAAAGTATTAGATTCGATAAATGAATTACCTTGTATTTTCATCAAAAAACTTAACTTTCTTCATCACAGTCACATTATACCAGTCAGCAAAAACAATTAGCGAAAGGCCAGCATCAACATCTTTCTTCAATTTGGCAATTTCTTCTGGGAAGAATTCTTCTTCTAAGTCAACCATCAATAAAGTACCATACTGTGATGCATCAAAGCACGTGAATGGTACTCCCAACACTTCGATATAATATCCCGAAGCCCTCAAATGCTGATACATATCCTAATAAAAGTAACAAGTTTAAAATCTGAGTAGTCGATAATTTTATTTACTGCTTACTTTGAAATTTGTATGGATATGATCAGCGTTCCAGTCCAACGGATCAGCTTTCATACGAAGGTTGTCTCGAGGAAAATAACCTGGGGGGTATCTCAAATTATGAAATTGATCCCACAATAGCCTCTTTCTAAAAATTGAAGAAAAAATTAATTATAATTTACAAACACAAACATTGAAAAAAGACAAAAATTTAGTTATTAAATAAATTTAAAATAAAAAAAACTTACTGTTTAGGAGGTGTAGGAATGATATTTGCTCTAATAGGTAACTTTATTTGTGACCGTTTGGGATACAAATCGCCATCATCAGAAGGAGATTCAATTATGAGCTCAATATGACCTTGAGCTGTTCCGGTGTAATCAATGCCAATGCTTGCAACACTTAATGACACTCCCATCCAACCCGACCACGGCCAAAGTATGCTGCTGTATGTAATAGACACCTGTAATAACATAATGATAAGTCAGCCTTTAAACAACAGTTAACTATTACTCTTTGCAGAAGCAAACTAAAGTTATGAAATCAAAAGTGCCAGTAATTTTTAGGAAGTAGTGCAAAGCTGTTTCGTCAAGAGGGAGCACAAGAAATGTAAAGTGTAAATTTGTGGGTAATTTTGTTGCAAGATCTGTCAAAATTAAAAATTATGTTTCCAAACTTTTCTTATTCAATTTTGGACCTGTTTTCTTAAATGCATTCACTCCTATTTACATACCATTCATTCAATTAAGGCGATGGAGTGCTCGATAATCCTCCATCACTCTTCACACATATTATACAACTGACCTAATTAAGGGTCGATGGGGTACTCGATATTCTGCCACCAGCCCTCTCCCATCACACATTCACACTAATAAATACATTCAACCCCTCAACACAACCCTTTACACATTAGATTATATAGAAGCCGTCCTCTTTACAACCTGTGCCTGCAATCAATATTGGTCTATTGTGCAACTCCATATATATATTTTTTTTATATCTAGAGCTCCTCGTTAAGCTTGAGGCTTTTTACCAGACTCCAAAGCTTTTTCAAAGGCTCCAGTGTGTAACCCCCCTGGCTTTTTCTCTTCCAGGATTAGAAATCTCAGCGTACATTGGCCTTCGCCGCACCAACAGAGGATGTGTTCTGCTGTTTCTTCTTCTGATCTGGCTTGTTTCTGCCACTCCGATACATATGCCTCCGGAGTCTGCAGTGCCCAGTTAGCAGTCCAAATATTACGCCCTAGATTTAGTAGTTCTGCTGTTGGTTTCTGTGATGGTCCTTTAATAAATTTTTTCGCATGCCTCTGTCCTGGGCTACATTCCCATTGAGCAGAGGACATAAGAATAGATGTCCGCATTGAACTTTCCTCGGCCAATTTATCAGCCTCTTCGATGTCCCTCTGCCCTGTGTGCCCTGGCATCCAGACAAGGGTAATTTTGTTATTTTCTCCAATGTCTGACAGGGTCCATGACCTTTAGATAAATACGCCGCTGCTCTACCACTTGAGCTATCGCGACTTCGATCCTCTCGGACACCAAAAAATGGCAAAAAGAGGGAAAATTCGAAAGGTTGTAGGTTGAGATGGGGAGTTGGTGTCCGAAGTCACGATAGCTCAAGTGGTTAGAGCAGCGGCATATTTAGTCAAATGTCGTGGATTCGAATCCCCTCGTGACACTATTTTTAGACAGTCATGAGAGAAATCATCACTACATGAAATGTTGGCAGCCACATTACGATTTCTCAGTACAGGGATGAACTACGAAGAACTTAAGTTTTCTACTACGATTTCAGCTCTACGCTTAGGGGTTATCAATACCGCATCTCTCGTTGCATTTGTATCCTTTGTATTGAAAAGGTCGACCAACTGGTTGAGGACCAAATTTCTTTTATTTCTATCGTGGTAATCATTGTCCACCACTTTCCATAAACATGGTAAACTTTCATACAATTCAATCACCTCAACAATAAAATCTTGATAGAGCCAATAGAGAATAAACGTTATTGACTTTTTGAGAATGTACGACGGAGATGTTTGCTCAGTGACAGAAAGACGGAGACTGTGCCAAAAAAAAAAAAAAAAACAGGTTTTCCCATTCACGACCAAGCCAACGCTCCAATATTCTACCGTTCACGCCAGGTTTTCCCATTCACGAACGCACCATGCCATCATCGCGCCATAGATATTTGCAGTGGCGCGATGGAGTTTGGACCGGTCGAATATTCGGCACAGCCCGGCACGCCAGTTCAGTTTTGCCATTGACGTGGTTTTTGGAACGCCGTCGCTCCGTTTGGGCTGTTAGGAGCGATCGTGAATGGCCACCTTTAGGCAATCATGGATCTAACAACCACTGTGTATAGCCTTAGGGACATCTTTGGATTCAGTCCCCAGTTTTTCCCTCAACGGCGTTTGTATCTGCCAATGGTAATCTTTGCTTTTTGTGTGATTTTGTTTAGCTGTTGATTCCATGAAAGTCTGGTCGAAAATAACTCTGCCTCTTTAGAGAAAGGAATTTCAACTGCATTTAGCATAAGGGGCTTAAGCCCTCCTAGTGCCTTTTTCTTGGTAAAGGGAACCATGATGGTTTTGTTAGGATTTATAGCAAGCCCTAACTTTTTATACCATCTATTTGCCTCGTTGAGTGAGTATTGTGCCCTCTATGTGATGACTTCAGCAAAGCGTCCATTCACGCAAGTGTCAGATCATCTGCATATCCTAGGTAATAAAAGTCTTCGTAAGATAGCCTTTTCAGGAGATCATCAACCAATAGTGACCATAGTAATGGTGACAGAACACCACCCTGAGGGCAGCCTCTGGTTGTTTCACCCTTATTGTAGTGTAGCCCAGGGTAGATAAAATTATTCTCTTCCTTAGATTTTCTTACACCCATTGAAATATGGATTTTGAGATCCCTTTTTTACTTAGCTCATAGGCCAGGGATTTGGTCGTGTCATTGTTAAATGTCCCTTCCACATCCATGAACAACGCCAATGCTATTTCCTTGTCATTTAATGCCTTAGATAATAACCTGTTTAAGTCTTCCAGAGCTAAGTCTAGCTAAGCTAAGCTAAATCAGTAAGTAGCATATTGCCTAGTACTGAGTGGGTTGGTTTTCAGTGCTGTGCCCCTAATGTGGTTATCCATCAGTCTCTCTAGTATTTTCTGCATAAACGATGAGAGACTAATAGGTCTGTATGAACTAGGTGTTTGACCTGTGGCCTTACCCACTTTTGGCAAATACCTTCATCATCCTCTATGCAGTGGGTATGCACCTCCAGGCTAGGGTGGCCCAAAAGATTCTCACCAGAGATGGCATTAATACTTCCTGTCCCCTTCTGTAGTACTATAGGGTATATCCCCATAAACTGCCCACCTGATTTTCTCAAGTTTGGCTATGTTAACCGCCTCCTTCCAATCCTCTTTGAAGGCCTGTACCACCGACTCTCTGAACTAGTGGGCTGGAGCACTACTCCTCTCCAAGTATTATAGATCATGGAAAGTGTTTACCAAACCTTTACACATATTATAAAACTAATCCAATTATATGGGATACTTGATATTCCGCTATCGACCTCTCACATCATACATTCACGCCAATAAATACATTCACTATCAACACAAACTAGGTATACACAACTATCATTACTACATACAACAGTGCAATTGTGTTTCCTCCAAGAACTGGAACAGGGGACACAGATACTTGCTGCCATGCTCAAGTACAATTTGCAAATCGAGTGGCATTCCTGCGCATTCTCTGAATGGAGCAAGGAATTGCACTCATCAATCAGGTGGGACACATGAGCAACCTTTCTCTGCATGCCGGACACATATGCAGGGCTTTGGCCCAAAATTAAGTGTCCATGTGTCAACCTCGCATGGCCTATTCTTAATCGGGTGAGGATGACCCTTCTACAAGTCAGATCCTACTAGGGCCATCCATCGACAGTGCTCTTGATACACGAGAGCTTCTCTGTCCATTGATGCTGCCACCCTATTTTAATAATTTTTTTTATTGCATTCTTAGCATCAGAGGGCCGGATCGTGGTGGTTAAATCTGGAGGTTGATACGTCCGCCTTTTCATTACCCTCTAGACCTGTGTCTAGCTACCCAGAAAACAACCACCATTTTGTCGATAGGCTCCAGTTTGTGGTATCTCTTCAACAAAAGGACTATGAGAGGGTCGATGGAAAACCATATATATATTTTTTTTTTCCTTCTTCTTCTTCCTAACACTACCCCCAGTTGGTGCCCAACTTATTACTCATTTTCTAAATAAATTTTCTTCTTAACCACCTTCCACCTCTTGTCTCTCCTTTGAGTGCATCCACCCCCTTCTTCACTGAGCTATTGCTACCGTAGGTTGCAGCTGCAGTCAGGTGTAACAAAATTATATTTCGGGGAAGAGGTTTTAGAGGCCGACTATAAACAGGTCTTTGATCGAAATTCTCCAACCTTGTATAAATAATTAAAATTATGTCTGAAATTCGAGGGATCAACTAAGAACAGATGAGATTAGCTCGAAGGTGGTCTGAACAAGAGGAAAAACATTAATCTCATCATTGCCAATCTTGTTTAGTATGCCTATCAACACTGATTTTGTCTGCTGATGCATTTATGCTGTGTTTTGCCCTTTTTATCATTGTGAATCCCAGAAGATGGGGCAGACCAAAAATTATCGTTATTGATGACATGGATAAATATCTCAATATGAAAACTACTAGAAGATAAAGAAGGAAATATTACATAGTTATGCGTTGTATAAATGAGGAGTATGATACAATATAATATTATATAATTATATGATTAAACTGAAAACACACAACTCTCTGTACGAGTGTAGTATCAAACTATTTACGTAATTTCTAGAGCAATTGTTTAAAATAAATGAAAATGTACTAACCTCTAGATAGTGACCATTTTGAGGAATATAAGGGTACCACTTTGGTTTTTCTACTATCCGACCTGACACACCGAGACCATTTAATATTGTGACATTTACAATCGTCGGCATAGCTCCATAATACAAAGGTTGAGTGCAATAGGGCCACATGTATTGGCATTCTCCTAGATCTATGTAGCTAGTGTAGAGATATAAAGCCAAACATTACATGATGTTAATTTTTCAATGGTAAAATTAAAACAAACCTTGGGCTGAGACTCGCTTGTGGGGTATAGCTGTTCAAAATGTGGTACGCTTTGAGCAAATCAAGTTTCCCATGTCCTTGTTCAAACATGTTAATACCTGGTAGTCTCCTGGCAGATGCCATCAACGCTTGTTTCATACTTGCAGGATTGATTGCATTTCCTCGATGGAAAACCCCGCTATAAAAAACATTTTGGATTTTCTTTTGACCAAAATTTTCTAATTTACAATTTAAGCTAGAGAACTTATGTTACCTTGCTAATAAAGCTACCGCACCGGCTACAACAGGAGAAGCAACACTTGTCCCTGACAAAGTCCGGCAACCTCCTTTTATGCTTGAACCACGAACTGATGATCCATAGGTAACAATATCAGGTTTTAGGCGGCCATATCTAAGAACAAAAATAATTAGCAAATTTGCAAAAATCTAAGTGCAAGGATTCCAAAAGAACACAGACAGTAGTTTTATTGATAAAATATCATAAAAAGGTACGAGTACAAGAGTCAATAAAACACACCCTGGTACTTTCTTTAGTGATTGATCAGCCTTCTCAGTTTAAATATATTTTTTCTTTCCAAAAGGTAGATTGGGGATTCCTGGCCTCATCCCCAATCTACCTTTTGGAAAGAAAAAACACCCAGGTACACATTAATCAAAATTTTAATGACTACCTAACAGTAATACAATAAATTATGGGAATTGATCGAATTGTTGCCAAAGAAAAATTAATAATTCAGATACCCATGAGGCAGTTCCCAAGTAGTCATCCCACGTGAGGAAAATTTGGCTATTTGGTCATCAAAGTTGATACCACCAACTCCAATAACATCCATTTGATCAGCAGGGTTGTTCAAAGTGCTAAAAAGAAACAAAGACTCATTTATCTTTTTTTTATCATTTAAAATCAGATAATCCCTGAAAATATTTAGTTGCCCTCTGGTATGACAGGAATGTTTACGTATGTATTATGTGCAAATCATTAGATATGTTTTTCACTATTTTAATTATTTAAAGGGTCAAAAGGGGGGAGCATATAACTCTGATCACTGTGTATTTAAAAATAAATACAAATAAATGTACGGTGTAGTTTGGAAAATTCTACCATCGTAAGTTCATTGAAGATTGTTCCTGCTGTTCAGTTATATATAACTGAAACTTCAAAATTTGGGTGAAAAAAAAAACCATCCATTCTATTCTTTATATACTACATGAGAATTTGTTCTACGCAGACTCAATTGAATAATTAATTAACAAAAAAGACATTACTTCTATATTTTAGATGTATCTATCATATAGTCTAGTTTAAGTCGGAGGAGCATTTTAGTTAGACTCTAAAATGTTTCCTGGGCCTGAATTAGAAGGAAGTGTTTAAATTGGAAAGGAAGTCAAGCTTGCCTCAGCAAGTTACCCACAGAGTACTCACTTGTATGACTGTTCTGGAAAATGTACTTTTAACAATTGATTTTGCAATACCAGGGAGTGAGCATGGATGGGGTTAGAATAGGTAGGGTTAGGTTGAGACATGTTAGGTTATGTTAGGAATAGTTGTTAGGTAGGGTTAGGATAAGAAAAGTGTTAGGATTAGGGTTAGGGATGTCTTAGGTTATGTCCATATTTGTTTTGAACTCGTGATTAATGGAATATATTCCCCAAAGTTCAACAAAGGAACTCCGTTCTGTTTTCTTTCAAATTGGCCTTATCCCTGACTTTTAATATAAAATTATAATAGTGAAGTCTGATATTAAATATATAATTGCCTAATCTGTTATTTCTTAATAATATCATCAAATTACAATAAAACAAACATTTCTTGAATTTAATTTATTGATAAAAATCTTGACATTTAAACAAAGAACATAAACATAGACATGTCCTTGCAATATCTTATTATGGTTTAGCATTCAGCAGGTCTGCAGGCAAACTGTGCCAAGAATTCAATAAGCGTACGTGTGGGGCGACCAGACATTCCTTTCCTCAAGTACGTAGTTTCTCCAGTCTCCATCATTACACCATAAGTATCAAGATGTATCCAGCGGTTGTAGCAGATAAAATGAGACAAGAAAGCAGCTGTTGTGCAAGTAAACCCTGAATGCCCTTCGGGAACGTTAGTCAGGTCACAGCTTACGTGTTGAGGCACGATCTGTGCATTGTAGATATCCCAGAGAGGGAAGCGCCATAGTCTATCACCGGTATGGATACTAGCAGCCTTGATTGATGTCCACAAGTTATCACAATTTGTAAAAACTCCTGAAGCGGAAGATCCCATGACATACTCCATTTGAGGCGTCATTGTTCCCACATCCAAAATGAACTTAGGACTGTACTTCTGAGCGTAGCACAATGCATCTGCTAATATCAATTGTCCTTCAGAGTCTGTGTTTCCGATCAAGATACTTTTTCCGTTCATGGCTTTAACTATATCTCCAGGTTTGGTTGCACTAGCTCCAGGCATGTTTTCACATAAAGGAATAAGTCCTCGCACGTTTACTGGTAGTTTTAATGATGCCAATGCTCTAACTGTAGATACGACACAAGCTGCACCGGCCATATCTCCTCTCATATGTCTCATCTGCTCGCACGTCTTCAAACATAATCCGCCTGCATCAAAGGTAATTCCCTTTCCAATCAAAATGATCGGAGGTTGGCAAGGATCACATCCGTTATAACTTATTTCCAAAAACACAGGAGGTTCAAAAGATCCTCTTGATACAGCGATGAAAGCATTCATGTTATTTTCTTTAGCCCATTCTTGCACTCTCACTTCAACGTTTACTCCCGTTTTGCAAAGAGCTTCGACTGCACTCAAGGCAAAGGCTGTAGGTGTCATTAAATTGCTAGGAGTTTCCATCAGTTGTCTTGAAAGATTCTGAGCAGATGCCTTTTCCAGCCCTATTTGCCAGCCGGTCCAGTCGCAATCATCATACAGACCGAGGTAAGGGACTCGCTTCTTCTTGCTTTTATTCTTCAAATCCTGATATACCCATAAGGCAAGGGCAGCACCTTCTGCTGATGATTCAGTATGACCGAAACTTTCAATATACAACTTACTGATGTTGAGGTCTTGAACTGCACGACAACCAGCACCGACTCCAAGCCTGATTGCTTCTTTCGCTTCGTCTCTTTGTTCTGTTTTGTTGTAACCGTAGCATTCATTGCCTAATCCAACCATAGCCACTATAGGGAATGTCGGTTCGATGTTGAAGAATAATCTAGCTTCACCCAATTTCAAGAAAGGACCCGATGCTTTTAACTGCTCCAAAAGCTTTCCACATGTAAACTGGTTGTATTTCAATGCAGTTCTTGTTAAAGTTACATGAGTAAGATCAGGATCATCACAGGGCGTATAAATTCCCAATACTAAAGCTTTACCATCTTTCGATTCTCCAGTGCAAGAAAACCCGGGTTCTACTATAGGACTCCATGCATTGCTCAACTGTCCAGGCTTGCATAATGACCCAGCATTCCTTTTGAACCTCAGTGTTGATAATCCAGTCGTTAGATGTAGTTTTCTAAATAATTTATCCATTGTTAAATGTAGAGGTCACTTACAACTTCAACTAAAATTTCGAAAATTTAAAAAAATTTAGAAGCAACAAATCATGTGGTTGTGCCTGAATGCAGTGTTGTTATGAGACAATTGTTTTATTAATTTTGTAAATTAGATAAAACAAAAGACAGTTTGAAATTTTTGTTTGTAATTCAATTGTTTTAAAATAAAAATTGTTTTAATCGCTAAAATAACTTGTATACAGCTAGACTAAAAATATATGAGCTGGAAGTATCAATAGCAATATTTCCTTGAGAGTAAATTAAAAAGTTTTCTTATTGACAGTAAAGTCGATTTTTAGTTCACTGAACCAAAAAAATTTAAACCTTGACCATTGACTATTGAAAATAATTACAAAACACTAGTTAAACTTTAAATCTTTTCTTTTAAATCTTTCATTTTAGGTATAGTTATATATACAAAATTTTTAAAACCAAAACATATGATATTAATAAGTGATTTCACATATGTTCTTTAACACTAATTAATTACAGATATTGTGTTGAAAACTGTGAGGCAATAAATTTGCCATTATGAACCTATTATTGCCATTTTTGTCTGTTACATTTTAACATCATCTCGAGTAGTGGTTGTGTGAAATTAATTCTACTATAAGATAGCTGTAAATGCGTTTGTGTTTAACCCAAACCAACATAAACGTTAACCATGATTTAACAGTTGCATGTTTTGATCAGACGATTTAAAAAAAAAAAAAAAACATACACACAGCCAGCATCATTCAAAGGGTCGATTTGTCTATGGAAATCCTTTTTATTATTACAGTCGAAAATGGGTAAGGAACTCATCCTTTATTGGTGAGATCCTGGTAGATATTAGTGTATATGGTAGTTCCTAAAACTCCTGAGGATTACTTGTGAAAAACTGATCCAGATCCTTTTATGCCAGCATCCTGGTCAATGCTTTTTCCCATTCAGAAAGTTCTGCAACGATTAGAATAAGTGGTAGTCAAAGTCCGGTAAATACGGAAAATGCGGCCAAACATCCCAAGTCTTAATAAATCAATCTGGATCATTAATGATGTGTGGGGGTCAAATTGTCGTGCTAAAAGCCGGTATGTGTTAATCACACTGGCCAATCGCAATAGATTAAGTCTATCATTCTGTTAAGGCACCATCTGCACCACAAGCTGCATACTTTTTATGAGCCTCTGCATCTTGTTTGCTTTTATTTGAATATGCCTTTGAATATGCCAGTAAGTTAAGTTATTTCCTCCCATAATGAAAAATGCGTTACACACAAGTGACTGAAATATTACAAACGAAAACTGGGCTGGATAAACAATGGTTTTGCGTGACTATTTCCCCATCATAAATTTTATGTTACCAAGAAGTGTGTATGAGTTAAGTGAGATTAGATTAGGAATGGTTAAGTTGGATAGGGTCCTACATCCAAAGTAGAATTAGGTTAGGGTTAGGATATGTTAAGACTGGTTAAGCAATTTAGGGACCCACTTCCGGGTTAAGAGTTAGTTTCACTAGTTTCGTGGTCCGCTTGACCAATTAATATCTTACAATTAATTAAGGTTTTCAGTTGAGATTAAAAAGTTAATGGCACGAGCGGGATTCGAACCCATGATCTTTGGCTTGATACGCTGCTGCTCTCCCACTTGAGCTACCGTGATCTCGATCCACTCGGACACCAACCTCCTATCTCAACCACCCCTTTTGAATTTTCCCTCCTTTTTGCCATTTTTCAATGGAAGATTCAAAAGGTGTGGTTGAGATGAGAGGTTGGTGTCCGAGTGGATCGAGGTCACGATAGCTCAAGTGGTAGAGCAGCGGCGTATCAAGCCGAAGATCGTGGGTTCGAATTCTGCTCGTGCCATTGACTTTTTTATCTCAACTGAAAACCTTAATTAATTGTAAGTTAAGTTAGATTATGTTAGAAATGGTTATGTTAGGTAGGGTACTACATCCATCATAGAGTTAGGTTATGTTAGGAATAATTGGGCTAGATAGGGTCTTACGTCCAAGTAGTTAGGTTATGTTAGTAATGGTTAGGAGGTTCGGTAGGGTCCTATCTATATCCAAGGTAGAGTTAGGTAATGTTAGGAATGGTTAGATTAGGTAGAGTCCTACTTCCAAGAGTGTGGGTAGGTAAGGTTTGGTTACATATCAATGATTCAATTGTTTTTCCATGAAACAGAGATAATATGCAAGATTTCCCTTTCATAGTGTAAATTTTATATAGAGAACAAAACTCACCCATAGAGAGGCCCATCATTTCCAATCGCAGAGACCATAATAACACGATTTGCAGTCAACTCCCATACTTTATCAACAAATGGATGATCCATAAAATCTGGACCGCCAATACTTAAATTTAACACATTTATTTTCTTCAATATAGCATAGTTAAAAGCGTCTAGAAACCAAGAAGTGTAAGACACCTTAAATAAAAAATAAAAATATTTTAAAAAATAAGTCAAAAATATTGAAAAATATCCCAGTTTATAATAATTAGACAGGAAAAAATAATAATTTGGCTTATGTTAAAATAATAATTTACCTGGCTATTTGTAAATACCCTAAATATATGTAACTGAGCATCAGGAGCTAATCCTAAACATTCTTTACTACTAGCTATTACACCTGCAACAAATGTACCATGCCCCAGTCCATCTTCTAAACTTTTTTCATGGGTCCAATCTGAACGTTCTACCACTCTCTTGAAATGAGGGTGGCCTTTGGACAAACCAGTATCAAATACGGCCACTTTAACACCAGAACCTAGAACCGCCGAGAAATTTTTTTTCAGTTAATACCTTTAATTAAATATACATGTATAAAAAAACCAAAGAAATTAATCCTACCTGTAATGCCCATGCCCCATAATGTATCTGCTTGAAGTATGGATGTTATTTGTTTATGTGTCGCTCTCATAAGTACCCTTCCTTTTCTCTTATTGGATGTTTCCCAAAACTGCAATAGTTTAGATATTATATTAGTACTATTTCTATTTACATTTTAAATTAAATTGATTAACTTACTTTTTTGACAGGCCGTGCATTATGATTTTCAGTCGAATTTATATATTGTAGATTTCTAACGACCAATCTTTGTGGAGTCACTCTTTTGACTGACGGATGTTCTCGTAAACTTGATAGACCACTACCAGAAATTCCCTCCTCGACCTAAATCAAAAATTTGACACTAAGAAAATGAAACATTGGCATTCTTTATGAACTTAAATGGCAAACTGTATCAAACTGCAAATAGTTCAAGCGAATTATGGAACTCAGTACATTTTTTATCCTATTGGGATGTTTTTATTTTGTGGTATCTCAAAGTTAATGTATACTTGAACTCTGTGAAGACAGTATGACAACCTTAGAATTTAATATAAATGATGAAGGTGGGGTGAGTATGTAGATTCACTTTTTGTAAATGACGGTTTCACTGAAAAATCCGCCCAAGCCACATATACAGCAGAAATGAACAAAATGACTACAACGACTGTTTGGATATTCAGTTGATAATGTGACTCAGTTGATCATGTATGGTACAATGAAAAGGTACAATAAGCCAGAAGGCTGCAGTGCCTGGAGAATACAAACCCCGCTTCCCAGTATCCTTTCCACCATACCATCCTTCCTTCCATGGTACAATGAAACCACTTTCCGTTTTGTGTATTTACAAGGCAATGTCAATTCAACTGTCTGTATGGGGAACTTCGACGCTATCTTGTCAAGTTCTTCCAATACTATGGGATGACTATTGCTTGATTTGATGAGCATTTTTAAAACTACACAGACAGGTCTGTTCTGAACTTCCACAATAAATTGGTCCACGTTTATACTAGATCAGCTTCACTTGCAGTTTGCCTGTCCGACTGCTTGCCTCTTTCGTTCTACACTTATCCGTTGTCAGTGTAGCACACCCATTTTACTTTGCACTGTTTTGATCTGTTTAGACGGAACCCAGCGAGACATTCCATTGACAGATGATGGTACACCAATGGAGCTCGATGGAAACTTACTTTATGTTCAGTACTTTATGTTGCTGGTTGTTGTTTTGAATGTAAGCTTGTGCAGCAGAAATTTCTGCTGTGCAAACTTTCATCGCAATCAGTTTAGTGTGGCGCCAGCCTAAGTCTTTGAATTAGTAAACAGACAAATAACTGACCTAATCAGTACAGGAAACTGAGTTGTGTTCCAGTGCGTCTTGACCAATGTAGTCTGCTTGGTCAAGCGTGATGAACTAGCAAAGGGTGTGCAGGAGATCTAACCAGATCAACCACCTCTTAAGAAGATTAATTAAAGGCCGGCCAAAGGAAAATGGTGGCTTGCTTCAGGAAGGCCACAAGGCACAGCTACCTTAAAAAAAGCACTAACATGTTCTGCTGTTTCTTCCTCCTGTCAATATCTGCACAGGCTCCAAGACTATATGCCTCCTATGTCTGCAATGTCCAGTCAGCAGTTCAATTATTATTCTAGTCCTAGAACATCCTATATTTAGTAGTTCTGTCAAAAGTTACTATGGTGGTCCTTTGATTAACTTTTTTCCCATTGACCAGGCAACTAATTCTTAATACATTGCCTGATGGATCTGGCACTTTGGTCTGTCACACAAGGGTTCAGTGCTAATAGGTGTCATCAGTGAACTTTTGAGTGCACAGCCCTATATGCCAGCTGTATCGGCAAGAGGAAATGGTGCTGACAATTTAAGACATTCCCCTGCACTAGTGGCCAGTAGATGCAAGACAATTTATCAAACAAGGCAAAATTCTACTGAGCTGCTGTATGCCGAATAATGAATTCATCAATGAAATTTGGTGTCATACAAAAATTAACAAATAAATAAAAATTGAAGCATTGTGGTGTTGTATGAGATTAGTTGTGCCAACATAGTGGCAGATGAAATGTCAAAGTGAAACTCACTTGTGAGTAGGAACTATCCTTTTAAAAAGATTGGACAACACACTCAATCAACCATTTATCATTTCTATGACAAAGCATGTCTCACAGATCTTCACATTTTTCAAATTTACTGCTTACCCTAACCCTAACCATGCACACTCTCTGTAACATGAAATTAATGATGCAAAAAACGTTTGTGAATCCAGTCCAAACACATAACCATATTAAAAAAAAAGGAAAAACAAAACAATTTAATCCATTAAAGACACTGAGAGACAAAGAAATCACACAGGGCCAGCACTGAAGGTATGATTTATTAAAAATAAAAGCACTTTCAATAATAAATTCTAAATTATTTTTTATCGTACTATTTATTTTATATATTGAAAATTATGTGGAATAAAATAAATAATAAGATAAAAAATACATTATAAAAACAACTTATCAAAGAAAAAAATTTACATGTGTTTGGGGCTGAAATGACCCCATTGGCAGGGAAGTGATTATCTCCTGGCTATTTGGCTTAAGGGGGCTGGTAGCGTAGCCACCGAATAACTGGGTGGGTGAACTCCTTAATTCACAGACACTAGGGTCAGCACATTGGGCAGTGACAACACTTTGGTGTGAAAGTTCGAATAACAATTAAATCAATTTATGATATTGTTATCGATACTGAATGGATTATGGGAAAGTGAATGAATACCAATTCAAAACCTATTTTATTACCTTATTATTGTTATAGCATAGATCCAAAAATTTAGAAAATGTAATAAAACATAAAGAAAAGAAAACAGATTGACCTTCGTTGTCATTTCTGATATTTTCGGTCTGTTGGGGGAATTGTGTACACATTAAGAAAAATACCATACAACTTGCCTCTAAAGAATGTGAAAATATGAAACGTGTCTGACAGACAAAAATGATCGGAAACAATGAGAATTCCAAAACTTAAATGGCCCCATACATACTAGTGTGTGGGGAGTTCTCTCAGTTAGAATGTCGAGTATTGACCTGAGGCATAGTACCCATCAGTGACGACACAATATTTTTTTTTTTTTGTACCACTTCATTTTTCACCTTTTCCAGAGTTGAAGCAGCAATCAAAAAGGTAAAATGAAGAGTGATTTTTGCCATAAACGTTTTGCGGCACTGTCACATGAATCAATGGAAAAAATAAGCATGTGTAGAGACTATAACTAAAATGTTTGCATCACTTTTTAAATTTGCAGTTCAAATAGTATTAATATCATTACATACCACCACTACATCAAAATCACTGGGAAAGTCACTCGCCGGGTTGTTCCTTTTAACGATGTGCCAAGAGTTGATATCACTCTCGTTTAAAGCTGTCGCTATAAAGATCTCTCTCAATTTCCTCTTGTAATATCCATTAAATGTGACAATGTATTCTGTAAAATGTTTACACTGTTAAATCACATTTCGGACCAGATGAGATAAACTGTGAATGATTTTCTTTACGGACCATTTTTAACAATCCGACTGCTAAATGTGATTTTGACATGCTGAGGATGAAAATTCAAGTCGCATAATTTGTCGTTCGCAGACGAGTTTTGATGTGCAGCAGAATGATCCAGGAGAAATAAAATGAAAGCGATATCGAAACAAAAGTATAACTTCATTTCAGCCAGGGTTTATTGAAGAAATCATTATTTTAAAAGAGAAAACAAAAATCCCATCCGTTTGACTAAAATTCTTGGGAGAGAAGGTCGATTTTTGCTACGGCATCTCGAACAGGAGATACTCGTCTCCAGGGCTTGACTTAGACAGCAAGTCGAGACCGACGTAAAAAAACCCTCGGGGCGACTTTCTTCATTTTCGCCGCAAACCTTCACGGGACGTCTTTTATTCGTGACAATGGGGAAATCCAACACCGTCGGACTGATTCTTCACTGGAGAAGACATAGGACGACAAAACCGAGACGAGTCCTGGACGAACGGATCAAAATACGCGAGCCGTTTCGTCTGGTAGTCGGGAACGGATTCAGTCTCACTGACACGGCCCACTACCGAAGAAATATCTCACTAATGTGTCGACTGTCGGGTCGGTGTCCTATTCCTATATCCTACGAACAAGAAGATGAACGACTAACGAGTACGAACTTAGGAAGGAACTACAGAACGACCCATTCCCAATTCATGTTCGAGTTAACTATCGATCACTACCGGCATCAGTATGTCACCATTCGATAGTAGGATTTTCAACACCATACTTCATGAAAGAAAATAAGGGATTTTTCGCTCTTTTTTTGTACTAAAATTAGAATTTTATGAGAAAAAAAATTATGCGGAAAGGAGATTGAATAAGAAGACTAGCTAGAGTGGGAATGATACTTTTCCAAGGAAAGAAAAGGATAGCTTCCTTTAAAAAAAGTATCCTCTTTCTTCCGCTTCCTATTCGTTCGTTCAAGCTCACAAAAATGAACTGGTGCCATCCAAAATATGCCGCACATTGTCCAAATTCGTTCAATATTGAATTAATTTATGTTTCTTCTTCGTACTAGACGACCTGGAATTTGAATTAAATCCCTATTTTCATACAAGTGGTTATCCAGAAATTGTTTTTTAAAAAATAACAATGACGTAGTTAAAAAAAAGGAAACCCTGGCAAACGGTTAAGAGTCGAGGTTCTTTGTGCAAATAAAAAAAATGACAGAAGTACTGCATAATGTCGATACTCTCTTTATCTAATTTCAAACAATAGCCCACAATATCGATTCTGTATACCGGTATGCGTCTTTTTGTAACCTTTTGGCTACTAATAGACATTACGTGGTTTTTATCATTTTTCAGTGTCTAGTCATCAGATATATAAACAGAGGAGGGTGATCATGTGTATTTTAGCCTAATGTCTCACACAGGGGACAAATCATTCGACAAGACTTAAAACAGTATTCAAAAACACAATATTGAAATGGATTCCGAGACGAAAAAGATTTTGACTAGAGTGTCGATCGACTTCCTTTGCCTAGTCGCTGGTACGTTTATGAAACAAAAAAGATTTGTTTATTTATTTTTTTTTATTATGGGAAGTTGGAGTGTTTTATAAGTTGAACTTTTTCCCTTGTAACATTTTATGGAAACAGTCACTTCACAACCATACAGTATAAAAAAACATAGACTTTAAAACAAAATTACATAATAATAAACTTTCAAATTCAATTAGAATTTTCAAAAGAGTAATTCAAAGAATATTTCGAACTATAAAATTTTATACATGTACAAAATGTATTTGCTAAAAAGTTCCGGTTTTTATTTTTCTAATTGCAGACAGACATCTTTCGCTAATAATTTTAGTTGGCTTTAGTTTATCCTCTTCCGATGATAAGCAGAGTGGAAACTCCTATCAAAGAAATCTTCTTTTTTGTATTTTATAAAAAGGACTTTTTTATTATTATGGAGAATAGCATAATTTAAAAAAAGTTTAAATTGCCCCGTTTTGTAGATGTTTTTTAACACACCTCTTACAGGAGTGCTAAATTATTAACTTTAAGAAGCTTATTAGCTTTTTCCGTGTAGTCCACGAGGTGATGGACTTGTTTGGGTGACCAAATTAAAGACTAAATTCATAATTTAAAGATCATGAGATGTTGCCTTTTGGTGAGTTGAAGGTTAGAAAAAACATTTTCTTTATTGTGCCAACATTCGCTGACATGATCGCTGAAGACGCTCCACCAGAGGACCATGGTGGCCGAGTGATTTATGTCTCTTTATTAACCACGCTAGTTTTTTCGGGTTTGAATCCTGGCAAAGATTCTGGAATTATAATCTGTTTATTGTAACCTAATGGTTAAGTTAACATTTTAAGTCATGTGATTTGATAAGTTTACTAAAATGAGGACGACCAAGTTGGTGGGTCACAGATTTGAACCAATTTTTTTTGGTGATTGTACACTCAAAATATCAGACACATATCCACCACTTCTTATGAAGAATAAGGCCCTGGTTTCGCCAAAAAAATTTGAAAGTTGAAATTTTCCATTTTTTAATATTTTTATTTCCCTGTTCTATTTGCACATATCAGTTATGCGCCAGCATATGTAGATTACAATAAAAATATAGTAAAAGCTATCAAATTTTATCAATAACCAAAAAATGTCTAAAAACCAAATATTTTTCTCGTAAACTAGGTCATAATTTTTTTTCTGTGCAACTAATATGAAATCTGGTTTTACTACCTCTAGGTACCCCTAAATATAAATTTTTGTTTGAAGGAGTATTTTGTTTATTTGTCTTTTTAAATCATAACAAACTATAATATTCTGTGTTGTAGAACATTTTTGTTTTCTGTTAACCAACACTGATAAAAAATAATATTTCTTTAATCTCTCAATAACGAGTTACCCTTTTCCGAGTGGTTTGTACAGATATTTGTACTCCTCGAACTTCGTGGAGTTTCTGATTCGCATAACTGTAAAGGGCTGGTTTCATAAAATTCTCAAAAAATGGTCTTAGTTTTTATATGAACAATACATGTAAATAAGAGATGGTTTCTATAAAGCATAATATATTACACGTATGTAAATTCTGTATATTAAATTTCTATTTCATTAAATAAATATTTACTTTTACAAATCACAACAGTTTAACTTATGATTTTTCCTTCACGAAGGTAACGATAATAGGTCATTACACTGGTTCTTTTTTTTTTTTTTTAAATAAACTGTTACAAAATATTAATGACTGACGACCACTGTTTTAACCACTGCGTTAACTCACTGAGGAAGGATTCAAATAAATCCGAAACGTTGAAGANCTCTCTCTCTCTCTCTCTCTCTCTCTCTCTCTCTCACTCACTCACTCACTCACTCACTCACTCACTCTCTTTAAAAAAAAAAATATTTTATTAAGAAATCATGAGATGCGATCTGGTTTGGTGTAGGTTTAGAAAACCATTTTCTATATCATGCCATTTCGATTTTTATTGAGATCATCTTCGGGGCTGAGATTTATTTTTTCTATCCCTATTCCTCCAAAATCAAGCGTATATAAACAAAGAGATTAATATCTCAATAACACTCTTGACACAACCCACAATAGTGACACATCTACACAGAAAACACACTTTGAGTGAGTACAAACACTTTGATTAAACCTAAAATTTCTGTACTGTTTACATCATTGTATAATTTAAACAATTTTTATAAATCCAAGTCCCTGAAGTAAAGATCAAAACGTTGGCGTAATAAGAAAAATGTTTTTCTAAACCTACATCACACCAGACCACATCTCACAATCTCTTAATAATCGTTACTTAACGGTCACTAAATATTACACATTAATATTTTAATTTATACAATATAAATAAATAAATTCATTTAACCAGAACTATATTTAGTCCCTCCTGTTTCAAAATTAATGAGTTTCAATTTTGTTGAGAATATGGTGGAGAGTTTTTCAGATCAATCGGTTATAATAAATTTAGAATGATGAATTAATGAAGGGTAAAAAGCAAATGGTAAAAATTAAAATATTGTAATTAAAATTATAAATATTAAATTAAGCTATGTCACAAATTTAAAGGTAAATAAATAACTAATCAAGTCAACTATAGTAAAATAGTTATATAGACCTGAATTTTCTTCTCTGGGAAGAATTCCACATGAATATTTTTTCACTGTTATGTTTATGTAATATTACTGAAATGCACTAATCAATGTCAAAATAACTTCTGACCTTTGCTTGTTAACAAACTTAAGGAGTCTTTGTTGACAAATGAGAGTAGGTAATTTCATAAATAGCCCCACTTTTCCAAAAACATGTTAATTATAAATTCACTTAAGGGAATTTTTAATAAATCAACTTAATCGGGTTAATGCAGCTTTTTGCAATACCTCATTTTAGTCGCATTTAAAGGAGCTTAAATTGTTATTTAGAGATTAAAAATATATTAATGGATATATTATGGAGATTAAATTATTAATGGTGGATTAATTTCATTGTTGGTTAACATAAAACAAAAATGTTCTGCAACGCAGAATATTCTAGTTTGGTTTGATTTAAAAAGATAAATAAACAAAATACTGTTGTTTTTTTTTTTTCATTTTTTAACAAACATTCTGCATGAAAGAAGATCGGAAGATGGTCAAAACTTGGATTTGATCTCATTGTTATGATTCTAGTGTTATAAAACCCTTAGATACCGACTTTCACGGAAATTGGTGTAAATTTTTTTTTTTACTGATAATTTTGACCACCTTTTTACATGAGTGAAATTACTAGTGCAAGGTCTAAAATCCTTTTTTGCTGTTGACAATGTGGATTTTACTAAATTTGTTTACAATAATAGAACATCTAATTAAGAATACTCATGAAATTGGTTTTGAATAAATAATAAACACTTAAAATATATGAGAATAAACACATACTAGATATTGTTAGATAGTGTAGATTATTACAATTAATTAAGGTTTTTAGTTGAGATGAAAAGCCTTAATTAATTGTAATGTATTAATTGATCAAGTGGACCATGAAATTAGTGAATTTAGTGTAGATTATGTTTATTTGAAATTTTGAACATAATGATATGCATGCTGCTCATTTTGAATCAAAATATATTATTTTCAGTTGGTGTACCTAGTTTATATCTTCATCTATTTGCCCAACCTTATCAAAGAGGATTCTTTTGTGATGATATGAGCATTAGGTATCCGTTTAAGCAATCAACAGTATCGACTGTTGTATTATACTTTATTGGACTTGGTCTTCCAATTATTGTGGTAAGTTATTTTTTGATTAATAACATTTTAAATAAAATGTACACGTTTGCTTTTCCTCTAGATGATTTTGTTGGAAGTGCTACTTGTGCATAGAAGAAAGAATGCTTGGTCTCCCACTTTTATATTTGGGAAAAGAATTCCCGTATGGGTGATAAATAGTTACAAAACAGTTGGCGTATTCTGTTTTGGAGCTTTATGTAATGTATTAGTGACAGATGTTGCGAAATACACAATTGGAAGGCTCAGGCCACATTTTTTCGATATTTGCAAGCCCGATATTGATTGTAATGCTGCTATGTACAAACAGAAGTACATAACAGAATTCATTTGCACGAGTAAAGATAACACTTCGTATTTAAAAGATTCAAGGTAACTGAAGTCTATGGATAATTTTTGTTTTTATTTAATTAAAAATAAAGTCCAAAAATGTAATTGTTCATTCTCATATGTATTGATTTGATCAACATATTATTTTTAATACTAACCATTTCTAGTTGTTTATAATTTTTAGATAGAGAAAAGTAATGTTTATATTTGATGTACAAAGAACTAACAATCAGATCAAATATAATTCTTTAGATTTTGTAAAATTTCAACTTCACAATTTTATTATTGTTGTAGACTTTCATTTCCTTCAGGCCATTCATCATTTGCTGCTTTTACAATGGTTTATTTAGCGGTAAATATTTAAATTCATATGAATAAAATCTCATGTACTTTATTTTATATATATATTTTTTTTCTGTATGCAATTAGTTATATTTGCAAGTTCGATTCCAATGGCAGGGATCATTTTTACTGAAACGCTTCTTTCAATTGTGCTGTGTAATTATGGCATGGTGTACTGCCCTTTCGAGAGTATCTGATTATAAACATCATTGGAGTGATGTTCTCGTTGGACTGTTTATTGGAACAACAGTTTCATTTCTAACAGTAAGTTGATCACGCTTCTAATCATAGTTGTGACTATTATATTTAAATTCAATATAAATGTGATTAATTTAGAATAAAACGTGCGTATGATCACAAAAGGGCAAACAAACATTAAAGAAAATCCTTCACGGAAAATCATTGAATCATGGATATACAACCTAATAATTCCTAATGTAATACCACTCAACTCTAACGTAACTATTCATAATATCATCCAACCCTAACCTAACCTTACTATTTCTAATCTATCCCAACCCAGCGCTAGCCTAACCATTCCTAATCTAACCTAACCTGTTAGATCAAGAACCCTAACTATTCACAATCTAGCCTAACCCATCTCTAACTTAACCATTCGTAATCTAAGATAACCTATCCATTTTTAATATAACACAACTCAACCCTAACCTAAACATAATTATTACAAATAGCCCTAACCTAACCATCCCTAATTTAACCTAATCCAACACTATCATAATCATCCCTAATTTAACCTAATCCAACCCTAACCTAACCATTCCTAATCTAACCTAACTAATCATAATCTAGCTTAATCCTACTCTAACCCCACCATTCGTAATCCAACACAACCTAACCATTCCTTATCTAATTTACCCCAGCCAACCTAACAATTTCTTACCTAGCCTAACCCAATCCGAACCTAACTATTCATAATCTGGTCTAACATAACCAATCGTAATCTAATCTAACACAACCCCAATCCAACCTCCCCTAATCTAACTTAACCCTACCCTACACTAACCCTACCATTCATAAGCTAACGTAACCCAACCCTAACCTAACCATTCATAATCTAACCCAACCCAAAACTAATTTAACGATTCCTAATGTAACCTAACCCAACCATTCCTAATATAATCTAATCCTACACTATCCTAACCATTCCTAATCTAACCTAACATAGTCATATCTAATCTAATCCAATCCTAAACTACCCTAACCATTCCTAATCTAACCTAACCTGACATAACCATTACTAATCTAGCCTAACACAATGTAACCATTCCTAATCTAACCTAATCCAACCTAACTATTCATAATAGTTAGTAATCTAGTTTAATACAACTACCGAACCCGTAACATAATCCTAGCCTAACCTAGCCCAGTCCAACCTGATCTAACTCAAACCATGCACTCTCCCTGGTAACATGAAATCAATGACGTGAAATGGCTCATTAAAAAAAAAAAAAAAAAAAAAAAAAATCCACTAACAATAAACATTATCAAATTGGTTCATTTTATTTTTCCCTTACTAACACAGTGACACCTTTGGACTTTCTCTGAGTGATACACGAAATGGGTTTGGCCTTCTTAATGGTAGGAGACTTCAATAGTAAGCACTCCATGTGGGAATCAAATCTTATAAATTGTCATGGTATAGGACTCCACTTGAGGTCATTCGCTTCCGACTCGAGCCTATATACCCAACATATTTACCAGAATAGCCTAACATGACACCAGACATACTTGATATATTTATTGGAAACACAATTGCACATCTCTGCAGTAAACCTGGAGTTGTATATGAGCAATATCATCAAACCTGTATTCTTGAAATTAGTGGGACAGCTGCTTTAAAGTATACCTCAAACCTAGCTTCATTCAACTGGGAACTGTTCTTTTGAAAGGTTAGAAGAGCTCACAGACTTGAATATCCCTCTGATGACACTATAAGAGGTTGACCGTGCCATTGCTTCTCTCACATGAAACATCCAAATAGCAGCCAGTGCAAGCTCCAGACCTGATCACTACTAAAATCAAAATTATAAAAGGTGTTCCCAGAACACATAAAACAGCTACATGAAATTAAAAAAAGGGCATAAAAACATTGGAATCACACGAGTTATCCATATCGCAAACAGGTATACAACAGAGCAAAAAAGATCTGAAGAGTGCTCTACAGAAGGTGTGAAACAAATCAACCAGGAGTTATCCACCTAGATACACAAAGTGGCTCACTTTGGTGAAAAGCGAGGTTCCTAACAAAAGAGTATAAGGATATACCTCCATTTAATGCTGGCAACCCATTTGTCTCCTCCAGTACGGAAAAATGCAAACTATTTGCAAATATACTGGTGCAATAGTGAACTAGTGGTGAAATAGAGAACCTCTGCAACTATCTCCATTAAACACTTTTTTCTCCCCAGGGGAGGTCAGAAATGCAATAGCTCGCTCTCCAACTAAAAAACCAACTGGACATGACAAAATAGTGCAACCACATTCGATAAACATGAATAGGAAAGCACTTGTGTTTCTGACACAAATCTACGTTGCCATCCTATATATGGGTTACTTTTCAACGTCCTGGAAACATGCCATTATCATTACGATCCATAAACTTAAGCAAATTAAGAAACGATCCTAGCAGTTACAGGCCTGTAATCATACCTCTATTTTTCAAGAATGTCTCTTACTCCCAAAGCTACGTATCCTACTAGGTGACAGCATCAGCATCTGCAACACACAGTTTGGTTTCAGGGCACAGCACTTTTATATTGCTATTCTAGACACCTACTATCGCCTGAATCATCTTATCTGAGCAACCGGTCGTTTTGTGTGAGATGTAATGAGTTGGTATCTCCTAAGAAGCCTATTAATGCCGGAGTTCCACAAGGTAGCGTGTGGGGCTCATTGCTCTTCATACTCTACACAGCAGATTACCCACACCCCCCTCTATTGTGACTGGCCCACTTTGCTGATGATGTGGCAGCGCTGACAGTCGGCAAATCAGATGTAGTGGTGAGAAGACTACATACATTGCTCGAGAAATTGTCAACTAGTGTGGAAATTGTAGGGTAAAGCTAAATACCATAAAGTCTAAGCTAGTTTGCTTTACGTATAAGAGAAGCATTGATTTCAAAGCGATAGATCTACAAGGTGAAATACTGCAGCAAGAAAGCACGGTGAAATACCTGGGCTTGCACATAGATGGAAAGCTAATGTGAGCTGAACACATCAACCAAATAGTGCAAAGAGTTTGAAACTGTATTATTCAGCAGCACTTTCTTTTAAACCTGAGGTCTAAGCTTCCTCTCAATTTAAACTTAGAATATATAGTCAGTAATAAAGCCAATATGGATGTATGACTGTGAGATGTGGGCTTCAGCTAGCAACACAGGTTAAAAGAGTACAAACTCTAAAAAATAGAGTATTGAGGCTCATAACTAATGCACCATGGTATATGAAAAACTTCACCATGCATAATGATCTAAATATATCACTAGTAAACGATGTCGCTGTAGAAGCCTACACTGGGTTGAAAAGAGCCATGGCCATTCACCCTAACCCCCTATGCCTGACATCACAGCAAATCCGCTGCCAGATCGACCAAATAGGTGCTTGAAAAGAAAAATCCTAAGTAATAAATACATATCTTCCGTGTTAGTATTAATTTTTTGTGTAAAAAAGTAATTTAAATATATTATTTATTGACTAACACTTGTATATTTGTTTTTCTATTCTCTTATTGTTATAAATTTAAATATTTAAGTGCGCTCTGTCGGTGGACAAAACCCCCACATCATTTTTCATGTTAATTAGGGCTGTGCCCATTTAATAAATAAGACATTGTTATTAGCAACTAAAATGTAATAATTAATTACAATAAAGTTCTTTGAAGAAAAAAAATCTATCCTGCCTAAGAACATATGTATGTTCAACTAAAAATAGATTTCATCTGATTTAGTTTGGTTTGTTGGTTGTTTCTGATCAATTTGACCTGTCAGGTATATTTCGACCTGTTCACCAATTTCGACATTAAGACAAAACATAACAACCCAGCTCTGAAGAGGCAAAAAGCTGAAACGCGTTAGACAGACCAAAACAGTGAGGGTAAGAAGAGTAAAATATGAATTTAGTAAAGCTTGTTAATTTTCAAATTTATTGGAAAAAACCTAATTCCTACTCTAGCTTCGTACATTTTCATCCTTACAGTAATGCTAATTGTCCAGGTTTTGTTTTCCTCCTTTCTTTAATCTTTCTATTCTTTAGATGTAACAAAGTCAAGAATTTTATATTCAACCACTCAAAAACTTTAAACAGTAAATATTAGCAGTTAATTTTACATCTCATTTCCAAACTGTTTACAATAAAAATATGTGGTTACACCTAGAAGAAAAATGATTGCATTTTTTTTGTAAATCCTTATTTTCATTTAGCAGTCATAATTGATGGTATAATTAATTAAAAGTTTTTGTAAATGTTAAATACCTCAATTATATATTATTATAATGCATTTTCTTTTATTTTACAGGTTCTTTATGTATCACAGTTATTTGATAAGCATAAGACTCCATTTAATTTTCACCAGAGTGGAGCGGTATCATCTGCTTCTAACCAAGCAATGGTAGAAAAACAAGATCTTACAATCCAGGATGGTGTACATGCAGCACCAGTCGAATTGTAAAAATATCCTTTTATATTGCTTTCCATGATGGTGAATGGGTTTTTCTATATCATATTTTGACAGCAATTTACGACAATCATTTTGCTTATAAGAAGTTAAAAAAAAAAAGGTTTTTAACGATAATATTCATATTAATCCCCATGTGCATTTTGTTTGCTATAAATGTTGTAAACACCTAAGACTGCTATTTATGATACTAATTTATTTGTATTTAATAATAAATACAAATTAATTTTAATTTAAATGTTTGTAGGTAATAATTTTTTTCACTGTGGACATTCCATGTATAAATACGATCATTCAAAAGAACAAATAAGGGTAAACTCTATATCATTTTGATGTTAGCTTCTTCAAAGTATAAAAATTTGTTTAAAAAAATTCCATGTTGCTTTTTTTTTTAAATTAAATTCATTACTTATTTAAACATTTATTTGAATGTCTTTGTAATTTACGCCCATCATCAGTATCTTAAAAAAAGTCTTTCATTATATATAGTTTCTTTTAAAATATTTATGACCATTTTGCATCAACAAGCCACATGGCCAAGATGGAAGAAGGTTACCTATTCTATTTAAAAAAATTTATTTATTAAAAAAAANTAAACATTTTAAATTTATAATTTCAACTTTATTTGTGGTTTATTTGGCAACATATGCAATTATGGTATTCTTTAATTGCTATTTTATTTTTATATTATTTTATTTTTGTTTTAAGGGGTTTACCTGTATAAGTTATTAACAACTTATTAACAACTTATTGTATTATTTATTCTTGTTTTGTTCTTAATAATGTGTGCTCCCATTTATTGAAATTAAATATCATAATTAAAGACATTAACATTATGTAATTACTTTGCTTTATGTATGTAATGATACTATGAATGGTAACGAGCATCTTGTAATTGCTTGTGCATGTGTTTGTTATTTGCATTTTTTTAATTTTCTCTATTTATTTTACAATTGGCCATTATCTGCCAGCTAAATGTTATGTAAAAAGTTACATAAAGTGTATCTCATTTAAAAATTATTCATAACAAACTGTGGCATCTTATCATTGTCATTAATATTTTTATTTTGGATTAATTAATTAATTATTGTTATTATTTATTTATTTTTATTTTTAGAAAATCAATTTAAACTTGACACATTAAATTTGTGAAGTTTTTTATTGGTTGACCTGGTCGTTGTGATTCAGTCTTCATTATTTCTTTTGACATCTTCTGTGCATTGTCTTTCCCTTTGTTCTTTCTCACACACTGGTGGTGGAAATGAAACAAACATAAGTCTGAATTCATGAAACTAGATAATTTGAAAAAAAGTTGTTTTTCTTATGGACTCCAGGAATCAGAAAATGAGTAAACTGTAATAAAACAAAACAGATCATTAGCTTGGTCCATTGGCTTTTTCCAATCATTTTGGCCTATCAGGCATATTTCCGCCTTTCACCATTATCAGTGGGTTTGTTTTCACCAATTTTTAAATGAATAAAAATAATACATCACTTCTGTGTGATAGTCTGAAACAGTGAGTATAGGCAAATCAAAATAATACCCAACTGGTTCATCACTCCACAGACTAGAAGAAACTCAATTTAACTTCCTAGTAAAAAATGTGTCTTGAAAATTAAGTCACAAAATAAATTAAAAACAAATTCTTCAAGACTTTAAATTTCTGTTTACATTTTTCATGGAAATTGCTTATTTTTGGATGCATAATGTATAAATACTCTTTCCACGGTGGAGGCTGGTCGCAATTAACCTTTCAAATTTGTTTTCTATATTTGAATCAACGGGTTGGGTATTAATTCAAGGTAGAAATAATAATGTGAATGTATATTTATGACAGCAACCTCAGAAAATGGCAAAATGCCAAATCGTATCTGACTGACACGTACAACGAGACCAGGAAAACCCGGATGACAGGGACTATCAAGCAGCGCACAAATATTTCTTAGTAAATTTTCATTCTGTTAATTAATAATTTAACTAAAAAATAAACTTCACTGAACACAAAATAAAATAAATGTTAATAGCCTGTAAAAATGTGCTTGCGTCAAACAGTATTGATTTGATAGCTAAATAGTTTGCGAAATGTGATTCCAAAATTGTCTCTTAATTCTGAAAATTTTTGTCTTATGATTTTTAAGTGAGAAACCCTTTATGTTGCTGACAAGTTGCAGAAGGTTTAAAGTGAAAAAGTGTATTGACGATTTCCTCAATAGGAAAAAATCTGTGAAACAGATTAATAAATGAATTACTTTGTTGTATTGTAAATTTTAATTACAAACACACTTTACGATACAAAAACTAACTATGTGAGTTCAATAAATTGAGTATTGCTTTGTTTTTACTTTTGCATCACGGCAGTTTGTAATTAAAGATTAACTTTTCTTTAAGGTTGGAAGGTTAAAAATAGTTTATGTTAAAGCGGTTATTTATTTATCAGTAGTTTTTGATCTTCAGTTGAAAAGTACTTACGAACAAAAGCCATGGACATGGGTTGAATGAACGTTTTTTGGTTGTCACTAAGTCAAAAATTGTTAGATTTTCTCCGAGTACTCTTGCCAATGGGTAGGAGCTGCGAAAAAAAAATTAAGTAATTTAACTTTTTTCAATTTAGTTTTTTGCCTTTGTTGTGCATTTATTTCAAGGAAGTCTAAGAAAGAAAAAAGTAAGCAGGATTGTATTAAATTAGCTCCTCACCGAAGATGCAATGCCGAAATGTATTTGAATACTCAAAAACTCGCGAGTAGAGATAGACCCTGTGTCAGTTCAACATGAGTTCACCGACTTGCAGACCAAAACACGATCGGTTACTTTAATTGAGATTAGCTTAAAAGTTACAAAAATCAAAAGCCGTTTCCAGTAAAGTAGGCCAATAAACATTTTTATTGTAAAAAAATTAAGTTTCTATTTAAGCACCCTTTAAAACCCTTAAATGCAAATTTTCAAAGCACTACAAAAGCAATCATTTTTTGGCTGGATTCGCCAAAAATTAAGAAAAACTCGAATGTTTTATTTTATATCCGGTTCTAATTTTTCTATGGAGGCCAAGTTTAAGCCATTACGTTCAGTTTATATGTTTCTAAATTCCTGTAAACTTCTCATAGATTGGTGGAGTCATATAATAATTTTTGTGATTTTTGAGAAAAAATCAAAATATTTGTTTGGATGATAAAAGAGTGAAGAAAATTTTTTCTCTCTCTCTCTCGCTCTCGCTCTCCCTCTCCCTCTTCCAGAAAAATAGCCAATGTAAAAGTATCAGCTCCCATCACTGGATTGGGCCTAGTGGCAAGAACGCTCGGACATCTGTCTAATATTTTTTGACCTAGAATCAACAAAAATTGTATAACGTGCTGTATAAGTGTATATATGGTTTTAACTTTTGCCAAGTTTAACAGTCAAACAGATTTATTAACATAAAAAGTAATTACATGGTATTTTCAAAGTATATAAAATGCCAATTATTGATATCAAATTAAGTTGTCTTTGGTGTTGGAATACTCAAAAGTATTAGATTCATACTCACTACATAATTAAGGCTAGTTTCTGCTAAATTCAACTTATATTTATGTTATTGTTTGTACCATGCTTTGAATAAATAATTAATTAAGGGCAACTCTGCTAAACTGTGTTGCATCTAATTTAAACATTTGATTTTATCTTGGTTTAACATTATTTATTAGATTTACACAATGTAAAAATTTTTTTATGAAACGATAATAATTATTATGAGAAATATTGTACATACAAAATGTACATTTACTCGTAAAATTTGAACTTTTTATATTTTAATGTGTATAATTATTGTAGCATATTATCTAAAAATGTGGTGTCCTTTAAAGCTTTCATGTGCTTTCAGTTTATTTTGCAATTTTTTTTTCCAAACAAAATCCAGTTCAAAATTATGGACAAGAAATGTATGTTTTCAGAGATCGATTGGTGGCAGAAAAGAGCAAATATTACTCTACTATGACATGGGTGCATAGTTAAATTGTTAATGTACAAATCTGTAAAATAAGATGAGTGAGCATTAGAATTAGTTATCTAGTAGGTGTTGGTTTATTATTATTATTAAGTAGTGTTACATATTAATGCATGAAATTAATTTTTCTTTGTAAGAAAAATAAGTTAAATATTTGTTTTTAGTTGAACAGAACCTGGTAGTTGTATGGTCGGTTAGTACCAGTAAAAGTAAAAAAGACATTTTAAGTTTGACAGAAATTTCCACTCTGAACAATTTAATTTATTTTTGGTAAAGGTTTATTGTTATATCTGTACGTTCTTGTAAGATTTTTAGTTATTAATTTAGTAAAATTATGCTAATTTTGAATTAATTAAAAAAGATTAGACGAATGATTAGAATAGAAACTATGTGTGCTGAGTTTATAGACAATTTAGTTAGCATTAAATTGTAATAATTGATATTCGTTAATTTAGTTTAATTTTTTAAAATTGTTGAGTGAAAATTAAGTTCTACCATGAATAATGGCTTTAATTATTTTTTAATGTTCAAAGTTATTAAGATAGACTTGAGTATTGTCATGTGAAGAAGAGAAATATGTAGATCATGAATTGTTGGTATGTTCAGATGTTTTAAAAGAGTTAATTTTCAAATTTGTCGAGACAAAGTGTCAAAAATGTAGTCTATAGAAAAGGTTGTAATATTTTTATAGTTTTGTCTAATTTATGGGTTTGTATACTAATTAACAATATGAAAAGCACAAGGGCAGTCCTCGTGGTTTATTTTCCCTTAGATTGTAAATGCCAGAATGTACAAAAGTATTAATAATATTATCTTCTTGAATATGATCCCCTTCTTACCAAATGCGTAATTAATCTGCCAGGAATAAATTTTTTAATGTTATTTGATTTTGGCCAAAATACAACTTATTTGATTAGATTTTCATATTAGTTTTAATTTATAAATCAATTTCAGTTTAAATAATTATGTTGATTAAATTTCTGTGAAATATGTTAACTTTTAATACCTTTTGCTAAAAATAAAAACTTTACAATTTTGTAATATTTGTAAAGATGTTAGAATTAGTTTAATGGTAGAGAAATAATTTGGGTAAATATTAAAAACATTACTTTTTACTTTATTTTCCAATTTTATATCATTATTATTTTTTTGTTACTTATTAAAATATAATATGTACAAAAATTTAGCCTTCTTCCAACTACACGAATTATTATTATAACTGTAGAATAGTCTTTGTAAAAATGAAGGGTTTATATTAAGTGCTCTTAAATAGAGCTTATAAATACTCTTGACCAATAAAATGGTTTTTTATGTGTTAGGTCTGTCTGTAATCTGTATTAGCTCAATATTCGAGTTCAGTACCTAACATATACGTTTTGCATCAAGTTTCATTGCCACAGTAGCGTTTATTAACTGATAATGAGTGATTTAAAATATTTTTAGACTAACAGGTAACCAGAAAAGTTTGTGCAGGTTTAGACGGTTTAATAATTTATTCAGGGAAATAATCTCAATTGCCATCTATAACCTTCTTCCAATGAGTTACTTACCCAGTTATACATTCAAATAAATTACATTAAAATTACAAAAGTTTGGATCCTGGGACTTAAAATATAAATTCAGCTCATTTTCTGGCTGTTGGCAATTATCGAACAATTGCGCATATGATTGTCGTTTGCCAAGAAAAAGCGAAAAATCATAGGTGTCCTTATGAAAAATTACACCTTTTCTGTTTCTAGGCATGGGTAAGAGATACTCTTTGCGGTTGGCATTTGTGCAGTGCAGCATATTCCACCAAACACAATCACTTTTTATTGGTGAATTGGTTTTCATGTCAATGGGACAGGGTCATTTGGTGACAGCTAATGGTACAACCTCTTGTTACTGTACAGGATCCATTTTTCATCACATGTGACAACCTGGTCTAAAATAGTCTACTTTGTGCCGCCGTGAAAGCAAGGGAAAGGTAAATGTTTAAACGGTGAAGGTTGTTATCGTCAATTTATGAAGAACCCATTTCTTCTGCTTTTAAGTCTTCCCAAGTCGATGTAAGCTAGAGCGAATGGTCAAGCTCCATGTCCATCCAATCAAGTTTGATAGCTTCAATTCAAGACAGACGAACCAGACTTGGTGCACCTCTAATCCCCACATTCCCAAAAGCATACTCTGAACCACTATTGAGCAGTGCATTCACTGTTTCATCAATGAATGGAGTTGAAGTTTTACAAGCACACACCAATTATGCAATAAAGCCATGAAAAAGAAACTTATTTCATAATTTACAATGAACTTAAGTTTTTTTTATTTTATTAACAGTATTAAAACAATAACAAAAGAAAAACGGCATGAATTTTTCTGGTCACTTAGTATATTAACCGTAGTTTTCAGGTATGTAGTGTTAGAAATGTCCTGTAGATTCGTATTTATGACTGATGTTGCCTTAGAATCACATTTAACATTAACTCGTCTACAATACCTGATAATTTAAAAACATTTCTCTTCATAAATTGTATTACTAGTAATGATATTGTTAATATAAATTATATAACTTCTTGTTAAGTTTTTAAAAACTTTATTTTAAGAGTTATACTGAAACTTAGCCTACACTGATGTTCATTCAGTGGAATCTAGACTAGAAATATTCTGTTTTCAAAATAAAGACAATTAATAATCTCTCTCGGGTGGGAGATAGTGCTGACTACAGTACTTAGAACAACACCTATGTCCCAGCATTGTAATCTAATTATAAATATTAAATTTATAATAATATTATAATTAAATAAAAAAGCGCTAGAAATTTTAAAATAACTATAGCTAGTTTTTTTCAAATTAATGATAAACCCATTTCTTCTTTAGTTTATGATAAATATATTTATGATTTCTTTCCATATGCATTACCAATCTTCTCTCAATATTACAAATGTTGAAGATTTGTTTGAACCACGATCAATTAAAACTAAACAACTATAAAAAATAAATAAGAAAAACCATAGGGTATAGTATATAATAAAGCGTCTTCTTCTGTTAATAATATGCCACCAGTATGGTTTATCCCCTTGTATTAGATTTTTGTAAACTTTTAGTATAAACATTTGGCATACTGTTGTATGCTCACACCATATTTATTAATGTTCAGTGAATATATAATAAATCTGTAAAATATTTAATATATGAAAATCAATTTGTGAACATAGGACAAAACTTATATAGTGAAAAACATAAGTTTTATTTAACCATACAATTATCTACCATGTTTGACACTAATGTAACATAAAACTAATGTTTCTGTTTAAACAGGTCAAAGCGAAATAATTAAACATTATTGAAACAACGAAAAAAGCTGCTTAGTTAATTATTAAGAAAATGATCTTTTCTATAAATATTAGATTTTTGTTTTTGTATTTTAAAATTAGTTTTATGAACAAAATTAATGTTACTACATCAAAAAATAAAATAAAATATGTTAAAAATTCCATACAGTTTATTATGAATCTGCTGTAATAAACAAATATAAATCTCTCATATTCTGTCTCATTTTAAATACAACAACTTGGGGGAAATCCAAAAAGTGTATAACTTCTTCAACTATCCTCTTGCATTTCTTATTTTTTTACTATAATATTAATAAAATATGATTTGTTTGAATTTCAGATTATGGAGTTGGAATGCGAAAGAAATTTTGTTCGCAAACAGAATGAAAAACTTGATCTAGAAGGAACAGGAAAGCCAATTATAAAACATAAATGTTTAAAAAAAACATGTTAAATGTAAAATTGAAATAAAAGATTTGTCAAATGTAATGTATAATTGTTATATTACATTTGTTAAATTTTATTTACATTATTATTGTGCATTATAATTTGAAAGTTTTTAAAAATTTACATTTCACACTTCTGTACTGCAGTGTTGAGTCCTGTTATCTATAGCAGGTAGTTACTAATAGAAACTGAAAAGACTGGCAAAACTGCATTAAAAAAAAGTTTAAAAATAAAAAGTATATTATTTTCAAAGAGAAGGTTTTATAAACAATCTGTAATAACTAATATAATTGAAGGTTGATGGGGTACTCAATATACTATCTTTGCCTCTCTCAGACACATTCACTCTAATATATACATTCCCTTTCAATATGCAAAAAAAGGAAAAACAAATCAATATCTACCAAATAATTATAATGAAGTAAAACAGTTACCTTCAAAAAAGAGAACAGGCCTAAATACTTGCCATGCTCAAGCACAATTTTCATGCTGGGTGGCATTCCTACTCACAGACTACATGGAGCCAAGAAATGACACCCTTTATTAAGTGAGACATGTTAAGTATTTTTTCTCAACATGCTGGGTTCATATACTTTGATCTAAAAGTGTCTGTGCGTACTAGTATGACCAAGTCCTAGTAGGGTGAGTATAATCCCTGTCCATTTATTCAGATACTCTAATGGTCATCTATCGACACCATGCTCCTGATAAGCAAGTGCTTCTCTGTTGATCTGAGCACCGACACTGCCATGCTGTCCATTAGTTCAGGCATGCAGGAGTACTTAATGTAATTAAAATAATGTGTCTGTTTAAAGAAAGTAAACTGCTGTCGGGTGTGACAAGAAGGTATGTGAAAGTTAAAAGTGGAAAGGAGATCAGGACAATCAGTAAGTTATCTATCAGTTTGTAGACAAAGAAGATATCAAAAATAAATCTACAGCTGTACACAGTTTCAAGTTGTGTCAGTTCAAGAAGTACAACATACGTAAACTGATCTAACATTTAATTTTTTGTTAGTGAAGGGAGGAGGGGTTTTTTTGGTTTTAGACTCTCTCTCTCTCCCTCTCTCAATTTTGGATATGGTTAAAGTTAATGAGGTAGGCATATAGTTAATAACCTCTAGTTTTGAACTAGATTTAAATAATTGTAATAATAGGGATTTTTTAAAAGCAGATGGATGTTGATCAAATGAATAAGCTAAATTAAAAATGTGTACCAAAGTTGGAATTATAAATTTAGAAATCTTTTTAAGAACAAAATTATTTAAAAAGATCATGAAAAGTATTATCGTTTTTCAAGCATTTAAAAAGGGGTTCAAGTTCCGAACAAGTTTATTCTTTCAAACAGTACCAATTATGATAAAAATTGAGATTTCAAATGCACTATTTTGATTTTCCTCTTTAATATTCCTACCAATACATGAAAAAAATTTATTAAATTCATTTGCGATTTTAAAATCGCCATCAGAATCAGAAAATAATTTCATTAAAATTTCCTTATTAGGTTTTGGTATATGTTAACGGTCACTAATCACCACACATTCCTCATTAGGTTTGTCATTAGTTGCTGATCTAATCAACTCCCAAATCTTGTTCAGAAGCAACACCATTTGTTAAAAATGGTTATGTTTAGTGTTTTCCTTACTTTAGTCAAAAGATTTTTGTATTTTTTAAATTTAGGTAACAATGAAGTGTTCCTTCTTGCCTTCGCATAATACATTCACACACACACACACACACTCATTCATTCATTTGGCACGTTAATAAAATATACTGAATTATGAAAAAGCGAGACTACAAAGATTTTAACGATTTTAACTTAATTCGTTAAATTACTGCAGGGATGACGATAAGCCTTACTTGAAACGCCGTGAAAATAAGATACCTACAGTAATTATTACGGGATATTGAAAAATAGTACAAAATGCTTGAGTGTCGGAATAACCCGAGGTCCGACAAATAAATTCAGCTATTTTATGGAGAACAGAAGCTACCTATAATAGATGATTTTTTAACTAAATGACGAATGAGAATTGGCACAAAGTTGCTTAAAAATCTAAACGAGTTATTGTCAAAATTGACTCCCCCTCCCACGTTGGGAAACACTGGTCTAAACGATTGTAATCCGGTACAAATATGCAAAATTAAAGGATGAATAATGTGAAAAAATAACAATAAATACTCTTTTTTATTTCCCTTTTAATTGTAAATTGTGGTATTTAAAGGCAAAAAAGTGGAACTTTTTGTGAGTTGGCGACTGTAGGAAATAACAGCGGTCGTGCTTCCTTACCTTCCTTTGATTAGCCGATTGGTTTTGTCGGTTTTGTTTCTGTCATGTTTTTGCTTTCGTTAAACATCTTTAGTTTTTCTACCCCTGAGATATAAGTGAATTTCTTTATACAAACAATGAATTTAGGTAAGATTAAAATAAAAATATTTTATGAAATTTGGCATTATTGTTAAGGCTTAATATTTCTTTTTGTTTATAATTTACACAAATAAAACAAATGAAATGGTCGCTCCAACATACCATTTACACAAATATAATAGATCTTGTACGATACTTTTTATTTATTGTTTACAAAAAATTCAATTCAAAGAATTTCTAATTTCTACTTTTAACCCTCATAACTAAACAATAATTATTTACTTTTAATATGTATGGTATGGAATGGTAATAAGAATACTAGGAAGCGGAGTTTGTGCTCCCCAGGCACTGCAGCCTTCTGGCTTATTGTACCCTCCTAGTTCTTTAGGGCAGTGAGGCTCAATCCTCTTCTTAGAAGTATCAGGTCATTGACTGTCGCTGCTGCAATTTCATCCCCTAGATTTTTTTCGTGTTAGGTTAAATTTAAATTGTTGCTTCGCATTCTAAGTTTATATTGGTGGCTGTGTCCTCCTTATTGCAGATGGGATCATTGTATATGCTCATGTTGTGTAGATGTTTTCTCAGGTGCTAGTGACCGGTTAGTAATCCTACCTACCACTCCTCTGAGTTTACCCCTCTCCAATTTCAGCAGTGATTTTGCCAGACATGGTGAGGGTTGTTTCATCTTAAGTTTACTGTGTCTAGCGCCGCTAGAGTTTATCCACTTCTCCTATTGTTTTGTTTGGATCAATTCTGCGATGGAGGGTTCTATATTTGTTATCCCAAGTATAGGTACAGGGCGTATGTATGGTCTTGCGGGTCCTCCTCTGTCCAATGTGTCCAAAATTTGTGTTTCCCCAGGTTTTGGAAATTTTGGATGCATTCATTGACTAATTTTAATTCCCTAATTTCGTGGTCCGCTTGATCAGTTAATATATTACAATTAATTAAGGTTTTTTTTAGTTGAGATAAAAAAGTCAATGGCATGAGCGGGATTCGAACCCATGATCTTCGGCTAGATACGCCGCTGCTCTACCACTTGAGCTATCGTGACCTCACGATGAGGTATAATTAATTGTAACTAATTTTAATGTGTTTTTTACGTGCTAATGCTTTAATAGCTGCTTGGCTATTAGATCTTATGAGGATTTTTTTTTGCCAGTGTAACCTCTTTTAAGATTTTCCAGGGCACTAGCATTGATTGCATGTATTTTTGCTTGAAAGACCGAAATGTACTTCCCTAGTGTGATTGCTCAAATTTTGGGCTAGTACAGTAAACACCCGATCCGGTTCCTTCGTTTGTTTTGGAGCCATCTGTATACTATATCATTGAATCTGATGCTCTCCTGTATTCTTCTTCTCTTTTATAGTCTTTGAGACATTATAGGATGTTGTAAAGAATGTTTCCAGAATCATATAGTCAGTCCTCATTTCTAAAAATGGGTGTGAAGCCTAAATGAGTTTCCTAGCCTGTCCTTGTATAATATTTCCAGTGGAGGTAGGTTTAACAGAGTTTCTAATGCACTTGTAGGGGTTGTTCTCATTGCCCCTGTGAAACATAGGTTTGCCAGTCTTTGTATTCTGCCTAATCTTTGAGTAGATACTTTTATTGAGCCACCAGATTAATGATCATAGGTTAATTTGGATCTTATTACAGCCGTATATAGCCAATGGGCCATTTCCGATTTTAATCCCAAAGATTTGCCTAGGGTTCTTCTTGTGGTCATTAGGGAGATTTTACATTTTACTATAGTATGCTGCAGGTGAGGGTTCCAGCTTAACTTCTTATCAAAGATTATTCCTTTATATATATATGAGGTATTCAACCTCATTTTTTAATTGCAGCATTTCATTATAGAAACGCAAGCCTTATATTTCCATGTTTCTTTTCTTCGTGAAAGCAATTAGGGTAGTTTTTGAGGGGTTTGCATTTACAGACACACACACACACACACACACACACATATATATATATATGTAAATAGTGTAAGCTACAATACAAGAAAGGAGGTAGGATGGTCTTGAGTTTCCATGCAATTATGTCCACAACATAAATTTACTTAATAATTAATTTAATATAAAAATTAATAATTGATTTAATATAAAAAAAATTCTGATCGGGGATAGTATAAAACTGGATCGCCTCTGCCATCTGGGCCATGATTGGTCATTGAGGTTGAAAATATATTTCATCACTTGTGATTCCTGTACAAAGTGGATGGTGGCATTGAAAATGCAGGCTAGCAAACATACAGTCTGGGCTGTTTGGGTAAAGTGGCGCATCTCATTTTTTTTCTCACTTTTTGGCTCACAGCATTTGAAAGTACGTTATCTAGTGCTAATTCAGTTGTAACACTTTTCCCATGGGCCTGGGGAATACAAACCCCGCTTCCTAGTATCCTTTCCACCTTTCCCATGGGCAAAGAACTTGAAAAATAAGGTAAAAATAATGTAATACATAATTTCCTAAATGAAAATTCTCATACGTTCAAATATATTTTTCAACAAATAACATATTTTTCTTTTTTAAATTTTCTACAGAAGAGAACAAGTTAAACTTGTCGGGGCAGTCTTTGAAGAAGATTCCGAAAAACCTGCCAGCAGACATAGCAAGCAAAGTGACCGAGCTCCACCTTGATAACAACGAACTTCAAAGGCTGGAAAATATTTCACAATTCCCCAATGTTGTTGAGGTACGCTTAACTAAAAGTATATACATTTTGAAAAGTCGATTTATTTTAATTATCGTTATTTAAATTTATAGTTATCAGCCACACATAACCAAGTTCCTAGGATGTACCCAGTAGCTCCTCTCCACCATCTTGTACGACTTGATTTATCACACAACAATATCATGTCCATCGAGGGACTGAAAGAACTCGTCCATCTTTCTTATTTAAACCTTTCAAGTAATAAGATTAAAGTAAGTACTGCTTTTTTGCACGGCCTGCTTCCTACCATTTATACTTTTTTTATACTGTGCCTCCACTTCACCCGCTACGAATTCCATTTGAAATTGTCAGGGTCTCTTCAGAATGGACAAAAGTGTCTTTGGCTACTGTTGTTTCAATTTTTTTAAATTTTTTTTGTCGGCTCCTTTCACCTCAAAGAAGCCGACTCCTTATATAAAAATGTATTTTTATTCCCGACTTCCCTCCTCACCCCTTAAAAAATCCAATGTATACAAACATAAAACATCAATATCTCACTGGCAGACAAGAATGACACATCTAGACGGAAAACAAACAGTTTGAGTGAGTACAAATACTTTGATTGAATCTAAAATTTTCTAGCATTGTATAACTTCATATTTTTAATCTAAAATTTTCTAGCATTACATAAATTCTTTTTTTTTTAATCTAAAATTTTCTAGCATTGTATAAATACATTTTTTCACATCCTACATGTATTTGTAAAATTTAAACAATGTTTATAAATCCCAGGCCCTGAAGATGATCTCAATAAAGATCGAAATGTTGGCACAATAAAGAAAATTTTTCTAAACCCTACGCCAAAAGCAGACCGCATCTCATGGTCTCTGAATAACTATTGTAGAAAGTTGAAACGACTTTTATTCTACTACACACTCAAGTTGTGTCATTTAATTTATATCTCTTAGATAAATGTAATAAAAATTTAAATAAATCATTTACACTATTTTCAAGTACCAGAGATTTTACGTGATAAAAACAAAATGACCAAGGTTGCAATAATTGTGTTATTGGCCTTAGTTTCTCATATTAGCCAGAGTATACATACTTATTTTTAGGGGGAGGGGTCAGAAATTTTAGGGATCACTGCGAAAATCAAACCCACGACCTGACTCTGATACCGTGGTCCCCTTTTGTAAATTTGTTCCTTCTCACTGATTAATCTTTATTATAATTATTTTTTATTCAATTGGTTTTTGTTTCAGGTTATTGAACACTTGAACACCAATTTGCAATTGGAGCATTTAGATCTTTCGGATAATTTTATTAACTCAATAACAAACATTAGCCAGTTGACAAAGTTGAAGGTATGTTTTTGTTGCTGACTATTCTTATTTAGAAATGGCCACTATTAAAAAATGTACACAAAGTTTAAAGCATTTTTGTTTCCATCCATTATAATTGCATGGTTCCTAACAGCTAATTAGCTTACATTGCTATAAATTTTTCATAAATTTGGACTATAGCATGCTGTTTGACATTATTATTTTATTTATTTATTTATTTTTAACTAGTGGTAGAGCTTATACAAAGGAAAAAATAAAGAGGAACCATCCATCAGTGGGTTAAACAAATTGTGCACTTAGTTTTTTAAGAATAAATATGTTGAATAATCTAATGATAATTTAATAACCGATGATTATTATAGCAAACAAAATACTAGAAAATTAGAAACCTGTACATTCTAATTAACACCAAAACTTGAAAAAATTATTCATTCTTTAACAGTAGTTATAATAACAAATAGTAAATTCATTCTCAGATTAATGTACATAAATACTTTATTCTTAAGTAAACAAAGTAAGATAGATATATTTGTGTAATTCAATATTGAAAGATAATTTGTCAAAAATGGATCATAAAAAAAAAGAATTGAGATGCAAAGTTAAAATTGTTATACTTTCTAAATAAAAAGTTGTTACCAATATATCAGAAGAGACTGAATTGTCTCAATCGATGTTCAATATACTTAAAAAATAATGGAAACAATAAAAAACACATGGGCAGAAAATGTTCACTGACAGTGAGAAGAAATTGTGCAAAAGCTGCAAAAAATCCTAAAATAAGTGTTCAAGTGCTGGCAGAACATATATCATCACAACATGGAAAAGAAGTTACTCCTTAAACTCTTACAGTGGAAGAGTAATAAGAAAAAAACTAAATGTTGATGTTTGCCCGGGAGCATGTTAAGAAACCGATTTCATTCTGTAAAAATGTGTTGTTTTCCTGATGAAAGCAAATGTAACAATTTTGGTTTAAATAGCAGGAAATTTTTTTGCAGGCAGAAACGTACAAATTTTGACCATAAAAATTTGCAATTTATAGCTATAAAGCATGTTGAGCACTAGTTGGGTAGTTGGGCTTACACATGGGCAGTTAGTGCCCATTTGTACCTTTTCAGGACTGATTTTAGGATGCTAGAACACATTCCCCTGCCGATATTCTCAGACACTACGTGACCCCTATCTTGAATTGCATTGTGCATCGAAATTTGAAGCATTTACTCCTTGTGAGGTGCACTAATTTTGTTCAAAATTTATCAGTACATTCCTCAGACAATTTAACTTTCAGTAAAAGTAAGTAAATGGAAGGAGAAAAACAAACAATGTTGTATTTAATTTCAATTTTATATTTCACAAAAAATTTTCATTATGTATATTAAAATATAATAACCAAAAAATAAAATAAATATTGATTACTGATTTATTTAGCTCAACACTGTACATGTATGTACATACAAACACACAAGTGGAGAGTTGAAAAAACAGAATAAATATATATAAATAAGGACAACAAAACAAAAATAACTAAAACTGAGGGCTCTTCGCAGACCGAAGGTGAAAATCAAAATAGACACTAGGGTAGGGGTTACAGATGTTTTTCATTCAAACAAGACAGGCCCAACTCTAAATCCTGATTACTATGAAACAGAGCTCCAGAGTCTAGGATCGAACCTGAAAATAAGCTGATCAGGTGCTTTTTATAATTCAAAATAATTAAAACATTTTAAAAACAAAGTTTTTAGTTAAACAAGAAACTAATGATAATTAACATAAATTAAATTTATTTATTCTTTTCTATAAACAATTGGAATTTTTTTTAAATTTGACTAAACCGGAATTTTATCTCTTACAAACTCTTTGTCTGACCGTCAGGAAAACAACGGTGGACAGGTACTCATTATTTGTTTATCATCAATCCACTGTGAACCATTTTTTTTTTTTTTTTTTTTTTCAATGGATACCAGTGACTGGAGGAGTTCTCTCCTGAACACTGCAGCTGAGCTGTACAGCTTATTGTACTTTATCCCTAGCTCCATATATATATATTTTTTTTTTGGGGGGGGCTCACAACACAAATGTGAACTTGAGCCCCCGTTATGCCGGTGTTCTTCCATTGAAGAAACGCATTTTTGAAGGGGGTTGGGACCAAATTCAGGGTCGGTGAGATACGATCCCGCCCCTTCCATTGATGAGTGCCATGTTAATTTCTTTCAATTGCGGCCATCGGTCCCCTTAGGCGTCGAACCCACGATCGCGGGATCTACCTGCCGAGAGTCTGACGCCTTAACCACTCGGCTACCGCGGCCCCCACTGTGAACCATGATTTCTTCAGCATTATTTTTTAGGATCTAACACTTTCAGTCTCCCCTGCACGAATGGGCTTGATCTCCAGACTCTACCTTAAAAGTGTCGATCCATTTTTTCAGCACTGAGGACTAATCATAAAGTCTAAATCACAAAGTTGTCACTACAAAATAAATTGATGTGTGACAAAATTTAGGGGAGAGTAATGGTTGAGAAGGGCAGGGGCAAGAAGTAAACGAAAGCATGACATTTCCAGTGAGTTGTAGATATTGTGGCCAAATGATTTTTGAGAAAAATGATTGTCACAATTTAATTTTGCCACAATTTGCCAGATTGTGAACACAAGGGGGAGAGAAAAGAGGGTTAGTTATGATGAGAATGTAGAAGGAAGGGTGTGGGAAGTGTGGTCTATTTTATTTTCTACCGAGTTGTACTGCTACACATTGAACAACCACAGGTCCAACAGATGCCATGTGTGTCCAGCTAGAGTTTTTAAAATGCAAAAAAAAAAAAAAAGAACGAAATAACTCACAAGGCCTGGGGAGTGTATAATCCCGTATGAGGCGACTTATCACTACTTCCTAAAAGGTGAAGCTTTGAACGTATATTACAATGCAGAAAACTAGGAATATCTAGTACTCTGGGGAAGTGAATGTGACAATGTTTTGTGGGAGTTGAAAGGATATTGATGTTGTAATATACCACAATTGGGGCATTGTCTACCTTCTCTTCACTGGGGCATTGCTATCTTCTTTGCGCTGTCTGGGTGTTTCAGCTGAGGGGGTAGGGGGGGTACTGTTTTTATGTCATTAGTGGTGTTTCCGGGAAAGTAGGAAGCATGAAAATCATTTTGTTGGTGTTTTCTTGTTCTTTTGATAATAATTTGACAACTACTTGAGGTAACTATGAGGGTTTAGCAAGTTTAGAAAACAGGAAGCAAAATATGGGAGTCAATGACAAAGATGCGTGAAAGAAAGAAGGGGGGGGGAAATGAAGAATTTTCTTGATGTTTGTCCATAAATAATACATACTACTGCAGAGCAGCTATTCAAGCAGGATAATGATCCAAAGCTTTATAATATACATAGCTCTTTATATACCATTCATTCAGTTAGGGTGATGGAGTACCTCGATATTCTTCCATCATCCTTTACACATATTGGGTTGTCCGGAAAATAATGCAGGATTTTAAGTTTTCATTAAAAAAAATCTATATAAAATATTCTGTTTACGTTTACAGGATTACTCATTTGTATGAATGTCAACACTTATTAATCCTCTTCCAAATGATATTGTTTGTTTACCTCTGTAGCATTCCGCTACTTGGAAATAATTCAGTCATCCTTATAATGTCAAAGCGAGAATTTCGTACGATTTTCTTTTACGAGTTTAAACTCGGCCGAAGCGGAGCCCAAACGGCTAGAAACATTAACCAAGTCTGGGGCGAGGGTTGTGTTAATGAGTGCACTGTGCAAAGGTGGTTTAAAAAATTTCGGGAGGGAGATTTCAGCCTTGAAGATGAAGAAGGTCGTGGAAGGCCTTCCTCTCTTAATGATGATGTTCTGCGATCAGTGGTGGAAGAAAACCCCAAAACAACTGTTCGAGAACTTGCAGAGCAACTCAAAGTCAGTAAAACGACCGTCGCTGACCACCTCAAGGCGATTGGAAAAGTGAAAAAACTCGAAAATTGGGTTCCACACTCATTAAACGATCGCCAAAAAAATCAGCGCTTTGATGTTTGTGCATCACTTCTTTGTCGAAACAAAAATGACCCATTTCTGGCCAGAATTGTTACATGTGACGAAAAGTGGATTCTCTACGATAACACTAGACGTTCTGGACAGTGGCTCGACAAAGGAGAAGCTCCAATACATTTTCCAAAGCCCCCAACTCATCAAAAAAAGGTAATGGTTACGGTATGGTGGGCTTCATTTGGTTTAATACACTACAGCTTCTTAAATCCTGGCGAAACCATCAATGCTGAATCATACTGTAACCAAATTAATACCATGCATCAGAAATTGGCAGTAATGAAGCCCTCTTTGGTCAATCGGAAAGGGCCCATTTTGTTGCATGACAACGCTCGACCACATGTGTCACGTGTAACGTCACAAAAATTATTGGAGCTTGGCTATGAAACTTTGCCTCACCCACCCTACTCTCCGGACCTCTCGCCTACTGACTACCATTTTTTTAGACACCTGGACCACTACTTACAACACATAATATTCAAAAATCAAACGGAACTGGAAAATGCATTTATTGACTTTATCAATTCTAAAAATTCTGAATTCTACTCAGACGGAATTAATAAGTTACCAACACGTTGGGAGAAATGTATTGAGAGTATGGGAAATTATTTTGATTAAAGAACATTGCTTTAAAGTAACTAGTTTCTTTTTTTTTGTTTAATACCAAAATCCTGCATTATTTTCCGGACAACCCAATATTATACAACTAACCTAATTGAAGATCGATGGGTATTATATTCCGAATATCGCTTCCAGTGGCCACTTAATATGACATTGAGAATCGAATCCGGATTACATGATATTTGAAAAAATGTTGCAAAAAGAGGGAAAATTACAAAGGTTGTAGGTTGAGATGAAGAATGGGTGTCTGAGTGGATCGAAGTCGTGAAAACTCAAGTGGTTAGAGCAGCGGCACATTGAGCTGAAGGCCATAGGGTTTGAATCCCGCAGGTGACACTAGCTTTTTCATCTCAATCCAGACCTTAGATAAAAAGTATAATTAATTAAAAGTAAATTATAAGTGTGACAGATTTTTTTTGCATCTAAAATTTTATACACTTATGCTTGCAAAATGTGTTGCTTCAGACATAATAGTGTGTTTGGAAAAAAGTAACATTTTTAAAAATTTTATGCACGTCATTTAGTTCTTAATTAACTTTATTTGATAATGTATCACATACCTTCACTCTAAATTTAAAAAAAAAGCAAGAATAATGTCTAATTTTATGCTTTGAGCATGTAACAATATTTTTTCCTAAATTAATGATTTGTTATAATTTCTAAAGAATGCTAGCTGTATAATGTAAATTTTTAATTAGAACTCTACTTTGCATATATTCATGATTTCTTTCAGCTTATTAACATTATTATTGCAAAGTAAAACAATTTATTATACTGTTTCAGAAACTGCTTTTACATAAGAACATGATTGTCCAACTTCGTCACTGTGAAATATTACTGCCTACTTCTTTAGAAAGTTTAACTTTAGCAGCTAATAAAATTAACGATCTAAATGAAATATCTCATCTTTCAAGTTTACAAAGTCTACGTGATATATCAATTGTTTCAAATCCTTGTGTAGAGATGACAGGCAATGCAGTGTATCCTTTACTAACAAAATTCCTAGCTTTGGTTTGATTTCATGTGTGGTGTGAATTATTATACAGTAACACAATTAAACTTAACATTGTATATATTTTTTTCAGGTTAAGGGATTTTCATCTTAAAATCTACCAAATATTTACGCCTTATGAACATACAAGTGCTTGTGTGCTTTTATATTCACTCATATNTTATCTTTGGGGTTGCATACATTCATTTCAAGCTCTTTAAATATTAAAATAAATAACAAAATAGTATTAACACAGATCAATTTTTAATTCTACCAGGTAACCAGGAAAGTTCTTGCGGGTTTAAAAGGTTTAATAATTGTCACAATTAAAATTATTTTAGAAATATTTTATTTGGAGAAATAGTCTCCATGAGCATCTATAATCTTCTCCCAACATGTTATTAGCCCAGGTATGCCTTTCTTATAAAAGTTGTAAAATGTCTTATAAAAGTGACCCGGGACCTAAATTATAAATTCAGCTCATTTTTCAGCTGTCGGCGATTATCAAACTCTCGGGTGATATGAAAAGGTGAAAGTCATATAGGGCCATGTCTGGAGAGTAACGGAAGGTGTGGTAGGACCAACCAAGTTTCATTATCACTTCCTTTGTCGTTCTGGCTGTATGAGGTATCGCATTGTCCTCGTTAAAAATTATAGTTTTTCTGTTCACAAGAATTGTTTCCATGGAACAAGTTGGTAGTGCACAATGCCTGCCATACTCCACCAAACAAATCACCTTTTGTGAAAGTTGGTGAATATTTGGTTTTCGCGTCAATGGGCAGGGTTATTTGCGGGCAGCCAATGGTACAACTTCCTGGTGTTACTGTACAGGATCCATTTTTCAATTCATCCAAGACAATCCAGTAAATAAAGTCTTTACTTTGTGCCATGAAAGCAATGAAAGGCAAATGTTTAGACAAAGAAGATGTTTACAATTGGTCAGTTTAAGAGAAGGCTATTTGCTCAGCTTCCATGTCTTCCAAGGTGATGTAAGCTAGAGCGAATTGTTTCATCGCTTACTTTGAACACTCTGGCGAGCTCCTGACATGTTTCACTTGAATGTTCAATAGTTTCCCTCAATTTGATGTCATTCAATTTGATGAGACAGGTCTACCAGACCATGGTTCGTCTTCAATCCCCTCATTCTCAGAAACTTTTTGAACCACTTTTGGGCGATATGCACACTGTTTCATCACCGTATACTGTTAAATTTTACAAGCTGCCTCAGCCGCCCTTGTAAGTATGTGTGAGCTTAAATTTGTTCAATAAGGACACATGAATTAGGGGATTTGATGCCATAAGAAAGAAAATATTTTATAATTTACATTGAACTGTTCAATTTTTTCTGGTATGAACTGATTATCTTCTATATTCTGGAATTTAAACATCTAATCCTTCTATAAATAGAAATGTTGATTAACGGTATTAAAACAATAAATTAAAACATGCATAAACTTTTCTGCTTATCTGGTAAAAGCAGATATATTTGTTTGACAAAAGATTGATCGATTTATATGTTTATGAAACTGTTGTGTGTTTTTGTATATATTTATATTAATGGTGTGTGGTTTTAGGTGCTGAATGAATCTTTTTTACTAAGAATTTTGTATATATTGCCATGTGCGATATTTTCATGATTTAATAATAATGTGCTCAAGGGATTGAAAGAATATTTTAATTCCGATTTAATTCGTCTTGAACATGTTCTAGTATTAGTAAAATAAATCACAAGTTATTTAATAGCATTCAGACAGGGCGCAAATTAGGTTTTTAGGTAAACAAATTTACAATTCTAATGAAACTTTTTTATGATACCAGGTCGAAATATGTCAGACACTTGTCAGAGCATTCTTTCTCATGGGCCATTAAAGCTGAGAAAAAAAATTCATTTATTTAAAAAAAAATCTGTTTTGTTGTTTATGATTTTCCAGGATATTCATATATTAGTTGATTTGTATTTTTACATAGAATAAGAAAATGATATGCTGGATCAGACATTATACAAACCTCACTGGACACTTTACAGGGGTTTAGGACTCTCTAAATTACACGTAATTTGGACATATTTTGATAGGCATCTACAATAGCTCTAAATGAGACTGATATTGTGAGCAAACTAGGTTCAAATATATTTTTTAGCAAGGAACAAATTTAGTATTCGTTTTCTGCACCCTCAAATAAAGTTTATTGGGATAATAAAATTCTAAATGCTTTCACGATTCACATTTTTCTTGTAAAAAATCACAGAAATTATTATTACTTTGAAATGACTCAGCCAATTACAGAGGTTGTGACAGAAAAAGCCAATCCAGCCCAAAAAATGACCATTCTTTATTGCTTTAAATTTGTATTTAAGGATTTTAATAGGTGCTTAAAATGAATTAGAATGTTTTTTCTTTTTTCAATAAAAATGTATTTCGGCTTATTTTTATTAACGATTTATATATTTAAATTCATTTAATACAAAACAGCATGTAATTTTCTTATTCCACATTAAAAAAATATAATATAGATATATATGATAACCTTTATGACATGACAAAGATTTAGCCATTCTCACATCAGGACAAATGTGACAACCTACTATAGAAAGGACAATCTTGGATTGTAACAATATTTTTTTTTCTCCTAATCCAAAGGCTTCAATTTTTTCCAGGGCTCCTAGACCTCAACTTTTTTTGTCTTCTTCTTCTTCTTCTTCACCTTACTGTTTTAACTTTTTTTGCATTGGCTATTAACATATTTTGTATTTATTTATATTTTTCCCCCCCAACCGTATGAAGTTTAACTTTTACCTTGCTCCTTTTCTTTTGATTTGGTAGTTTTTATTTTGTTCTTAAGAAGCTTCCTTTTTATTTGTTTTAACATTTTATTTTGATTAAGTAGTCAATTGAGGTTGTCCAGAAGGAACGCAAGTTATTGTAATATTCCATTAGCTTTGGAAAAAATCAAAAACTATGAATCAGCAGGAAAAGAGATTTTCTGATTCTCTCCTTCCTCCTTCATTTAAAAAAAGAAGGTTACCTGCTCATAATTTTCTTATTTATTTTAGTATTAATTTTTTATTGAAAAAGTCTTAATAATGGAATTACATATCAGGCTAGGATAAAAGGAACGCAGAAAAAAAGGGCTTCATCCAAAATATTACAAATTGAAAAAGTAAAATGACATTTATCACATAGGTTTGGGATATTATTTCACATTTTCTACAACAAACATGTTTAAAAGATGTGGCAGATTATTTTAAATTTTATGTTTATGTAATGTTGTATGTGTAAATTTAATGTTAAATCAATACTTTATCTTTTTTCTTACATAGTTAATAGTGGATTTGATTACCGTCCTTTTCTTGTGAACTGGTGTACAAGTTTAAAGTGCATTGATGGTTTTGTTGTTGATGATATTGAAAGGTAATTATGCATTAATTTATAAGCTTTCTGGTAAAAGTATTTAAAAAAAATTAAAATATGACGTTTGTCTTTTTTTAGTTTAAAGGGTGAATGGTTGTATTCTCAAGGGCGTGGAAGACAGTTCAAGCCAGGCCAACATGCAGAATTAGTACAATATTTAGTTGAAACTTGTTCATTAAACAACGAAAATTTGCAGTCTGAACATGAAAGGAAGCTGAGATTAATTTTAAGTAAAGCTCACCATCATCAATCGCAACTTAGAATGTCAGAACAGCCAGGTTCAGGTAAACTCTCTACTTTATTATTTTTTTTACTCTTTATCGTCGAAGGAAATGTATTGTTTATTTTTTTGAACATTTTTTGCCTAAAAAGGTCTGAAAGTTGTTGAACATACCTTTGTTTGATTAAAAATAAGAAAAGAAAGACAAGGATAATCAGGAACAGATTTTATTATTATTTAATATTACCAACAATATTGTTGTAGCTAGTGGAAAGCTGCGAAGTTCGATATCTGAACTAATGTCCAGAAGTTTAGATCCAACATTACTTGATAGTTGCAGTACACATATAACAGATAAAAAATTACCAGATGTAAAAAGTGGTAAGTGTAGTTTATATTTCATTTGATGTTTCAGTGATGGTATGTGCAAGTTAGCATATTTTCATTTTGTTCCTCTAGAGAATGTCTTAACAAGGAGTCTTCATTGTGAACCTGTGACGACAAGGGAGATTGATAAGATGGTATCATATGCAACCCCTTCTCCATTGCCAGCTGCTTCAAAATTAGTGCCAGTACCAGAATCTCTAATAAGCCCGATGGTAACAAATACTCCACCACTAGTCATGCAAAATGTCAACTCGGATACGGTTTCTCCGTGTAAATTGCAAACCATTAAGAACAAAGCACAGCAGAAAAGAGTGAAGCGTGGTATTACAAGTGATAGAGGTATTGCTCTATATTATTATTTTTTCTTCTGTGTAATAATTTGTTTTTTCTTCTTAAATATTTTTTGTAGAACAAGCTGCAATTTACATTCAAAAAATGTGGAGAGGCTATCAAACAAGAAATTTGAATCCTAAAGTTCTTTCCATTTACCAGCATTTGCAAACAAGAAGGACTTATCAATACATACAGTATGTTTAAAAAAGTTACTAGTGTATGTATACATATATCTTTTTAACAAAAATTTTTATCTAGAAAATTGTCTGAGGATATGGAGGCAACAAGAGCAGCACTAGACAGTGAGCATAAACTGCAGTTATTGCAAATGCAAGCAATTAATGCACTATGGAAAAAGGTTCGCATAAATTATAATATACACTTATTCAAATTTATAACTTGTGGTTAAGAGGCTAAAAAGTAAATTTTAAAATTCTCCAACTGCTAACAATTTCATCTGTTTGGCTGTGTATATTGGGTGTGTGCATAGTTTTTTTTTCTCTCTAGAAAAAATGTCCAATTTCCAAAATATAAATTTATTTTATTTTTAATCCAATGCATAATTTCCTTTGTTTTCCATGACAGTACTGTGTTGGTAGCAGAAATATCCCCTTTTTCTAAATGTCTGATGATTTAGACAAGACGAAATATCTAACTAAGTCAGATTTTAAGAGTTTTCGTTCAAATATTCCCTACCTTTTAAGTGATTGTCAAGGAAATGGAACAAGTAAAAATCAGGAGTGAGGTATGGAGAGTATGGAGGGTAGGGCAACTCCGCAATTTTAGTATGAGTAAGCGCAGCTCTGTGAAATCTAGCGTCATGGTGAAACACGACATTTCGTTTATTCACAAAGGCTGGACCTTTTCCTTCAGCACTGCTCCCAGACATTCTGTCTGGGCATAGTATACCTCTGCTGTAAGGGTTTGGTTGCGCATTAACAATTTCCAATAAATTATTCCCCGAATATCCCACCAAACAGACAATAGACCTTACAAGGGTGCAATCCTGCTCTTGATATCAATAGCGATGTTTCATTCTTCTTGTAAACACTTTTCGCATTTCAAATGAAAACCATTCTGATTTATTCCTATTCAAGTTTGAAATGCAACAAAAGCCATGCTATCTTCTGACATGAGTTTTACAAGGTAGAGATCAGATTCTTTGTTTTATTGCTGTGTTATTTATCTGAAATCTCTCTTTTAGCTCTGCTACGTTTAATTTGTCTCTACTCCAGCACCACTAATAAGTCATCGCTTTTAAGTTCCACAACAATGCTGATTTTGTGATGGTGGATCTTATACAATAAAAAAAACTAAATATAACATAAGCTAAAAAATAATATATTTAAAAAAAAGCCTCTTCTTGGCATGAAACAAACGAAAAATTAACAATGTTGGAGAAATACTTTTTCTAGCACAACAGTAATCTTTTAACAGGCAATGTTCAGAGATAAAAAACTTTAAACAAAATACAAAATTAACCGAAATGAATCGCAAAGATATAAGTACCTTGAATCTTTCAATATGGCATAAAACTGTAAAATTATAGACGTCTTTCTGCCAGCGCACTCCTTTCCTGATAGCTACTTATCTCCTCCTTTTCCGATGTGTTTGTGATGATCGTCCCCTCTCTTCCAAAGTGCAGATCCCTTTCTTCAGAACGATCATCACAGTCTTTGATTTGTCTCTCTCCATTTTGAAAATGTCAAAACCACTGTTGACATACACATTCAGTTACTACCATAAATTGTGACAACCATCTGCCACTCTATACCTGTGATTGAACGTATAGCAAGCAGTGCCTCAAATGAATTGCATATATTTCCATCTCGCGTCGCAGTTTATTCTAGACTGACATTCAACTACCCTTTCTTAACAATCTCTTTCAATGTCTTTTCTCATTCTAGAGTTAACATGACAAGCAAGCAATAAAGGATCATTATCAAGGATTATATAAGGGTTAAAGTTGAAATTTCAAAAACTCAGGAGTTTTTGAAGGATATTAAGTCGATTACTTTTTCTATTTAGTTAAAATTATATTTACTTAAAAAAAATATTAGTAGATATTATTTAATGAATATATAAATTTAAATAGATCATAAGCATTCATGGAGGTTCTTGTTGATATTTTATTTTAGGTTGTTAGTTTGCAGCCTGCTAAACTAGATGAAAGCATAGGTGAAGTGAAAGATTTGGCACAAACTTGTGATCGATTAAACATCCAGGTATGTGTTTTTTAAAACTAATTTAGTGTTTATTTAATTTTTAAGAGAATAGGACAAAAGTCACTTAAAATAGTAGATAAAATTTATCCCTAGGTTGTTATTTAAGCTTCGTGAATGTGGGTTTTTCTATTTCGTCAATTAATGCCGGTCTACTCCAAGAAAGTATTCTGGGACTTATCCTCTATTCCATTTATACACATGCTTTTATAGCAATCCAAACGTTAAATGCATTTTTGTAAATCGACAAATGTTTGCTTTTCTGGGTAGAAAAATAATATCCCATGTTCAAAATCAAACAAATAAATAAGGTATGTGTAGGCACTTAAATTCAAATTCAAAATTGTGATAATTTTTTTATTTAGTGCTTAAATAATATAATTTACTTATATTTATACTATAAAAATATTACATAGGCAATTAAAAATAATATAAACAACTTAACAGATTAAATTAATGATTATGTGTAGGACCATCCTAATTAAACATTTATAAACAAAAATAAACAAAATAATAAATACAACATAATGAAAATATTAAAATATGTGTTATAAAACAAACAATTTAATAAAACTAGATTTCAATTAATAAAAACAATTACGTTACACAAAATTTATGTAATTATAAAATAATGAAATAAAAATATAAAATTTATGGAATAAATATATTATGTTCACATACAGCACTTCCTATATTTGATTTAACAAAAATGTCAAAATTAGGAACGTCTAAAAAATATTACATATTTTTCAACGTATAAAACTTATTAACTGAAGAAAAATAAATTTATAAATTTTTGTAGTTACTAACTGTTGAAATAGTTTTAGTTTTATGAGCATCATCTTGTTCGTTACTATCATCTTTGTATAAGTCACTAATGAGTTCAAAATCGAGGTCAGATTCTAACATAGCACAAATTCCTTGATCGAACATATTTTTCAAATGTTATACCATTTTAATTTTTTTTCTCCATGAAGTTTCTTCTTTCTAAAAAACCTTTGCTTTTTTAGAACATCAAGTAGAAACTAGAAACTATGAAAAATACTTTCTAATAAAATTACATAAAACATTTAAAACTGTTGAAAGTTTAAAAACCACAACTTACATAAACAGAATAAATAGTTTATTAAAAAAAAAAAAAAATATGTACCATGCTATTATTATTTTTTCTATATTTTTTACATACATACATAATTATAAATGTGTGATTTGTCACAAATGAAAATTATGGCAACAATTGTTTATTCCCAAGACAAATTTTCAATTATTTTGAACTAATTTTACAGCTATTTGGGATTTTTTTAAAGTTGGTATAATGAATAAAGCAGTATTATGAGAAAGTTGAGATTTATTTTTTATAAAATTCACCTATTTGTGAATCATGTGAATTCATCTCCACACACATCCTCTGTGAAGTGAGGATCATTTGTTGAATTTCGCACCAAAATGAAGCCGGCGATGAGCGGATCCGAAAATGATGAACACAGGTTGAAAGCAGACACTCAACTAGGCCTAAGTGTAGAAACCCTAGGGAATTCATAAAAGCCTGGACCCACCACGACCAAACAAAACTAAAGAGAGGGCAAGCGCTAGGTGGCGGCCATCAGGTTCTTGGGCTTGCACAACCAAGCTCCAAGTGGCGCCCAGCAAGCAAAGCATTAATCTAAATAACAGTTTTTGTTAGTTTATGACCTCTAGTCTTGTCTACTTTTGCAATTTTACTATAAGACCCATTGCAGCATATTACACAATGCAACTTGTAACTCATTATGTTTTTTGTTTTGTGATTTAGGTACAACAGCTACAGTCGTGCATGCAAGAAGTCCTTCGATGCGTGAGTCCAAGTAGTGGGAGTGCGATGGGAACTCAGACAGATATAAGTGCTGTACGTACACCCTGTACAGAATCCAATGATACTAAGTTTCTACATTGTCGCCCATCCACACTTTCTTTACCACCGCAAAAAGTGACACAATATGCTGATGGATTAGTTGATGGTGTGATGAAAGATACAGTCGTAAAAGACTCTGTTCCTGTATCGGAAACTCAAGAATCCTTAAGTTAAATATATTGTCTTTTAACGTTGTATACAATGCAATATACAACCAGAGAGTGCAATTGAGAGTATGAATTTTTCATGTTTGATATTATTGTTAATACAATTAACTTCATTGACACACTAACTTTGCTACAGTATTACATTTAAACATTAAAGTAAAGTTACAATCTCTAACGGTATATATAATATACAAATATATCAAGGTTACTGATGTTTTTCCTAAAAAAAAAAGTAACAATAAATAGAACACAACTACACAATTTTGAAAATGTTTTAAGAGTGGCCAGATGTTAATAACACATTAAGACAATGTCAATGTGCCTTTAATATTATAAGTGATTGAATATTCACTTACACAGAATTTGATAACAGTTTATAGCTTTACTTCATTTTGCCATCTCTTCTATTTTGTTTCACTTTCTTTTTTACTAACTTTTAGGATGTTTAGCTCCCTAAATCAACCTATTTTTTTCTGCTCACCACTAATCCTCATTAATGGTAGGCAGCATTAAAATATCGCCTTGCCAGCAAGTGATAGGACGGACTAATTCTTCATGAAGAATTACATTTATTAATTTAACTGTTCATCGAAAGGAACCTTACCTTTTGTTTATTGTTTGTTGTTTTTGTTTCATTGTTTTGTTTTGTTCATTGTTTATTATTATTTAACATTGCCTTTGATAGTCACATATTTCAGCTTGTGTTGAAAACAATAAAAAAATATATTTAAACAGTGTTATTATAAATTAATAGAACAATTTTAAAGTGATATTTTTTAGAAAAAAAGTTTAAAAAATGAAATTCTCCAATAATTAAAGTATAGAATTTGGTAAGAAAAAAATAATGCTGATAAATATTTGAACTTTTGGTTTTGTGTACAAAAATATATAAACAACACTGCCAGCCATGATAATTTTGCCCTGTAGATTCTGTGTTAAAGGGCTGTCAGCATGATAAACAATTGTTCTGTTATGGTTAAAGACAATGGTTTGTAAGGTGAATTGTGAAATGTGGTGGTGAGGTCTGTGAGGTGATGGTGATGCAGATTGATTGTACATGATCATCTTGATCTGAAATGCAGAAATGCACTCTATTATACAAAACTGATCTAAGTGACAAATTATTACATTTCAAGTCAGAGATTGCATTTGGATTTACTAGCTCACCAGAACTTTGTATCAATGCATTTGTTTGAAATAAAAAAGGATATGTAATTTGGTCGTTACAGATCATTTCGGTAAAATGATCAGTAATAACCAAATTACCAGTTAATAATCCCACAGACCCCAGGAGGAAATGTTCAATTTAACGTACAGTAGTTTTATTAACAAATAGTAAGTCCACATGGTTAAATTTTAATTGATCACCTCAGTTCAGCCAGACTTAAAAGACTTGATAATAGTTACGTCAAGATATATGTATAAACATATAAACAGGCATCAATGAGATTGTGTTTAATTACACAGTATCTGTTAAAGTACAGTAAAGTATGCTGAGGGATTATCTATGTTGTATTTATCAGGAAGTACAAACCCTCGGTTTGCACTTAGATCTTATATATGCTTTATGAAAAAACATTGAATTATGGATTAGTAACCTAACCCTACCTGACTTAACCTAATCAAACACATCATCCCTAAATTAACCATAAACCAACCCAAACGCTAACTCTACTTAATTTAATCTAACCTAAGATGTCCCAAACCCTAACTCTGCCTAACTTAATCAAACCTAACCATAGCCCTACTTAATCTGTCCCAAACCTTAACAATACCTAACATAGTGTTGATGATGATATAATGGATATAATAATAATATAGCGATAATTTTTCACATCTTTACTGTCACCAGATTTTTAAATGGGAAGTATATGCTACATTTCTATAAGTTTGGAAACTGACCTGTAGACAGGGATTGATTAAATATATGTAGGAAGGAACTACTAAACAGTTTTTAAGAAGTATTGCAGGAATGGCATGAGGACCCACTTGACAGAGTTTTTAACGAAATTTTTTTTTGGAAACGATTGCATCATAAGGAATAGATATAACAGAAATGGAATTTGAGGAAGAGGAAGATTGAGATTTAGTGTTGAGTGAAATTTTATTATTGACAAATTTAAAAATCCCTTCCTCTCCCATACCCACAACTTCTGGTGTTCCTCAAGGCTCCAGTATCTGCTCCCCCCTCTTATGCTGTATCAATGTTCTTCCCAATATACTTAAATATGCTTATCACCTCTACGTGGATGACCTTCAAATTGCAATCAGATGAATCCAAGAGGACCGCAATAACAGTTCCTGGGCCATTGAAAATAGACTCTCACCGTTTTATATTCGTTTTAAGCATCCTTTAAAGGTGTTGGATACACATTTTTATCGCAAACAAAAAATAGAGATTTTTGGGTTTGGGTCAGTCAGACAATTTTGTTTTGTAGCTGATGTCCTGTGCTTTACGTAAAAATTCACAACTTGTCTATATTTGATGCAAGTTCAATGTTATTACGACTACTGAAAAGCTGAATTTATGGACAGGATGTTTTTATTGTTGGCTTAGAGTTCTACACCCATGTAGAGTTTCCTCTGGATTGATGAAGTCAGTTTACATTTATTACAATTTTTGTGATTTTCAAAAAATAAAGGCACACAAAAGCTGAAAATTTTGAAGAAAAAAATACACTTTGTTTTACCAAAAATTTGTATTCAGAGGTTTTTTGGGTGAAAAAATATCAAATTTCTTTCTAAAAAAATATTTTAACTTAACTTTGCTAAGTCTCTCTCTTGCCGGCCTTGCTAATGTTAGTTCACTTTTTTATATAATATTTTTTTATTCACACATCTCAGTTTTACATAAATTCTACAAAACTGCTTCCATTTATTTATTCATTTTTATTTTGGCCTACTCATGGAACATTTTTGTAGAAACTATACAGTTTTTGATAAATAAATTTTTCTGACTTTGTTGAGTTTGTATTTCAAGGTTATTATATATCATTTATTAATTTTTTAAAGCTAAGATAAGAAAATAATAAAATTATTCGGAAATCGTGGGATGTGGTCCTGGCATGATGTAGGTTTCCGAGTAACGTTTTCTTTATTGTGCCAACATTTCTATCTTTATTGAGATCATCTTCAGGGCCTGGGATTTACAAACATTGTTTAAATTTTACAAATACATGTAGGATGTGGAAAAATGTGAATTTATACAATGCAAAAAATATTTTTTATATTCAAAGTATTTCTACTCACTCAAAGTGTTTGATTTCTGCATAATTGTGCCATTCTTTTGTGTCGCGTTGAGAGTGCCAGTGAGATATTGCTGTTTTATGTTTATATACGTTGGATTTGAAGGGGTGGGGAAGGAAGTCGGTATAGAAAGACATTTTTGTATAAGGAGTCTGCTTCTTTGAGGTGAAAAGAGCCGACGAAGGGAAAAAAGTTGGTAATGGTTCTAATAAATAGGAAAAGGAAAGCTAAATTGTTGAAAAATGAGACTATGTAAAAATGATGTGTGAAAATGTGATGAATGTTTTATGTGTTCTGTGTGATGTGATGATATATGGATGTTATCTATATTGAATTTGATTAATAATATTGGCGTAGCTGCGACTGAGTTTACATGTATCTGTTCTGTAATTGATGCTGTGTTTATCTCTGTTGATGTAAATCATTTCTAAAAAGTTACGTTTATGTTTGTTTTGTTCTGTGTGTAATATTTTTGGATTGTTGAAGTCGAAATTGTGTTTGTGTTCAAAATGGTGGGTAGCGAGTACTGTAGAATAAATATACGTAAATACTATGTCAATAATAAGCAGGGTCATAATAAATGAGATTAAATATAACAAATGTTAGAAAAACAAAAAGTTGCTATAAGTAAAGTAGGTAAAAAATTTAAAAAAACCTTCAAATTTGTTTTAAGCACCCTTTAAGTCCTTGAATATTAATTTTTATAGCAAACAAAATGTAGAAAATTGTGGGTTTGATCAGCCTTAACTAATTTTTATTTTTCAGCCAATGCCCTGTGTTTCACTTAAAAATTTACGACTCATCTGGATTTTATACAAATTCAGCATTATGACAACTATTGAAAAGCTGAATTGTTTACTTTCAGCCTATGTCAAGAAAATTTAGATTTTATATAATCATGACTGAAAAAATAAGGATGAAATCAACAAAAACACCACATTTTATTGTATATTTCCGGTTCTGATTTATTTATGGAGATGGCCATTATGTATAATTTATAGAGGAGGTCCTAAGTCATCGAATGTAATGCACTATATGCTGCAAGTGCCTTTTATCAGTTTTGTAGGGATAAAAATAAAGATAATATATAAATCTTGTTTTCTGTCATAATTGTTCATTGTATGGTTTATAGAGTTTTAAACCCTTATAAAGTTTCCTGTGGATCGATGGAGTCATTTTAATTTACTATAATTTAGTGACTTTCTGAAAATTTGTATTCTGGGATTTTTCAGGAAGCAAAAAATCTATGTTTCTTTTTTTGTTATATACACTCCCTATCTGGGTTCAGCTTAAATTCATAAACTGTTTCCATCCTTTTTAGCATCTTCATGAAAGGTTTCTGTAGAAAATAACACAACTTTCTTTCCTTGTGTTCTTGAGACGTTCCTATAATATTATTCTTATATTATTGACGACTTATTAAAATGTTTATGTAATGCAAAAAACAAACATATCCTTCGTATTCTGGGATACGATATTATTTTACCTTTATGTAAAATGGTTTGACTGTATAAGTAAAGACAGATTAAATCTAATTTTCTTTAAAAACTTTGATTTTTTAAACATTTTTATTAGTTTCTAATTGACATTATATCACGTTACATTTGTTTAAACATTCAATATGAAAAAAGATTTAGCTATCTAATTGGCAAAGTAAAGCTGCCCCTCTAAGAATCCAATGGTCTGTTGTATCATTAGGGTTGGTGTCAAGCAATATTGGTAAGACGTAGTTAGTCGAATGTCCAGTCGTTGATAGTTCACCTCTTCTTTCAGAAGTTTTGTACAAAGGGCACAAATATCTTCCTCCAACTACCAACTTGGATTTGTGACAAGGTTTGATCCACATTAGAGGTAGACTATCAAACAGTACTTTAGGAAGCTGCTCTACCAGAAAGTTTCTAAAAAAAAGGAATCAAACAATTCTATACCTTTCTAATGTTTTAATACTACTGAAAATAAATATCATGAAAATACCTTTTTTTATCCCAGCGTGCCCCGTCTATAAAGAGTCCATAAACTAAAATGCCACAGTCAATAACTTTCTTTTCTCCTCCGATATGAAAATCGAAAACAAGTTCATCGATTGAAATTTTAGATTTTCTAGCATAATTTTGCATCGCCCCAGTCAAAAAACCTTGAGTGAAAAAAAGTCCAGATATCCAATATTCTGTGGGTTTTCCATTAAGAAACCATTTCTGAAAAAAAAAAGGAACAGTTAATGGTTAATAATCATAATTATCATAGTGCTTATTAAACTGATCCTTGATCACTCTACTGGGCCTGTCGACTCTCATGCAGGCACATTTCACTCAAAAACGTTTGGCTTACTCCATCTTTGTCCTCACTGAAGATGTGTGAAATCTAACCTTGTGAGAAAGTAGACAGAACCAATAAAGTGTTCAATATGGGTTCACTGATTTGCAGACAAAGAACCAAAACCGAAAAAAATCAAGCAAACAGATAGGCACTTAGTGTTAATATTTTTCAATTGTTTTTTAAATCTTATCACTTAGGATCGACCTACAATTTATAACTTTGTTTGAAAGATAAAAAGGAGGTTCAGAAAGACCACTTTTTGATCCTTGAAACAATGTTTTTATTACATTTTAAAATGCTTTACAAAAATTGTTCTTAAGATTTTAAGAATTCTGTTGAAATACCGATGATAAACAGTGGAAAGGCTATGTGGGACATTTTTTTAACATAAATCATATTCCCCTACCCACGAGATATCATTGTCTCTCCTTTCTCTGTCTCCCTTTTTCTCTGAGTCTCCCTTTTTCTCTGACTCTCTCTCATGCAGTCTTCTTCTGTGACTCTTTTCCTCTCTTCTTCTCTCTAACAAGAGGACTACCAGGTTGGTTTGACACGGATTTAGTCAAACTTTTTTTGGTGATTCTACACTCCAAAATATAAAGCAAGTATTGATTTATCTTTTTAAATCATACCCAATTATAATATTGTACGTCTTAGAACATTTTGTTTTTACGTTAACCAACAATGAAATTATTTGATTGAATTGAAAATATTCGGTAAAGTTTTTAGTTATGCTGATGATACATGCTTGATTTTTTCTGAAAGGATAATTGATAATTTGATTATATCTATTAACAATGATCTTAGACTTGTTAAAACACAGTTTTCTTCTGTTTACTTTTAAATAATGATAAATCCAATGTCTTACGTTTTGTATTAAGTAAAAGATTAGTTTTAAAGAACTTTACATTTTGTTTTCATGCATGTATTAATTCATTTAACTGTAACTGTTCCCCCATACCAATTTCAAATAATACTAAATATTTAGACTCTATTAGAGTTATATTAGACTCTAGGTTAAATTTTAAGTTACAACATTGATTCTTTGGTGAGAAAACTCCTTTATAAATTTTGTTCACTGACGTAACTCCTGCCACCTGTTACAAGCACAGCTTGTAGGTGACAGGCGAAAATGTGCAGATTGGTTAAATGACTTACTTTTACTTATAGTTTTATTATTTTATCCTTAATTTTTTTTCTCTATTTATGTTTCATCTTACTGTATTACTGTAGTTTTCGCAAATAAAATTATTATTATTATTGCACCAAAAATATTTTTTTAAACTCTAAATAACTATTTATGCTCATTTAATTAAATGTAATTTATACTTATAATTTTTATTAATATTTTATAATATAACAATATAATTTATAATATTTTTGATGTAGTAGTCTTATTGTTGTTAACAGAAAAACGAAAATGTTCTATGACGCAGAATATTAAAATTTGGTATGATTTAAAAAGATAAATCAACAACATACTGCTTTTTTGCATACTTTAACGAACATTTTGTAAGCAAACTAGATCAGAAAATGGTTAAAACTTGGATTTGACCTCATTGTCGTAATTCTAGTGTTATAAAACCCTTAAATACCAACTTTCACGGGCATTGGTGTAAATTAATTTTTTTGACTGATAATTTCAACAACCTATCTGCCGGACTGACATTCCTAGTGTAAGCTCTAACATCATTTCTCTCAAAACTTAGATTTTTGAAGAAATTGTTAAGTGCTTAATTGTATCAAACATTAAAATTGGACTATTATTTCCATTTAAAAAAATGAGGTTAATTTTTGACAAATAATTTTCTTATTTTGAGTATTTTTTTATAGAAATCTTTTATATATTTTTATGGTACAAATGTTGTAAAAAAAGTTACATTCCTCTTCTTTTAAACGGTATGTTTGAAGTTAAAATCCTTTTAGCCATATTTGAATTATAGCCGTTTCAATCACATATTCTTAAAACGAATTCTTAAAAATTGGAAAAATTTTTAGGGGTCAAAAAATCAATAAATTTAAATTCAAACAAAAATTTATATTTAGGAGGATGTGGCAGATATGTGTCCAATATTTTGGAGTATAGAATCACCAAAAAAAGTTTGGTCCAAATCCGTGACTCACCAACCTGGTCATTCCCTTGTAAGACTCTCCTCTTCTATGACTCCCTCTCTCTCTCTCTCTCTCTCTCTCTCTCTCTCTCTCTCTTTTACTGACACTTTCTCCCTTTTTGTGACTCTCTCTCTCTCTCTCTCTCACTCTAACTTTTTCTATAACTCTCACTTTCCCTCTCCCTCTTTCTGAGTCTCTCCACCTTCGATGACTCTCTAACACTCCCTCTCTCTCTTTCTTTATCTGACTCTCTTCTTCTCACTCTAGATTCTAGGTTGTAACTGAAGAAAATTTTATTTAAATATATCAGTAAAGTAGTAAAAGTAACATAATTCCTGCCATTCAGGAGGGCTTAACATCTAACTCCTTGGGTGTTGTAGATGGGGGAGAGGTCAAACCACTTTACGATACGGTTTTCATATTATTATCAATTAATATGTCAATGTCATAGGCTATGCCAGGATTTGACCCAGAACTGCTAGCATGGCGAATATGAATTGAACATTCAAAACACTCGGCCAATGCAGGCCCCCGTCCACCCCCCATACATCAGTATATACACAGAATTACAGCACTTACGTTTATGAAGGCAAGTCTTTCTAATAAATCTTGAATGTAAGGGCCCAACGGTCTTAAGCTCGGATAAGAATATTGGCTCCAACTCCCTGGTACTTTAGATTTCAACAAGGCATTCGATATGGCTTCTAGTTCGGGTGTCATGACTATTCTTCCTTGAATACCCAGTTTCAATTGCTGCAGTGATGTTTTTATCACTTCTGTTAAGATGTTGAATCTTTTCATTTCTTGAACAAGTACTGTATTCATTGATTCTTTGTAATCCACAGGGTAATTTTTCTCAGCTGCAGCAACATCAAAGTAGCCAGGAAGCTAAAGGATAAAAAATATATTTAAATAAAAATCAATAAATTTATTGAAACATTGTTTCTAAATATCTTGTTTTACACGATAAAAGATGGTTAATCACCTTCTCTAAAATATCGTCTACAATAATGCCAACCAACTGTGCTTCTCCTTTACTATTTTTTGCACTCCTTCCAGAAATAAAAGACATGGAATCTGTGAGTTGTTTAAATTCATTTAAACTTCGTTTTATTCCTGCATTAGCATGTAGACCATAAATTTCTGGCGATTGTATGGGTGGTATATTCTGTGAAACCATAAAAAACAAATTATGAACAATATCTCATACATTTTTTTACACAAGTTTTCTTAAATTAAGAAAAAACCTAAATGTTTCATTAAATTCTTAAAAACACAACTGACAGATGTGTTCCATTTTCAAAAGTCTACACTTTATTTAATAAGTGCCAGAAAAAGAAATTAAAAAAATTTGATTTTATGATAGATAAATGATGAAAGGATCATAAAATCATCATATAGCAGACTTTAAAACATGTTACGATCATGGAATGCATAAGAAAAAATTTCTTTACAATAATCTTTTCTTTTACATTTTATTACCTAAGTTTTCCACCTTTAAGGAAACTGATGCATAAAATGTATTAGTTACTATAACATACCTTAATGAATCTTAGAAAATCCGTGTATCCGTATTTAAGTGGTATGGCATATCTTTCGTCCGGTGGGGCCAAATTATAATTAGGGGAGAAAATAAGGTCACTGTTGATGAATTTACTTAACAAAGTGCTTAACGTTCTTCTATCCCAGTTGTCCGTTACCCTTCCTCCATAATTACACTCACCAGCTAAGTATAAAATTGCATCGTATGGGATCTCAGCGAATTCTTTCAAATACATCTGAAAATTAATTGATTTGAAACATGAAATTTAAAAAAAAAATGCTGTACCAATTTGTAAAACCCAAACCATGAAAAGTTTTATGTTATTATATTTTTAATGTTAGGTTTAAAAAAAAATTATGTACAGCTGAAATTTGACAAATTATTATTATATACTATTCTATAGGCAAACAGCATGGTTTTTTGTAAAGGTAGAATACAAATGTTTGCTAAGAATTAAAAAATAAAAGTTTGGATATTTGAAAAAATAAAAAATAGGAAATTTGTTGAGCGTCAGTGTTGTTAAAAAAACAACAAAAAAACAACTAATATTTCAAAATAAAAAAGGTCTTACTACCTTTAGTTGTTCGATTGATATTAGATAATCAGATTCATTAAATCCATATGGCGTGTTCCATCCGATAGATCCGAATTTTTTCCTCTCTAATATAACCGCATGAAAGAAGCTCAGTCCAAAGAGCATTCTAGCAAAAATCAGATCTTTCCCTCGGCATGATTCATAAAACTTCGGCTGGCATACAGGCTCAGAGTTGTATAGCCTTTCTAAATTTTGTTGAAGCCCAGTCGGCGCCTCATTGGTTATTTTAACGCCGTTTTGCAAAATTGATTCAGGAAACTGAAAACAAAAGATTAAACTTATACCTCATTGTATTAACAATTATAAATTACATAAAAAGAGGTTAACAATGCAAAGAGCATGTTTTTTGTGAACAGAAGGGGGAGGGAGGTGTCGGCTATACATTGGGTACAACCATAGCCCGAAAGGTGCAATGTGTGTCCAGCCAGACAGCTAGAGCTCTTAAAGTGTTAAAAAAAAATGAGATAAGAGATAACTTGTGCTCCACACCCAAATGAGATAACTTGCCATAAGTCCTGAAAAGTTTTTCATAAAACACACTTCATGGCTGCATTGAATTACTAAAGTATATTCTCTTTTATTTATTTTATTATTATTATTTTTTTTTTTTGTGAGTGCCAGGGTGATGGACCTGTAATTTGGTTGTAACTGATCATTGTGTTATGCCAATCTGGTTCGGTCTGTCAGACATGTTTTGGCATTTGCCATCTTCAGCATTAGTTCTGTCAGGGTCACAGCGAGTATGGTCAGACCAAAATGATTGGTTATGACCAAATTACAATTTATCCTTTAAAAAAATAAAATAAAATAGTAAGTAAGTAAACCTTTGACGTTGGGTAGCTGGTAAGCCAAAGTCGGAAATTCGGATTACAGTTGGTAGGGTGAAAATCTTCGCAGATTTTTTCCAAAGTCGGCAGCCAAGAGAGACAAAGGTGACAGTTTTGTAAGCAGATCCAATGTCCTTCAAGCTGAGCACTTTTTATTAGCTCTTCGGCTTTAGGTCCCTGTTAATATCAGATAATATTAATGTTATATCAATTAAGCCAGTTGTAGTTTTTAGACACTATTTAGACTTCTTTTATTCAAATATACTATGAATACTTATTTTTTCAGTTAGCTTTTGGGCCACACACACTGAACAATAAAAACTGGTGGAAGAGTTCAAGAAAAAGAAAGTATTGATCAAAATTAACACTGTAACTTGTTGAATATAAACCATTTATTTTATGATGTGCCACTTTAAGTCATATTTTTACAATTAAAAATAAAAATAAAATAATAAAAATAAAAATCAGTAATATTTGATACAGACCTGCCCTTGTCCAAGAGACATTGACTTGAACTTATTCGTGAAGTCCATTTTATGCGCAAAAGCCATAAGCGCTTGCATCGGATCAACACCGGATGATAAAATGAAAATAAGTGGTGTATTGAACAAAGAGTCCCTGAAAGATCTGCCAAGATCAAATGGGGGTGGCTGCATGTACCTTGGTCCGATTCTTTTTTTTACAAATTCATATATGAGAGCAAAAATCTAAAGTGACAATATATTAATATGTTGTAATTACTTGTTTAAAAGAAGAGGTTTTGTTGCCTATAAATATATTTTTATGTACACTTACTCTGTCAGGACGGAAAACTCTGAACACTAATAGTTTTTTGAAATTGTTATTTAAACTGCTCCTGTATCCGAGCGGCAAATCATCAAATCCAGGCTCAGGGAGTTCATAAAATTTTTGCCATTCTACTGCAAATGACGAGAAATGGTTCAGAATGTCTGAAAAAAAAAAAATAATATGATTTTATTCTGTTCCATCACATAAACAAACTACAAATTCAATGTACCTTCAAATCCAGGCAAATCTTTTAATCTACAGAGTTCGTCCCATGATTTAGTGTCCAACCAGGAGCTTTCAGTATTAGGGAGTTTATTTTCTAAAGCAAGCCCACCAGTGAGAAAAAAGTCAAGTTCTTTTTTGGAAATTTCTTTATAGAAACTAAAATGATAAGAAAATATTATTTATACTAGTGGCTTTGATTAATACTGAAAAAATCCAATATGCCTTAAAATGAGCTATTTTAAGTCTATTCTAATATTATCATCTACACTTTAGAGCAGCAAGGGTCGGCAAGTGTTTTTTGAAAAGGCCCAAAAAAAGTGTATCAACGTCTATAGTCCACTCATTTAATTCGGAAATGATTAACTTTAGCAAAAGATGGTCTTATACAAACCCCAAGTTAATTTTGGCTAGGAATTGTGGTGGTAACAGATTAATCGCTTCCGAATTAAATGGGTGGACTATAGAAATTGATTCATCCTGCATATGTATTTTTTTACATCTTACAAGTACCTATGAATTTACTACCATAAACTGATGTAATAATACTTACAGCATAATTGCTGTGCATACTAAGAAAGAGTACAGTGGTTTATCTTTGTCGAACAGTGATCGACATACACTTGCATACAATGCACGTAAAAATCCTTCTTTCAGGTATCTGAGCCTAAAGTCCATCATTTTTGACTTTCCTCTGAAACAATAAATCATATTTAGTTTTCAGGTATACTATTTACTAAGCCCCCCCCTCCTGTGCAATATAATTTACTTACGAAAATTCAATTGATACAGTATATATATTTATGAACCAGCTTAATGAGTACTGATACATTGGATCGACATTTGGCAGTTCAGTTATTGTGTAGTACAAGTTAGCGCTGTAATCGGCTATTGGCTTGTATTGTAAACGAAACTCTTCGATTATTATTTCTGTCTCTCTGGCAGCTAATTGTTTATTTGTTAAATCAACTGCTAATGCCTAAAGGGAAACAGAAAATATTATAAAAACATTGAATTAACAATTTTTATTTTGTGGAATTTTTTCATGAGGTCATAATTGAACTGTAAGTTGGGTTGTTTCTCCCTAACCTTGCTGATTTTATCTGTCAAGCATTTTGGGATACTGCCATCTTCAGTAGATGGTTTTTCTAACAGATAAAAGCAGCAAGGCAGACAAAGTTGATCGGAATGAAACTATAAATCTTATTTATGTTAACTAATCGACCCTGATCATTTTAATCTGTTTATCCTTGCTGGTTTACATTTCATATGCATTTGCCATATTCATTGAGGAATTAATATGATCAGGTTGATCAGATCAACAAACTTTACTGCCAACTTAATAAATTTTATGTTTATACATAATTATATAATTTGTACTTACTTTTGCCTTGTCAAGGGTGTCAACAGCTTCCTCATCTTCAAGAATATTTCCCTGGACTGATGATAACACTTTTAAAATGTCATCTTCAGTTTCTTGAAGAGCTTGCCGGTTGGCTGCGCCTTGCACAATTAATTGTTCTCTTTTCTCTTGCAAATCGGGCCTTAAAACAATATTGAATTATAGAAGAAATATTGCCTTTTACTATTACATTTAGTGTCAGGGTTAAGAAAAAGAGTATAAAAAGAAAATGTAAAAATGATATAATTTGATATATTTGATCGTTACTGATCATTTTTGTCTGCCTATCCTAGCTGGGTCGGACTGTCATATGCACTTCAGCACCATTTTCAGTGTGTCTGTACTGATGGCAAAATGCCACAACACTCCTGACCGAACAACCCAACTAACATGATCAGTAACAACCAAATTTCAGAATCATCACCCCCTCAGACAACAAGGAGAAATTTCATTCTGATATAAATTAAATAAAAAAACTTGTCTTCAGTCAATCTGCCTGCTTAGTCTTGTTTTTTTTTCTTTCTTTTCTCAGTCAGATGTAAGCGAAGTAAAAGAGCCACAATTGATGACAAAAAAAAATGCAAAATTTGCCTGACAGAAAAGCAAGCAATCTCAGATCAGATCATACAAAATTGTACTTTACCTTTCTTTGGCAACTACAATCCCCAACAGTTGATCAGACAGCCCTTCAAATGTCAATGAAAAGTTAATCAATGTAACTTTATTGAATATTTCAGGAAGATAATGTGGATTCCTTAATTTTGTTGTTATGTACATTTTGAAATTTGATTGGTACTCAATTAACTTTTCTCCAAGAAGTATGAACACTTCATTCCCTAAAAAGCAGAATAAAATATACAATTAATATTACAAACAGATTCTTTTTCTTGAATAATGTGAAGTCGTATGACTATTTATTTGTTCAGAGTAAATTTCTATTCTCACCTTGTACATATGTACTTTTCAATAGTACAGGGTCTAAAGGAGCGTCCATGTCTTCGAGTACATTTTCCAGCAAGAGCGGTTTTCCATACTCTATACAAGTTTCAACAGTGCGCATATAGTTTGGATCTGACAATTTAATTATTTCCAGTTCATGATCTTTTTCCATTGATTTCACCCATCTATTTGCTTGTCCCTGTGGATCAATAAAAAGCGGCCACCTGAAATAATTCTGTGCGTTTAAAAACAATATGATATAAACGGATTGACCAAGTTTGAATGTTTACTTTGAAGATGCGTTCATAATTATGGCATTGTCTATGGAAAAAGAGTCTGCAGGGAGTCTATTCATTATCCAGGAATGAATTCTAACATCAGAGCCCAAGTTCTTCACCAAAGAATAATCCTTCGACGTTGGAATAAGAGATTCGATGCAAACATTTTTCCAATCTTCAATTTGGCTATTTCTATTTTAAAAAAGCAGATGATTTTAAATAAGAAGAAATAAAATACTGCTAAATAGATCTAATATTGAATATATTGTAGATAGTTTTAGAGCCAGCAGACTATATTGGCTGTCACTAGCCCTCTTATTTTTTGCTGTTCTTCTCCATTCCGCATTTCATTCCTACTGACGCTACAACAAAATTTTATTCTCATCTATTAACCATTAATATTAAGGTAACCGACTCTTGTTTCCCTATCCTGTTACCAGCCTCTATTTACTTCTTATACATTAACACAGCCCCAGAATTCTCAATATTTCTCAGGTTTATCCTTCCACACTAATAAATTACATTCACACACCAGACCTCATTCACATTGCTCCAGAGTACTTCATAATCCTCTGGGTGATTGGGGAAGAATTCGTGCTAAGAAATACATCCACACACCAGACTTCATTCACACTGCCTAAAAGTATATTAATTCTTTGGGGTAACTGAGGAAAAAGCACATTCATTCACACTAATAAATTACATTCACACACAATACTTCATTCACACTGCCAAAAAGTATTCGATATTCTGTGGGATAATTGGGTAAGAAGCCTCTGCATTCATGCATTCTTAATAAATACATCCACACACCAGACATCCTTCACACTGCCCCAGAGTACTCGATATTACTTAAGGTTTCTCCTTCCACACTAATAAATCACATTCACATACCAGACATTATTCATATAGCCGTAGAGTAGTATATATTCCTTCGAGAATCAACCTCTCATTCACGCTAATAAATTATTGTTTAAACATTCACACACCACACCATTCACCCTGCCTCTGAGTAGTTGATATTCCTCAGGGTCTCTCCTTCCACACTAATAAATTATATTTACACAGTACATGGATACAAACATGAATTGTTGCTCATTTAACTGTGCCTGAGTACTCAATATTCCTAAGGGAACAAGAGTTTTGACTCCTACATTCTCGCTAATAAATACTTTCATTCCAATATATTTCACAAACATAAACATACAAAGGTCTATATACGGTTTAAAATATTTATGGTCATGTAGTATTGGACCAATGATGTTTGTTCTAATAAATAAAATACAGATCTAATACATATAAATTATGCTCAGAGCATTACTGATTGACCATTCAATCAATTAAAAATTTAATTGTAAAAAGTACCTGAAAGATTTGGTAAATGGTGCCAAATATGCTATCACTCCACAAGACAACAAAACATCACCGGGTAGCCGATCATGTAACCCTTGTAGATTTTCTGCTTCCTCAAGCCATCTTACTTTCTCTCCACCGAGGTTACCTGCCAGTTACAATTTTTATAATATAATTTTTTTGTTTAAACATCAAGTATTTGAAATAACTGTCAAATTTGTAACTCCTTGCTAGCTACTTTTGCCGGTTTATGAAAGTTTAATTGATATTATAAAGAAATACCGAGTGGTAAAATAATTTTTATTTCTTACTTAAATAGGTCAAAGCAATTACCAATAATTTTCTTTGCTTTCTTTAACTTGTTGGAACATAGCAGTACTTCATTTTGAAGCCTTGTTTTCTCAGCTAGAGCAGTTTCAAGTTTATGATTAAGGTCTGCCAATCGATTCTCCAATTCATTCAACTCGTTTCTTTTAGAATCAAGAAGCTTTTTGGTTTTTGCAAAATCCCTTTCAGCCTGGGCCAATTTCTTTTTCTTTGGAGCAACCATCTAGCATAAACAAAAATAAAAAAATAATTCAATGCTATTTTACTCAAAAACTAAATATACAATACGAATGACATTACCTTAACAACAACATCATATTTTTCCATTGCCAGTACCCATTTGCAAAGTCCTTCCGCAGCGCTTGAAGCTTTAGCAACAACATTCGGTCGAAAATCTGGATGTTCGACGAACCTTTTGCGAATTACTTGAATGATATGAGGCGGTATGTCATCCTTGTCATAATCTTTCAGTGACTGAAGAAATCCCATATCGCCTAGAATCCTTTTGCTCGGACCCCAATAATCAAACACCTGCACAGAAATTTTAAAGATTACAATTTGATATAAAAATGGTACAATCTCAAATTGTACTGATTATACCTTCCTTCCTGGATTCTTTGGGTCTGGTATTCTGCGTGGTTTGATGTCTTTCATTACACATACAGCTGCCATAACCAGTTTTACTGTATCTGGAGGATTTTTCATAGATTTAACTAGTGTAATATCAGCTGGCTTTAGGGTATTTAGAGCGGCAGTCGCATCTGCAAGAGGAAAAAGAAAATATTTAATCTAAAAATAAAGCCTAAAAATAGCGGTTCATCAAATCTTTTTTCAGGTGCCTGAAACATTTACATTAAAATATGGAATTTACATATATTTTTGCTTAATATTTACTAAGAACTTTAACTAGAATAATACAATTGAAAAAACAGTCAGAATTTTGTACCTTCGAGAATAGGGATGGCCAAGGCAAGGTCATTTTCGCATTCAATTTTTAAAGTGACTGCAGCGTCAGCTTGTTCATTGGCTGCTTTTTCGTCTTCCCTAACTTGAGCGGATGCTGCATCTACAATATGCCTTTCTTTTTCAACTCCGTTGAGCATTTCTTGAGTTTCGTCCACTGATTCTTTTAGCTGCGGCTGAAGCAGTTCTAAATCATGTTGCATAACAGTGACCTAGAATAATGCAATACAAAAAATTGATAATTATGACAAACAACATTTATACGTGTACTCAACGTATGTTTTGTGAATATGATAAATTTGGACTAACACAATTTGCCCTTTAAATCACACATTAAGTATTGCTACCACCTCAGGTAGGCTACTGTGCTGAGTTGTAAGTAGGTAACCACCTCACATAGGCAACTATGCTAAGATGCAAGTTGGTAATGTTGCTACTACATCCTCAGGAAAACTGTGCTCAGATGCAAGTTGGTAACTTTGTTACTGCCTCAGATAAACAACTATGCTCGGTTGTAAGTACACTAGTATTATAATTTTAAAATAGTAGATAGAAAGAAAAATATTAAAAAAGTAAGATACTAATATTGAGATTGTAATTGTAACGTTAATGTTGTAACATAATGCCGTTGAGAGTCAAAATTTTTTCTGAAAAATGTTAGTTTCAGATTTGCTACTTTTACATGGTGCTGTTGATGTGTTCACCCACTTGCAGACCAACAGCCTTCATCAATGCCAAAAGGATCAACAATCAATCACCAAACAAAGCTTTTTTTTTAATGAGGCTATTTCAACTACAAGGTTATATGAACACTCAGGGTGCTCCTATGTTGGATTTGAACCCAGTAAGCCATGTCAACGCCTAAACCATTGCTAGATAATACTATTTCTACCTTAAAAAAAGTGACTCAGACATTCTAAATAATATAAGCAAATGGGAGATTCAAAATTTCCTTTAGGGTTTACATTAAATGTCTAATCTTGAAAAATTGTACCTGCTCAGCAGCAAATTCCAGTTTTTCCAGTCCACCCAAATATCTCATTTTCGCTTCTCTTAATTCATCTTGTTTTTTCGTAACGAGTTTGGTGTATGCTTTAATTAAATCTAGGTAGGATGTTGAAGTAATATATACTGTCTTCCCTAATGCTGTGAAAAACTTTTCAGCTAATACTCTGAAAAAGTGAAAAAACAGTTTTCAAGTGGTGTTTAATTATTGCAAATTTTATTTAGTGTTTCAATTAATTAAGGTTTTTAGTTGAGATAAAAACCTTAATTATTTGAAATATATTAATTGGTCAAACGGACCACGAAAACTAGTGAATTTATTTAGTGTGTTTATTTAGTGTTTAAAATATTTGCCTAATGATATCATACCTATTTAGATGTTAAATTGATTTACCTCGATGATATATGGAAATATTTGCAAACTTGAACTGCAGCATCTTTCACTGCTTCATCAAAAGTGCAATTTGCTAGAAATTGTTTGGCGACCTTTTCCAATGCATCTTCTGGCCATCCCTTAAATTATATATTTAATTTAACAAATAAATTAATTACACACACAGGCATATACATAAAGTGAGAGCGTGGGAATCTTAGTCTTTACAAAACAGTAAACACCATAAAGTCTGTGTGAGTTATTTATTAAGTTCTGTGAGTGAGAAGCCCTGGTTAAGGTTGTCATAAATTTGAGATTGTGTCTGGGCTTGTGTACTCATACAAGTGAGGAACATTGACAATGGGACCAGGAGGAAGTGCATGGAAGTTCTCAAGAATTGCAGGGTGTTGCACATGTGTTAGTCAACCGGCCTCAGGAATTTGCTTTTCCTTCCCTCCATCCTTGTTTTTGAGGCCAATAGAAAAAAAGAAGGGTTGGAAAATCAAATCAGTTAAGACCAGGGATTGAGACCCGAATGAAGGGCAGAAACAAGTCATGACTTGAAAAGTGCAGAGTCCAATGAAGACATGAAGAGGGGTCGAGATAAGGGTCAACCGATGTAGAGTCCAGAAACCAGAGACAAGGAGAGACCAGGAAATGTAGCAAGAGGCTGAATGAAGTGGAGACTGGTGTTGTCGAGTATTGTCTTGGTTAATTGCACCGTGTGAATAAATCACCGAAGTTATAAAGTGTTGCAATAAATGCATACGAATCTTATCTCTCTGGTTTTTGGTACTCTTTGGTCCTACCTTACTTACACAAAAAGTACTTACATAAACGCTTAAATATCCTCAGCTCACTTAATGATATTTTAGTGACTGGGAGTTTTGTGGCCCTGAAAAGGGCCGGTGTTGTGTAAAGATGCCGTGACGATGGTATGAGCGCAAGACCGTGTAAGTGGTGCCGTTGGTGGTGTTGTGTGACTGAGTAACCATTGGCTAAGGTCTGGGGGGCTGTGAGTCGGTTGACTCCACAGAGGCCGAAGGTACTGGAGTACAGCAATTAGCCGAGGGGCAGCAGTTGGTGTTAATGGCCAAGTCGGCTGTTTAGAAGGCGAGATCAGGCTAATGCTGCACGTACTCTTGCTGTCGTCATTGGTGTTCCATTAGAGATAGCTCGTTGGGCTGACGAGTCTGGTGTCGTTGATTAATAGTGATGTTTGGGACCTCATTGTGCTGAGGAGTCTGGTTCCAGCGGGGCAGTGCCCTTGCTTATATAGGGAAGAGCTCTACTCTGATTGGCTGCAGAGTGGAGGGCGAGAAAATTCCATAAGTGGTAATGGCATCTAGCGCTAACGTGTGGTAGTGACAAGTGGCCGCTACAATATAGAGCATCTGCACTGCTTATACTGATTGAGAGTTTTAGATGTGAAAATTGGTACAGAAAAGAACATGCAAAATTTAGTAAATTTGAATTATCCTACCATTAGAGTTAATTTCCTGCCGTTGAAATTCACTTCCCAAGGCAACTGATAGCGTACAATTAAAATAACAAACATTTTATGAATAAGAGAAGTTTACAAAAATAAAGGTAATAATGGAATAATAGTAATTTGTTTTGCACCTCCTTATATATAAAATATAATAGCTACGGACAAATTGCGCATGACTTAAAAATTGAATGCAGGACTCACCTCATACCAGTCGATAGTGCAACAATTCACCAATGATGGGTAAAGTCTTAATCGTGTTCTAAACGTAGAACCTATCGGGCTACAGCAAAGCATTATATGCATATTCTGTTTACAGCGATTTGTGAAAAAGTGAAAAACAGCCAAAGGATTAATGTCCATGTTTCTATTTCCTCCTTGTGCTGCCAGTCGGGTCATCTGAAAATCAGTCATATATTAGAATAACCATTTGTAATTAGGATTATGTACCACAAAACAAATATTTTAAAAAAGTTTTGGAGTTTTGAATGCCGCAATGGTTTAAGTGTTGACACGGTGTGGGCCACTGGATAACAATTTTCTTTGAATCTCACTGGCACTCTAAGAGTTCAAACAACCTCGTAATTGAAATACCCTTGGAGATTCTTATTTTTTTACTATTTTCATTTTGCTTATGTGGTTCATGTTTAAAGAGACTTATTTTACAATTTAAATGAAGTTTTTAGTAGTAATTTTTTCTCTTGGTATCAGCTTTATGCTACAATATAAACTCAATAGCTGACTAACCTATGAGTAGCTAAAGAAACTGTTTTCAACAAAAATTTTATTTCATTTTGAAGATCACAACAAAACTAAGTTTTTTAACAAACACAAATTTATGCTTTTTTTAAAAGATGATAATGAAACTGTGTTAAATAAATACAAAGTTATGTTTCAGTTTGACAATCACAATAAAACTAAGTTTTAAACAAACACAGATTTATGTTTCAGTTTTATGATAACAACGAAAACTTTTTTTTTACCAACACAAATTTATGTTTCAATTTGACTATCACAATGAAACTAAGCTTTAAGCAAACACATATTTGTTTCAATATGAAGACCATAATGAAATTATGTTTTGAATAAACACAAATTTATGTTTTGGTATAAAGACCACAACGAAACTAAGTTTTAAACAAACACAAGTTTATGTTTCTATTTGACAATTACAATGGAATTAAGCTTTTTTAACCCACACAAACTTATATTGAGTTTGATGATAAATTCTATTACCTAAGTGAAAGGTTAGTGTAATGACAGAAATTCCCCCAAGAGTTTTCAACTTTGCTAATGCAAATTCTATGTCAAATCTATAAATAACTTACATCTAAAATTTCTTGTTTTTCATCGACTGCAAATAGATTCGGAACCTCTCCGGAGTTCAGTAGTGCGTCCACATCTTGCAGGAAATATTCAAATTTAATTTGCCCTTCTCCTAGCAAGAATACAACCGATTTTCCTTTCCCTCCAGCATCTTTCAATATTCTTTTTATGTCATCTCTCCATTCAGTCAGCCCTAGAATACAAATTACGATTGTTTATCTTGTATAAGAATTTTTTTCTTTGATTTATTTTATTAACAACATTTTTTTAAAGGATAGAAATAATTCCTATTATTATCTTATTTCTCTGGTCTACCTATCTTTGCTGCCTGTGTGGAAAGGCTCCTTCTTGTGTTGGGTTTGGCAAAATGCCGAAACATTCTGATAGACAAAATTAGTAAGGATAGGCAGACCAGGTTGACACAGAAGAAAACTTTCTGATCAATGTTAATTTATACTTGCTGCTGAATTACCATAAGCGTTAGAAATCTCAGGTTGAAAGAGATTTTGTTCACAAATGTAAGCGGCCAATTTAACCAAAGATTGCCTTCCTGAGCCGCCGACGCCAACAAGCAATGCACAGCCTCCAGACAAAGTTAAAATTCTACAAATTCTAGATAGATGTTCCAAAGCATATCTGAAAAATTAAAACACTGAAAATTTTCTACACATTAATAAATTTTTTCTCAATATTTACAAATTATAAGTACCTGAACAAAACAATCTCCATAGGTTTTCTTGTTGTTTCGTTATAATTAATAAGGGCGTTTGAGCATGCTGTGAAAAATGCATCAAGGCTTGGAATTTCTTCATATCTTTTCTCATCGTCTGAATCTTTATCCAACACTACTGTGAACATCAGGTTTCTGAGGGTTTCCTCCGTTACCTGATATAAACATATTGATTAATGTGTGGTGATTAGTGACTGTTAACCGATAATTATTCAGAGATCGTGAGATGCGGTCTGGTGTGATGTAGGTTTCAGAAAAACATTTTCTTTATCGTGCCAATGTTTCGATCTTTATTGAGATCATCTTTAGGGCTCAAAGTGTCTGTACTCCTCTCAAAACGACACACAAGAATGGCACAATTACACAGAAGACAAACACTTTGAGCCCTGAAGATGATCTCAATAAAGATCAAAACATTGGCACGATAAAGAAAATGTTTTTCTGAAACCTACATCACACCAGACCGCATCTCATGATTTCTGAATAAATATTGATTAATGTTCAAGAATTTTAATCCTATTTGATCTGATCATTGGTGCTGCGTATGAAAAACTTGTACATTGTACAACTTGTTTTTGAATACCAATATTTGTATTAATGGAACATATTAACTTTTAAGTGTTAGCTGGGCCCTAGACGATCGTGCTATATTTTTGACCGTTAGTAGGGTTAGTATTGAAGTTTTCTCAATGATTGGACGAAAGTTCAAGCGAGTTTAATTTTTATTGCACCATGTATGATTAATATTGTGCAATATGTTTTAGTCTATGTTTAGGGCGAAAACATTGAACGTCTCTATTATTGTGTGTTAAATTGGGTTCAAGATGTCATTCAATACTATTGCACAATAATATCAATTATGTGATGATCAATATTATGATCCACAATCAAGAGGATTGTGAAATGTTATTGGAGGTCTGGGGTCTGCCTTAATAAGAAATAATAATGAGTTTATTGTGTTTACCGATTTGTCATGTGGGTCCTCGTTTAAACCATCGAGCATCATGGACATTTTCTCCCTAAATTCGTGTTCAATTCGCCTCTTGATACATTCAATAAACCAAATACGATCCGATCTGTCGATTAATCTGTCATAGAACACTCGTAAGACTTCATGTGCCCATAGTCTAAAAAAATTGTTTGTTTATAAAAAAAGATGACAATCAACATAACAAACTTACATTACTTAAAATTTCATAATAAAACAAATACAAGTGTTTATTACCTTACAAAAACTTTTTTGCTATCTACGGATTCTTTTCTTAATAACAAGTGTCCATTAATAACCCTACTGAAATCTCTAAGGTTAAAAACGTAATGAGATTTGGCTGGTGTTGGTAACAAATGTATACACGACTCCTTGTACAATAGAAGTGTGGAAGCAACAATTTGTTGAGAAATTAACATTATATCTGTAGGGAAACCATTTCGCTAAAAAAAATATATATATAATAAAATGATGAACAGATGAATTAAAATATGAAATATTACCCGCAATCCAATTGTTAAGATTGTTTGAAATATCCTTGCTAAACTTTCATCAGTAAATTCATTTATTGAATACAATGAAAAATGACGAAGAAATCTTTTGTAAACATTCTGTCTTCCTCCACCAGGTAAACCCATTGCAGCAACAATGAAAAGATTCTGTATAACCAATTTGTAGGTACTCTTCAAATCAAACCTAAATTTTTAATGATAATTTAATTTTTACGATGTCTATACATATGATTATTGATTGTATAAATTAATCCACTTTTAGCAATTTACCAGTATCCGTGATCAAAGTACTGCCGCAACAATTCTATCGGAGGCTGAGCACCGTATTTTTCTCGAGCTGGCATGCCGATATCGTCAATAAACAAAACGGCCGTTTTGCCTGGAACAGCTCCATAGACACCTCGCCTTTTCTTTACTAGTTCACTTAGAACTAAAATCTAAAATTAAATAAAGAAAATGTGAGAATTCCCCTTCTGTCATTTCCAGAGCAATGAACCTCTAATTTGATCTTTACCGATCACCTTGGTCTGCCTATAATACCTACAGACCAAGATCAGTAAGGATTTAAAAAAAAGAAGATATTGTTGTATTATGTTGTGTATGCCACTACAATTGTTATTAAATAATTTGGATTTTCTTTAATTTCAAATTAAAATTAATTAATTTTTTTATTGAGATTTTTCAGTGTATTTCAATTATAAGTTTACTTAAAAACCAAAATAGTTATTAATTATATAAGTATTTTTAATACTAAATTAAAGAAAATGTAATCAGTCACAATTTGAATATGACAAAAATGAATAAAAATCATTGATGAAAATATAGTTTATTTTTCCAGAATGTATCTGGTACCTGGGTCATATTAGCAGTTGTAGAAGTTGTGAATGTTATAAAAGACGGGGTGTATTCCGCTAACGGGAGCCTGGTCATCAACAAATGTTGAAGAACAAATGATTTTCCAGTACCCGTGGCGCCAGTAACTAGAAAAGGTGCATGGTGCCTACAGTGAAGTTCTAATAAGCTCATATACCTGTAAGTACAAGAAAGTAATTTAAAAAAAAGTTACTTATAATAGAAACTTTATACAGGCATGAGGGTAAAACTAGATCAAATGTGATATTCACCATATGTCAAACACTGAGCCTTTAGGCTAATTTTATACATACAGGTTACAATTAAAAACTTTATATATATAACTTTATCTACAGTTAATCGATATTTATCACATAATTGAAGGATGGCATATCATTATTGTACTGTTTAAGTCTTGTAAGATTGGTTGTATTTATTAGAGTAAATGTATAGTGTACATTGATGGTGGAATTTGACCCTCAGAATAAATTATATAAATTGCTACTCATCTTTCTTGGCTTGATGGTTTCTGAGTCTCAGGTATGTTATAATATATAAATCTCTAATTGTTTCAACCTTACTTGTTTTATTATCACATATACAATTATAAGCCAATCCGGCTCCTCTCTTCAAAACTCCCCAGAGTTTATAAGAGAGTCAATGCATAGGCAGTTATAAAACTAACGAGATCAATTTATTATAACAAACCTGAAGTACTCCAGCACCTTTCTGAAGTGTTGGTATCAATATAAAGGAAATATGTTTATTTCAGAATATATTATATTCAATATATATGATATATAATAATTATATATTCATATATTCAAGTAAGAATGTGAATATAGGTTAAAAATTGCATTTATTGTTTGTTAAAATAACCTAACTTGGGTGGGCAGATGAAGATGGTGTGCTGAAATTCAATTACAATAACCTATTTTTATTATAGTGCTCTCTCCCTAATCCAAACTTTGGTACTCCAAATATTTCAGTAATTTGAACTAGGTGAGTGAATGAGTGAGAGAGGGGGTCATGCGAAAGACCAAGACCAGCTTAGGCAATACAAATTTTCGTGAATTTCTTTTGTTAAGTGGATCCCTCTCGTCCCTTCATTATTAAAAAAAGAAATATTAGACCTACATTTTTCTTGTGTTAAATATAATATACCTAACTCCTTAAAAATGAGTGAAAAAGAGGAAAAAGAAATGAAGAAAATGTAAAAAAAATTAGGTAGATTTGTGATTCATCACTAGAACATAAAGATATACAAACATAGCCTACATAACAATCACTACCCTAAACACATAATCAACAGAATAATAAACAACTAAAACTCAACACTAACACCATCCACTATTACTTATAATAATACATCAAATCTATCAAATCCAGACAAACCAACATACATTTCCATGCCATTCATTCATCATCTATCATATAAACTATATCATATATAACACATTTCTCCCTTCTGATAACTTTAAAATAGCCTTAAAAAACTATAAAACTATTCACACTCTTTTTTCCAAAATTAAAAATCCCACACCAGTAACACATAAGTCTGATATAACTTACAAAATCAATTGTTTAAATTGTCTGGCAACTTACATCGGAATTAAATCCCAATATCTGGATAAGGGGGTGAGCAACATATCTATGATGGCAAAAAAAAAAACCAACCAAAATCCTACCAGCTCTGGCTACCCACCATTTTGAACGCCAACACAACTTCGATTTCAACAATCCAAAAATATTACACACAGAACAAAACAAACATAAATGTAACTTTTTAGAAATGTTACAATTAATTAAGGTTTTTAGTTGAGATAAAAAAGTCAATGGCACGAGCGGGATTCGAACCCACGATGATCTTCGGCTAGATATCTCATCTAAAAACCTTAATTAATTGTAATATATTAATTGGTCAAGCGGACCACGAAATTAGTGAATTTTTATAAATGGTTTATACCAACAGGGATAAACACAGGAGAGAGGGGGAGAGAGAGTGGGAGAGAGAGAGAGAGAGAGAGAGAGAGAGAGAGAGAGAGAGAGAGAGAGAGAGAGAGAGAGAGATTTATGTATGCATTAATAATAAAAAGTTCGTTAAAAACTTTTTTTTACATATACATGAATTCTTTTAAAATTCTCTGTAATCAGGATTTTTTATTTTTTCCAGTAATCTGAATACCCAAATACAATTATTAGTTCAGATCACTGAGAGAGCACTGTACACCACTTTATGTTAATTTTTAATTTCAGATAAATGAACCATAATAATAAAAGTATTTTAATATCATTTTGTGATAAGGTTGATAAAGTCCCCCTGAACCCTTAATAAGCCTAATATGCAACTTGGTGTGGGTGAAAGGCAAACAGTAGTAATTAATAATTGTGTTTAGTCAAAATAATCATTAATGTTTCTATTATATATTAAAGTTAAATAAAATATTTATGTTTAAAGCATAAGAACAATACATATTGCTTAGAAATTATCCCTCGCTGAAACGTTTCATACAAATATGTATTGCTTATGCATCTGGAATAATCCTTAGACCCGATGAAAAATTTCACACTAAATATACCAATTAGTTATAATTTTAAGATACTAGTTTCTTGGCATATTTAGAGTAGTTACCTCATGGATTCTATTGTCGGCACTAACATCGTTTGTAAATTACTCTTGTCATCTAATTTAATAGCTTTAAGATTCTCGGGATAATATTTCCAACCTCCTTTTCCTTTGAAATTATAATAGTAATCAATGAGCAACCCCTCGGTAGGTATATCAATTTCCAATGGATCGAGATTACTTGGCATTAGATTTTGTTCATTTTTCCCTAAAATCGTTAGAATTACAATGAGTAAACTGGTCCATTCATATACTGTATTCCTATTACATGTGATGTTGAAATTTTATTTTTTTTGAAATGTTTAATTAGCAAAATATTTTAATAACACTTTTAAACAAGCCATGTATTTTTAGTAGTAATGTAGTAAACTTGGGAAAAAGCACAAAAGATACTATTTTCATATTGTAAAACACAAAATTAAACATTTATGAACATTACCTCCCCACATATCTTTGACAAATAAATCATAAAGTTCCATAGATTTCTGGTCGAGTGACCCTCCCAAGCCCCATATTAATCCAAGGATGCATGCTGCTTGCAGGCAAGAGATGAACGTTTTGGATAAATCACCCGCTGCTTGTTGTGCATCTATTAAATGCATATGTATCACTTTCAAGCAACTCCTAAAAATCAGACAAGTTATTTTTTAATATAGTAATATTAATGAATTTATATGAATTAGTATTGTATAGTGATCACTCCTATATAGGAAGTCTTGGTTATGCCATTTGTGAGGTCCTAGGCCCCAACATTTATTTGATCAAGTAACAAATTAGGGAAATAAATAGTTTAATGTAATGTGGAAATAACTATATTTTCTTTACTTGTTGACAAACATAACACGTTCCTTACAGCCATCATACTTCATCTACAAAATCCCCGCTTTTCAAAGCTTGTTTTGTTGTAGGGTGTTGGGGTAGTATTTGCAGAATCGAATTGGTATGACAGGCCGTTAGTATCCCTTTCCCGATGTGAATATGAAGACCATTTTTTTTATTTTACCTTGTTACGATTTTTTGAAAGAATTTTAAAGTTCAGGAGTGTCTTTACAAATCAGTTTTGTAATGAATGTGTTAATCAAAATGGAAAAATCCAGGAAGTGGGAGGCAAGTTGCTGCAATCAATCCGACAATGCTCATATATCAGCAACCCAATACAAACTATACGGCAAAATTAGTGGGTCAAGTAAAATATTCTTGGAAAGCTAAATAATCTAAATTTTGGCCATTTTTTAACTCATTTTGTCAGCACAGTAACTTAGAGAAAAATTAAACCTAGAAATCTCTTTTGAGCAACATTGACTATTGGTAATTTAGTCATTACCAACCAATTTTGGTTTCCCTTGCTAACCGAGCAGGTTCAGCATGGTTAGGCAGGCCAAAATGATCTTTAATGTTCAAATTACAGGTTCACCTGCATTCCGCAGACCAATGTTAAAAAAATCAAAATATAAAGCAGTTCTCACCAGACTTGGTTTATAATTCCTCCATCAATAACTCGTTTAAGTTTCCTAATATATTTCAATGATGGGTTAATCACCCAATCAAAGATCTCCATAAACCTTTCTGGTTTGTCTTTGGTCCATTGATCATCAAGTGCATCACTCCAAGATTTCGCTAAAGGCTTCCACCCCATGGATTTGGGTTCAAAGTATATCATCCCACACCGAGATACTGTAGCGGGTGAAGCCTAAAAACAGAGTGAAAATGTGTCTATATAGTGAACTGGTAAGTAAAGTCCTGCCCAGCACGGCTTAAAACATTCACACTTGGATGTCACAGAAATTTGATTGTAATATATTTTATCTAATAATTTATATCTAATCAAATTAAAACAAAATGTAAAATAAAATTACCTGTGTCAAATCCATCACTTCAAAAATCATGGACATCACGGGTGTCATTTGTATGACTTCGCCCGAATTTAGGCACAACTTTTTATTATCATCCAACACAGTGTTCATGTTCTCAATCCAAACAGCATCAACTGGTCCATCAAACACTATCCATTTTCTGTAAGGCCGAGGATCTGTGGCATACACTCTAAAAAATACAGAGTTTTTTTACCCCAAGAACTAAGATTTTTGGCAGATGAAATTGAGCTTTAGCATTGGTAATGATATAGTTTGTGTTACATGCAAAAAAAAGTTTTATTATCAGGATGAGTTTATTGTATGGCTCGATGGAACACCACAGCTCTACTCTGTAATTTCAAAACTGTTTTTAGTCCTAAAAGTCTTCTCTTAAGACTTGTGAGGGGATTCCACGTCAGTCTGCTGCCTAGGTATAGGCCTAAGTACATGACTTGAGTGAAAGTTGGTAGCTCACTTGTGAGACTACCTTTTACTTGCCTAGAGATTTTCGTTTTTTTAAATGTAAAACAGTAAGTACGTTTTTCTTCATTCAGATGCATCATCCAATTTTTGCATCTGTCTTCAATAAACTAAAGATGTTCTTGGATAGGATTCAAAGTGTTGGGATGTGTTGGAAAGTCAGCAGTAAAAATGGTATAAAGGATACCAAGTTGTGGGACGCCTGCTTGTATTGGCCTGATATATGGCTTGTTGCTGCACCTCCTGAAGCAGTGGTCAGTTAGATTTCCAGGAGGTGTGTATGATAAAGCATACATAAAAATACAAAAGCACAAACCAATAGACATAGCTGACGGTTGTGATCTCTGTGGCCAATCTATGGACAGGACAGGTCCTTGTGGATTTGACTGACGTGTGGATCAGGGGCTATATGAAGTCAATCAGGTGGGGACAGACCTGCGTAAGGCGGCAACCCACCTAGGTTTGACAGAATGGACAACCCTATGAGGGTTTGCGTGTGCTGGCAAGATTTCTGTATCAGGGGAACTAGAGAATTGGGCTGTCTTGGGGGCAACAGGTCATGGAGTAAAGAGCTTTCCCGGCCACATGGTGGGCAACTGATGGCTTAATGATGGATCTTTGATTCGTCAAGAGTCTAAGTATATACATGCCCTCTGCCTTAGGAAAAATTCAATGGGTATAAGGGATGCGATGAGGATGGGCTCCAGTATACCAGATGAATGTAGTTGATATAGGGCTTGAATGGAAGTACTCTCCCATGGAGAATTACTCAAAAATAATACAGAGGCACGATCAGAGCATCCAAGTCCTAATCATCAGTTACTGTAATTTGTGATAGCAGGTCACTGTTGAAACTCCCCTCCACTCAATTCTGACCAGATATCATCACCACCAATGAGGGGGAATACTGTTCTTAAGGAAAGCCCTCATGGAATTATTTTTTTTAACAAAATTTATTTCAAGCAGCAGTCATGATTAAGTAGTGGGGGTGGGGGCGTGAGTGTGCCTACTTGGGCATACCAAAAAGATGCTCAGTTATCTCGGGATTAAATAACTTCCAAGAATGCTGCTCACCCTGTCCCTAACCACTTTGAGGTCCTTACTATCAAGTATCCATAGCCTGTGAACATCTGGATAGAAAGTGAAACTTTTTGGCACTTGTCCAATGATTCCGGCCGTTGAGCATACCGACAGTGATACACAATTGGACCTGTGGTTCGGGCAAAAGTTGAGCAGTGGGAGCCCCACACCAAAAGAAGTGAATTACGTTAAGTTTTTAGTTAATCAGAAAAAATAAAAAAATAGTTACCTAAATGCAGTCGCAATTACGCCATCAGACCATTCATAAGAAATTGAATCAAAAGAACCATACAACTGGCCAATGGTGACGGCTTTTGGATTTAAAGTTATATACCTGATCGGAAGCCTTTGTCCCATTCTAGCTAAGGCCATAGCTAAAATCTAATTATAAGGTTTTTAATTAGAAATATAATTAATATGTCTTATGTACAATAAATTACCTTAAGAGATTTCGTTTTTCCGCTGAACGGATCCCCAACAAGCATAAATCCATGACGAACAAGCATCATCTCATAGGATTGTGTCACTTTTTTTATAAATATTGGGTGTGGTTGTAAATTTTCTTTCATGCATGACTACAAAAAATAAAGACTTTTATAAATTTCAAATTCGTATTTTAACTAATAATGAATGAGTTTGTTTATATAAATAATTTCATGCTTAAATTATCTTTATTTCATCAAAAACTATTAAAAACTTGGGAGTTTACATTTAAAAATTTCTTTCTATTTAATCCAACTGTACCTTTTCAATACAAGCGTAAAATTCTCTGTAGTTGGGATCAGGCAATTTAAGTCCTGGGAATAAATCTGATATGATTCCGTTAAATAAAGGTACATCACAATTTAAGAATTTCGGTAAATTGACATCAATTATAGACCTTAATATTAATAGATGTTCATTTTCATCTGGGAATTTTAACTTCAATCTACCTGCTGCAGATAAGACTGTTTTAACAGCTCTCATACCTAAAATTCAATAAATCATTTCAAAAAATGAAAATGTTCGGTGAGTGATAGATAAAGTAGCTAATACTCATAACGTAATCAAATTATCATTACTGACATAGAGCACATATCAAAGACACAATTAATAAAATAAAATTTGTAGTATTTTTGAAGGTTAAGCATAAGTAAAGAATAGATCTAAGGAACAATGAAATACAGTGGATATAAATACAGTATTGAGCACTTTTCCTCAGTTTTTGAAAAAAATGACATTTTTACATGTTCATATTACACACTAGTTTCATATTTTCAAAGGGAGAGGAAGAAGAAGAGGGATAGGGAGGGAAGGAAGGAGAGAGATANGGGAGAGAGAGAGAGAGAGAGAGATGAATGCAAATAAGCGGGATAAAGAGAGTGAGTGAGTGAAAGTTAGCGAAATAGAAAGTAAGTGAAAAAGTAAAACAGAGTGAATAAGATAGATAGATAGTCAGAGAGAGATTAAGTTATGTTGTGTTGATTTTTTCATATACATGTATGTTTTTAACACCCTCTGTAATTTGAATTTTTCAGTAATCTGAAAGCAGAGAGTGAGAAACCATATCAAGACACTCAAATGGCTGCAGTTGAAAACAAAATACATGTGAAAGAAGAGAAAAAGAAGGAAAACACACAGAGGGCCAGCGATGACCTCAGCTATTTATCGGCTCATAAACTTCCCACTTTATTATTATTAGTGGTGTTTAGTGACTGTTAGTTAATGATTATTTGGAAATCGCATCATGCCAACGTTTCGATCTTTATTGAGATCATCTTCAGGGCTCAAAGTGTTTATCAGTGTACATGTGTCATTATTGTGTGTCGTGTTGAGTGCCAGTGAGATATTAATGTTTTATTTTGATATTGATTGTCAGATGAAAATAGTGAAAAAAATAGTGAAATTATCAAAACAGTGAGATAAAATATCAATATCTTACTGGCACTCAACAACAACACACAATAATGACACATCTATACAGAAAACAAACACTTTTAGCCCTGAAGATGATCTCAATAAAGATCGAAACGTTGGCATGATAAAGAAAATGTTTTTCTAAAACCTACGTCACACAGACCGCATCTCACGATCTCCAAATAATAATTTATTATTACACAGTAATCTGAATACTCCCATGAAGCAATTAGTTTGGATTACTGGGTGAGCATTGTAGTCAACATTCATAATGTTGAAGGTAGGCACTCAGTAAAGAGTATAAATGAGTAAACCAATAAAATGATAATTACCATAATCATAATGGCTTTGAGAAGAAAGCTGTTCTGAGCACAGCTTATACGTAGTTACAATTTTACCGGATAATTCTCGTGCATGCATAAAACCAAAAGAGTACAGTGATATTTCTCCAATTAATGAGTAATCCGGAACCATCATAGCTACAGGCCTAAATAAGACCTGAAAACAAAAAAACAGTTAATTTTTCCTTAGAACGAAAAGGCAATAAAGATATAATATAAATGACTAATATTAAAATTACAATCTTGCCTTCAAATTATCTGGAAGTTCTGACCTTCCAGCATAACCTGGATTCATTGTGATACATATATAACAATTCTGATTCAGTTTTAAAGTTGTTCCTTCAAATTTAAATACTTCAAGTTTATTCCTGATCGCTTGCATAATGCATAAAATCTGTTGTGCTATGACAGATAAAACTTCAATATCAATACGGTTGAACTCATCAAAACAAGCCCAAGCCCCTGAAGATGCCAGTCCTTTGAAAAACTGAAAAAAAGAAACAATAGTAATGTATATAAATACAAACTTAAGTTGTGTATAAGTACAAACCTTTCCCATTGCGATATAATCAAGACCATCGGAGCAGTTGAATACGACGCATTGAACTGCAACTGCTTTAGCCAAATCTTTTGTAGTTTCTGTTTTTCCAGCACCAGCAGGTCCTTCTGGAGCACCGTTCAAATTTAAATTGTATGCTCCTACCAGGGTACGGTAACATCTGTCAGTTAGAGGTGTTATAACCAGTCTTTCTGTATTACCAAGGTACTCGTAGGCATATTTGACACTAGCATTTGTCAACTGTACAACAACACCCTTTAACCAGTAATACCTTAAACAAAACAAAAACTTGTTAAATATAAATATACATTCAAAAAACACAACTTAGTATTTATTGAAATTGCAGCTTTTATAATCTTGATATTGCATGAGTAACGTTAAAAATTAAACCCACACACAGTTTAAAAAATGATAAAATTTAATGATTATTCAGAGATCGTGAGATGCGGTCTGGTGTGACGTAGGTTTTAGAAAAACATTTTCTTTATCGTGCCAACGTTTTGATCTTTATTGAGATCATCTTCAGGGCCTGGGAGTTATAAACATTGTTTAAATTTTACAAATATGTACATGTAGGAGGTGAGAAAAAAGATGAATTTATACAATGAGAAAATTTTAGATTCAATCAAAGTATTTGTACTCACTCAAAGTGTTTTTTTCCGTTTAGATGTGTCATTCTTGTCTATCATGTGCGCCAGTGAGATATTGATGTTTTATGTTTATATATGTTGGGTTTTGAAGGGTGGGGAGGGAAGTTGGGAACAGAAAGACACTTTTATATGAGGAGTTGGCTTCTTTGTGGTGAAAGGAGCCGACAATAGGAAAAAATGGGGAATGGTTACACCAATATTTCAATAAAAATAGCACGTAAAAGTTAGCAAAAATAACAAATAAAAGCATGGTGATATTTTTAAAATTATATTGTCTTTAAGCCTTACCTTAATTGTGCAAGCCATAGGAAATCCATTATTCCTTTAACATTTTTTTCAACGAGATCCCATACAACATCTTTAGCGTGCACATCAATAACTACTAACGAACACATAGTTATTCTGTTCCGACCACTAAGATGTCCACGAACTAATTTAATAGTTCTATTTAATTGTTGCTGAAAATGAAATGAAAATGAAATTTATTCTGCAGCTTAAACCCCCCTTGAATAAATATGAATTTAATGTATTGAGAGTACTAGTAAGTTTTAAAAGATTTACAATACATTGGACCATAACCTAACCACCTTCATGTTAAAGTGTCATTGTTAAGCTTTAGTTTTCAGTATGTCTCATTTTGTAAACAACAAGATATTTTTTGAACTCCAAACATGTCAACTTTTGAGTCAATGAAATACAATTTGTGGGAAGCTTTAATTTTTTACTTCCACTTGAAGAAAAAAGCAGCTGAAAGACGCCGATTGATGTGTTGATGATTGAAGTTGTGAGTACTGGTTTATATGTGGTGATTTTTATGCAGAGGATAAGGTATTTGAAGGAATGCCAGAAAATACAGAATTGGAGGCATTATTGAACGAAGACTCTTGTCAAATGCAAAATCTTTGGGAGTGACTCAACAATCAATTTCCTTATGTCTCAAATGCTCTGTATTTGGTGGGATCAGCTAGGTATAGTATATTATGAGCTACTAAAACCGAATGAAAATATGAGGGGGGGTTGCTACCAACTACAATCGATGCATTTTAGCTGAGCACTGAAGAAAAAACGGTGGAATACGAGAAGACATGCCAAAGCGATTTTGCACAACAATGCTTGCAAACTTTTGCAGTGCCAGTCAAAAACTATTTTGAAACACTCAAATGGATATCCAACCACGACCGTCATATTCATCAGACAATACATTGTTGTCACACTTGTCTCGGTCAATAATTTATGGTCTGCAAAAACCGGTCAATTCTTTCATTCCCTCTAAATACCAATCGTTATTTCACCTTTAGTTTGTATGCTGCCAGAAAGATGGGAAAAAGTAGTAGCTAGCGATGGACGATCTTTTGAGTAATCAATTTGTTTTTGCACAATAAAGCCCCAATTTTCACAAAATATCCTTTAAAACATACCCCCAATATTCACATTCAATGATGCCTCTGATTCAAGGACGTCTATTTACAAAAAAATATACGTACAAAATGAAAACTTACTACTTTACTATGGAAATTAAAAAAAGGACAATTAAAAATTTTTGGTGTCAAGTTGTAAGGGCAAAAAGTAATCAAAGAGAAGGTGGCACAACAGAACTGATGGAAAGTAGAGAAGCACCATCCGAAAATCTGGAAGATATGGAGCTTTCAAGGCGAGGCCTGATCAAGCATGGTACAAGGTTTTTGACAGTGGGACAGATGGAAATAGGTTCGTTGTTAATTATGATAAATGGAGGGATTGTAGGTAAGGAACTAGGTCCAAACACAATATCCTAGGACTTGTCTACATTCAAGTTAAGACAGGAGCTAATTAAGTTTATGTCCTCCTACATACCTATACTATAATTTAGTTTTTAAGTCAGGAGGTGGGAATGGAAGGTAAATTTCACAAGTCATCTGCATAAAGGTACAAAATAAAGTTTTGTGAACTTACTTGCAAGTAGTTGTGATATCGTTTCATAATTTTAGGTCGACATCTAAGCAGGCAGGCGTGGCATTCGCTTGTCCAATATATCTGTGATACGCATAGAACAACTTGACCAGGCCATCTTTGAATCCAACTATTTCGCTTTACAATACTGTAATCTGCATAACTTTGGCATATGTGTGCTCGCACTGACGCCACCATTTCTTGTTCCAACTGTAAATAATTCAAAATTTACACACATTTTAAACATTTAATTTACAAACAGAGGGGGGGTATGGTTGTGGGGTCACCAATTTCAATGAAACTTTTTTAGTAACACTAGTTTGAAAAACTAACAATCAAATGGGCCTAGAATCTGAGAAATAATACAATTTTCTACTTTTGCTGTGCATGTATTTCAAAGTTATTATACAATTGATTTATTTTCTCTCTAGGATAAGTAAATAATATGCAGGATCATATTAAATGAGATTAGATATATGAAAAGATCAAAAAACAAAAGCAATGCTATGGGTAAAGTAGGTCAAGAAATTTTGGTTTTTAAAAAGCCGATTTGGATTCATTTTAAGCACCCTTTAAAACCCTTAAACATAAATTTTTGTAGCAAAAAATTTTTTTTGGGGGGTAGGATCAGCCTGGGGCAATTTCATTTTGCCACCCAAAATCCACAACTCCACTGGATTTTATCCAAATTGAACATTATGGCAACCGTTGAAAAGCTGAATTGTCCTACTTCCAGTGTATGTCAGCAAAATTTAGATTTTATATCATTATGAGTGAGAAAAATATGGATGAAATCAACAAAAACACACTGAAGATTCTAATTTATTAAATTCACTAATTTCGTGGTCCGCTTGACCAATTAAATATATTACAATTAATTCAGGTTTTTTTAGTTGAGATAAAAAAGTCAATGACACGAGCGGGATTCGAACCCACGATCTTCAGCTATATACGCCGCTGCTCTACCACTTGAGCTATCGTGACCTCGTGCCATTGACTTTTTTATCTCAACTAAAAAAACCTTAATTAATTGTAATATATTTAATTGGTCAAGCGGACCACGAAATTAGTGAATTTAATGATTTAAAATGAAGTATACTTCACTAAAGCTCTCCGTGGCCATTTCATTTGTCGTCGAGAATCCAATCCGATTACACGACATTTGAAAAATGGCAAAAAGGAGGGAAAATTCAAAAGGTGGGGTTGAGATGGGAAGTTGGTGTCCGAGTGGATCGAGGTCACGATAGCTCAAGTGGTAGAGCAGCGGCGTATCTAGCCGAAGATCGTGGGTTCGAATCCCGCTCGTGCCATTGACTTTTTTATCTCAACTAAAAAACCTTAATTAATTATAGTTCTAATTTATTGATGGAAGTTGCGTTTACGCCATTATGTATGGTTTGTAGAGTTCTAAAGTTGCGTAAAGTTCCTCTTGAACAATGAAGTCATTCCAAAGTTATCTACCCTAAAATCTAAGGCACTCGAAAGGTGAAAAATTTGAAGAATTTTTTCCCCCCAAAAATTTGTATTCAGGGTTTTTTCAGGGTGCAAAAAACAAATATCAACATTGTTTCTTTTTAAAAAAAATATTTTAACTTACTTTGCTAAGTCCTTCGCTTGCCAACCTTGCTAATATTGCTAGTTGACTTTTTAAATTAATTTATTTTTATTTTTATATACACTCTCCATCTTGGTTTTACATAAATTCCATATAAACATTCTTTTTGCATATGTTTTTGTAGAAAATAAACAGGTTTTTAAAAATAATTTTCAACGCCTTTGTTGTGCAAGTATTTCAAGGTTTCAAGTTTATATAAAACGATTTTTTTAATCTAAAATAAGTAAATGATATGCAGGTGTCATATTAAATAGGTATAAGAAAAGTTACAAAAACAAAAAGACACTATAAATAAAGTAGGCCAAAAAATTTTGCTTTTAAAGGACTTTAAGCACCCCTTAAAGCCCTTGAATCCAAATTTTTATAGCAAAAAATTGTTTTGGGGCTGCATCAGCCAAGAGTAATTTTTTTTTTCAGCCAATGTCCTGTGCTTCATTTAAAAACTAACAACTCCTTGTTTTAGCCAAAATCAATGTTATGACAACCTAAATGTACAATATTTTTAGAAGTAGTAACATCCCTTAAAATTTCATTCCAATAGATTTGATAACTAAGCAGCTTTAACACAATTTTTGGTCATTTTCTCACCTAAATTTTGTTTTCCTTGGTTATGGAGGGCCCATTAGTTGAAAACATCAGGCATGAGTCTAGTAATATTTTTTGATGTAGTGACAATAAAAAAAGTTTCATTGAACTCAAGAGACCCCCTTGGCAGCTCTTTTTTTATTGACTTTTATTTTAAAATGATTTTTTATTTTTATGTCTTGATTATAAAAAATTAATGTGTGGAAACCTTACCTGGACAAGCCATAATTCCACACTTCCTTTCGCCGCTACAGTAGAAATGGGTGTAACTAACGCCACTTCCTCTTTTTGCTGGCTGAACATTGATAAAATAAAAAGTTCCGCATTAAATGATAGAGAATGTATGCCTTCGAAACATTTCCGTAAGTGGGGTTGAACCCTAGTCGGGTTACTAGTTTCTGACAAGATTTCAAGCATTTCATCATTTGATAAAAAGAAAAACCTAAAAAAAAATTATTTTTTTAAAACCAAGAAACTTAACGTTTATATTATTAAACTGCATGACTTTGCTGATAGTTTAATTTCAGTGAGCAGGAAGAACAAAACTGAGGTATTTATATATAGTTATATATGTATTTCTAGTAATTTAAGTCATTTACCTGGGGAAGAAAATTCTTTTCAGTTCTAAATACTTTATAACACCAGCATTTATAGTTTCCAGTTTGTCTAAACATGTTTCAAAAACTTGATTTAATTCTCCAGTACCAGCAATTGTCAACACATGAGGTTCACTATTTACTTCTCTAATTACTGCATTGTATGCTCGATCAATATTCTAATACAGAAGACAATACATAGTATGCTTAGCAAATAAAAATTATTATATTACATAATACTTAATGATACATCGTCAGAATTGCTTGTATAATTACAATTAAAAAATAAAAATAGTCTTGTTTCTTAATACTTTCATTTAACTAAAATCTTTATCTTGATATAGAAAAATTATTACATGGAATAGTAATCCTTCTTCTGGCATTTGTGCTACAATATATTTGGAAGAAAATATCGGAAGTAAATAAAGCCATTGCACTTGTACTTTACTCCATTGGTCAATTGTCAAATTGACTAATTTGAGAAGTTCATACCAAGCTCGCACATCCGCTGAAAGAATAATTATATAGATTTACATACAATGATAAGAGTTTAAAAGTGCATACATATAGTTTTGAATTAAAAGCAAAATTATTTTGTTAAAATGTTGTGTACAACTTTTACATTCTTCTATGCAAAAATATTGATTTTAAAACGAGGTAAGGCTCTAAAAATAAGCTTAACAGTTTACTTAAGAAGCATGCAAAAGGGCATGTGCCCCATTAAGTATAGAAAGTAATTTAAACGTGAGTACAAAATTCAGTAAGAGGGATTGCTCCATCATAACAAGATTTAATTGCAACCATGGGTTAAGTGATTCTTTTCTATACATGATTAACCTGAGAAGAAATGATAGCTCTTTTTGTAATGAGGGTTCGCAACAGCAGAGGTCATATAAACCCTCAGGGTGCCGGTGTTTTTGAAAAAAAGCCCATTTGTAAGTATGTCTGGTTCGAACACGGGACCTTTACCTAACAGTGATGAGCGCCGTGTCAACGCCTAAACCACTGCGGCCACCAATGCCCCACAATGATATCTGTTCAATGTGTAAGAAAGACAACTGAAGAGAATTTTAAATAAAATATACATGACGAAACATGGAGAAAAACCAATAAATTACAAATATCTCTTGAGGATAAGAGACCTGGATGTTTATAAAAATATTTTGCACTTTGTATATAGCAGTGTTACAATACTTTAAAATTAAAATGTATTTATTTATTTATTTAACTGTGTGCTTTGTGTATATATTATCTATTGAGCTATTTATTTATTAATGCATTTATTGTGTATGTGTGTAATATATTTTATGACTGTGAGATGTCTTTTATGTACAAACACACACACAATCACACTATGAGCATGTGTTTGTATGTATATGTATGTGTGTCTTTTTATTTATGTATATATGTGTATATAACTTTTTTATATTTATTATATTTGGTATATTGTAGGGGTATTTATATTTATTTCATAGTTATATTTACATGTATATTTTTTCATAAAATTTGCTTGAGCTAATTGCTAACGCAAAGGCCAAAAAAACTTGTAAAAAAATTATGAACATTATAATAATAAAATATACATGTATATAAATTACTAAAATATAACGTGAACAGAAGAGGGAGAGGGAGAGGGAGGGATGGAGGGAGAGAGAGAGGGAGGGAGAGAGGGAGAGAGAGAGAGAATGTGAGTAAGTAACATAATGATAAAGATACAGCACGCGAGAAGACTTTGTCCCTCTAGTGAGGGAGTAAGTCAGTGAGAGAGTGAGTGAATGAGTGATAAAAAGTGTTAGTGAATGAATGAGTAATAGCAAGAGTGAGTAAAAAAGAGAGGGAAAACGGCTATGTGTTGAGTGCAAAGTGGTTCTTTGCAGCACCCATGGACCAAGGATAGCCCACCCACATCGCATGCTGCTTGAAGAGATTCTAGTCTATCACCCGAGCCACTTAAAAGGAAAGATTAAATGAGTCACAATTGATGAGAAATGAGACTGAGTTGAAAAAGTCTTCTTGAGTTGCTTTGTATTCATAAATAAGAGGCAGAAGAATCTGTGAGAATTTAAAAAATAACCGAAACAATCCTCAACTTGTAATAATTTTTCAGAGGAATCCCTACTAACGAATTATCCAGATGTGATATATGATCAAAACGTGTAATGTGATGTTCATAAGAAATAACCAAGTTAAAGGAGACGTTAGGTTGATAATTGACTAAAATGGGGTGTCACAAAAAGGAAAGGTGGAAAAATGAGAAAAAGTGCTAGTCTGTGGTGTATTTCATAAAGTGTAAATTAACTTATTTTTTAATAAAGTAATAAAAAAAACTAAACTTTTTTACAAATCACAAAAACCTTGTTGTCTGGAAAGTTTTTTTAGTCAAAATTAATCGCCAAACTGAACAGTTAAAGGGTATGGAAAGTTACATCATGGACTACAATGCTGTTGGGCACAACATTTTAAGGATGAAGCAGATAAAATAATTGCTTGGGTCTTAGATGGGCTTAAAGTGACACCATATGCTATTGATCATGTAGAGATGGATTAATGTCATCATTCATAAGACAACATCATCGTTAAATCAGTAGAACTCACCTTTTGAAAAATTTTCAAGTCTGCAAAAAGGTGGTATTTAGAGTACTGGAGTATTTGAACAGACCTTTAATGAATAATGCAAATAAGAAAAGGCCAAATACAGAGCCTTGTGGAACTCCATAAGTCAATGGCCAAGATGAAGAGCATATCCCGCACGTTACTACACAACTTGATTGCCTAGTACAAAGGAGAAAGACAAATGATGCCAAAGTAACAATGCCCCAAGCTCAACAGAACCAAAAGCATTTTTTAAAACAAGCAATACCATAACAGTATCCTGCTTACGGGGCCAAATACAGAACCCCATATGATTGGGGCTTGATTATGTTCAAAATGAGTACAATTATCTTCAGTCATACAAGTAAACTAGTGTTACGATTGTGGCACCTTCTAACCCCGAGTGAAAGTTACACAGAAGGTTCTTTGAATCAATATACTCTAAAATTTACCAATTTAATAAAACCTCAAAAACCTTACTCATTGGCAGAATTGGTCCAATTTGAGATACGGGGCTGTTTGTCTTTGACAAAGGCACTACTAATGCATTTTTCAATAATCAGAAGTACCAGAAGATTTATGGCAAAATTAATAATGTGATACAAGTGATGAAAAATTAGTGGAGAGAGATTCTTTTTGACTGTAGTTCATTAATATTAAACAAATAACTACTTCCTAATTGACAAAATTTTGACTGATGATTTTGTAAAATATTGTTTTTATTTTTATAATAATTACACATTATAATATTCATTGTTAAGATTGTTCATTGCTATTCTATTATAGAGCTCCTACCTTCAACAGGCCTTACAAATGCAGATCCACGCATGGAAAGCGTTCTTATTATGTGGTCGTCGAGTAACGCTTGAATCTCATCAACACTGCCTAATATATTAATATTGGTATTTCTAAAAAATGCATAAAAAAAGTAGATCAATTATACAATAATAATACATTTAATTATTGAATATCTAGAAATTAGTTATCAGTAATTCTTTAACAACCTTATGAACACCCTCAATTCCTTGTTTTGCAAAGTCTTGTTAATGTTCTCAAATTGTTTCTAAATTATGTCAAAAAATACATAATAGTGTTTGTCTTGATGTTAAATAGCTTTAAATTATTAAAAACGATAATCATTGTAATTTGTAGTATTTCAGAAGTAGAAAAATTTAAAGCCCTTCAACTTAATAAATATCGAATACAGTGCTCTCTCAGTAATCTGAACTAATATAACTCTCTCTCACTCTCCGTCTTACTCTCACTCATTCACTTACTTACTCTCTCTTCATCTCTCACTCACTTACTTTCTCACTCTCTCTCTTTCTCATTCACTCATTCAGTTACTCGCTCTCTCTCATTCTCTCTCTCTCTCTCTCTCTCTCTCTCTCTCTCTCNTCTCTCCCCTTCCACTGCAAAAAATGTTTCATTTGTTTCTTTTAAAATTCTAACGTGTCGAATTTTTTCCAGTTTGAATTTCTGCAATATTCAGATTAGGAAGAAAGCACTGTAGTACATAGCTAGTATGTAGCTTACTTATATTTCAAAATGTTAAAACGCATATTCTCCCATTCTGCTTTCATTTTTTCAAAATTTTCCCTTAACGCTACTTCTCTCACAGCTCCAACACTGATTATTTCAAATCTGAAAAAAAAATGTATGTAATAATTTTTTTATTAAAAGAGTGAAAAGTTACTTACTAAGGCTGGTTTAGTAAGAAGAAAAGAGTGGTAAATTGTTAATACAGTAGTAAGTACAGAAAATATTTTCATTTGAATAAGTTATATTTTTTATTATTTATTATGATTTTAAATAAAAATTAACATAATTGATGGAAAGTTTAACTGTTTGTTGTTTCAGACAGTCTCAAATCAAAATTATTTTCAGACAAATCCAATCAGAAAAATAAATAGACAAAATTTTATGTTCAATGATATTGCAAAGGTAAATTAAGATTAAACGAATAAAATAAAATAATTATACTTACAAATTTAGCTGTCCTTCGAGATTGTAGTCGATGAAATTTTGCAAACAGGTGCCTGCATGTGGCATCATATCGAATCCTGTTATATTTGACATTTCTTGCCAATGCATCTCACCGAGACAAGGATTGCACATAATACCGATTAAAGTAAGATGGTGCTATAATTATAAGAAATTAATTTAATGAATGTATAGGGTGATTATATACAGGAGAAATACAAAAGATTGACTTACTTTCATTTCCTTAATCGACTCTAAGCCCAAATATGTCAATTTTAGAGGGCTAGGCCACACAGTAAAATCAGGATCATCCACTTGCCCTTTAAATCGTTTTGGATAATTATCAAGTATTTGCATCTTACATGTAGATTTGTACTGCTTATGAAACAGTGTGATTGTTCTGAAAAAAAAGTCCTAACTAATTATTGTGCAGAGAAAATTATCAACAAATATTCTTAGATATTTCATGCTTTTGTTTGACTAAAACAATAAATCTTTCTCTTTCTCAACAGGTACCTTTCAGTACCTATAGCATCTACAGGAAACATTAGTTTTTCTTGCTCAAGTAGAAAACTTAGAGATATTAAAGCAGAACATGCCCTCTGTTGGTGAAAACAGGCCTGTACAGGCTGATTTCTATTCCTGGGACACAGCCTGAAGGATACCCACAGGAGCCCTTGATAAACCTCAAGCTTAATGAAGAGATCTATATAATAATATATTGAGCTCTAGATAATAATAATATGTTTATATATTGCAAAATAAACAAACATTGGTCGAGGTGCATTGGCTCTTAAGAAGCCGACTCATTTTAACATCAACCTTAACTTACCATTCAGTATAATAACTCGGACAACCCATACTTTTATAAAATTTACTAATGATTTTGATTGTCCTGAACTGATATTTTAATTTGAGCCATTTAAAAACTTATTTTATTTAGCTATTCTTCAGTGGGCGTAGAACTGAAATGTAATTTTTTTAGTGAGAATGAGCAGACCAAGGTGATCAGGGATAATTAAGGTTCAGACAAATATTCATAGACCAATCATAAATATCGCAACTCGATGATTTTAAATCAGAGGCTAAATATGCCTTTAAAAATTACAAAAGATTTATAGAAAAGGGAAAAAATACAAAGTTCTTTTTTCGTTTTGTTTGTCTTTACACAATTATGATTCAAATATACAAACAAAACTATACAATAAATATAAATAAATAATATATATCTTGTAAAAGTTATTAAAAATGGTAAAACTAGCAAAAATCACAATTTTCCCCCTTTTACACCGGACAAAGTTAAAGTGCTTTTCATTGATAAACCTTTCAGGTTAATTTAAAAGTCTACCTTACGGATAATGCACATTTTTAAATTAGACATCTTTTCTCATTTAGTAAATTCACTATTGCTAAGATTCACTATTAACATAAAGGCAGCTCCAGACATGCGGGTATTCGCCGAATGCCGCCGAATATTCCGGAAATGCGGCCAATTCCCGAGATGCTCATCTTTGCATTGCCAAATAGCGTGCTTACATATACACACATGCCGGTTTTGTATAACTTCCTAGTTGTTGCGGAAACAGGGAATATGTATTTTCCAAATGCCGTTGGCGTGCTCAACTTACTACAAATCGTGATGGACAACAGTGACAACATTGCTGCAGCTGCGGTTACTATTTTGTGCAGTGGCAACAAACTAATTGAAAAAATATATTTAATTTTTTTTTTTTTTTTAATTACTGCTTTATTTATAAAACAATTTATGATTTGTAAGAGAAGCTTTCCAAATTATTGGTTCTGTTTCGTAAACATAGAGGAACTCCAAAACTGTTTCATTGGGTCCTAATACGAAAAAACAATTGTTATTGTGTAAATTAAAACATCTATACTAGTTAGCAATCATTTATTATGAAAAATAAATAGTATTAAATAGAAGTATATGCTTACTGTTGATTTTGATAACAGTTGACAATAGGTTAAAGGTTTGTACAGTTATAGTTGATTCATACTATACTCGAATAGCCGAGCGTCCATCCACACTAGTCGGGATTCGGCGAAAATTTGTGCGGCATTCCACGAATATCGCATGTGTCTGGAGCCGCCTTAAGACATGCAAAAAGTATTGGATGCCCTCTCAATAGCCAAGGTAACATCTTACAAATGAAACGTTTACATCATTACTAAGAGCTATATCTGTTGTGTCAGTGTTTAGAAGGATTTTTTGAACTAAGTAAAACTAGTCTTCTGACCAAAAGCAACAACTTTAGAGTAAGAATCAGTTTGGTTTCCTCCAAGATAATTCTACAGTACTTGCGACAAAAATGAAATTCATGATGCTTTTGAAAAAGGCGAATATGCAGTTGAAACATTCTTAGATCTACAGATTTTGACAGCATATCCCATGAGATTGTGACTCAAAAATTAAAATTCTACGAAATTGATAATAAAACTTGTTCATTAATTACTACCAATTTTTCAGGTAGTATGCAATGGTTATTAAGTTATGGGCCATTTGAAAATTGGTGTTCGTAAGGGTCAATTTTAGAACCACTCCTGTTTCTGATATATGATAACAACCTGGATTGTTGCATTGCCATGAACCTTACACAGCTCTTTGCAATATAATGTTAAATTACATGTCTTTGAACAAATTATTAGAAGTAAGAACAAATAAAATAAATGCTAAAATTTTAGGAAAGCATATAGTTGCTTTTTTTTTAAACAAGTTTCTTAGATGTGGATAATATTAAAAAAAATGTTTTTTTTCTCATTCTTCATAACCTCTTTTTACAGTCCTGGGCAATGAAGGGACTCAGTATATCATCAAAGAAATTTTAAATCATTCATTAAAAATTTAATTATATCTATTTGTAGACTTCTTTAAGATTGTTTTGCTTTAAAATAGGTTGAAAATTTGGTAAATAATACTTAAATTTTTCATTCAGACCATACTGAGATCTAGATTATTTGTGTTTATAAATTACTTATATTTTTTTTCAGTACAAATTATTTTTGTTTTCCTACTTTAACTAGAGAACTTACTTTAAGAACTCTTCAATGGTATTTTCAACTTCTTCAAGTACTAATTTGTCAAACGGCCCTCTTAACCATTTTTTACGGTATCTCATCCATTTATTTAGCATTAATACTAGTCTTGTAAATGGAAAAATAATAGACTGAAAATTGAAATAATTATTATTGTCATTTGTCATTTTTAAACTTTCTTTCACTTACTTTAAGCTCATCCAATTCAGGGTAAGTTGAAGGCGGTATTTGAAATAATGACTCTTCCTTGTTGATAAAAGCAACTCTTTCATCAAACGCTTCCATCAATCTGACATTTTTTGTTAAATACTGAAAATTATTACGTTATATTACAGCTGTAACATGTTTACTACCAAATGAGTTATTGTACTGTTAATATATATATATATATATATATATATATATATATATTTTTNTTTGATAACTTTTACTCATCGTTCATGAGTATTACTACCAAGATTTTCATTATTTACAATAATAATAGTTTAGTAAATTCATATATAAGATATTTCAATCTGCAATTGTATTCAATATGCAGTTGTCCTTCTTTAGAGGATTCAAGTGAGTTCAACCAAAATTATAGGGAATTTAGCTCAAGATTAATTTTGATAGCAAATTATCTGTGGAATTTCAAATATATGTTCGCGCATTATATAAAGCAAGAAATATTCTGAAATCATCTAGCTATTTTTAGATGTCGCGAACATGTGGTTGTTTTGAGTTTGTTAATGTACTGTCAGGCATTTAGGCTGCAACCAATCCTTTGCAACCATTATTTTGTATCTGTATCCATCCATCCACATTCAAAGATATATGTCTGATTGAGCTAAGAATTCACAGGTAAGTTGATTGCCCTTTTGAAATACACTGGACGAGTTCGACAGGCAAATTGACAATACCAGCAGACAACTTCACATACACTTTTAAATTAACACTACACCATAAATAATAAAAATACAATCCACTAAATTGCCAGCATGTAGAAAGGTTTTGCCCCCCCCCCTTAACAAAAGCTACTGTATTGCAGGGCAGTGTTTTGGGTCCACTGCTGCACTTTTTAAACACAAGTGAAATCTGAGTAAAAGCCATATCTTTGCTGAAAATAGTGTTGACAAGATAACTGAACAAAAAGCTACTGAAATTTTCCAAGAAGCGTTCAATAAAATCAATTTTTGGACAAATTGAATGAAAGGAAATCAAATTTTTCTTAACCAATTAAAGTAGGTTTCTGAATTTTTTTAGTGGAAATTTGTCATCAGAATCAAAAGCTCTCTAACACTGTTTAACCTAGAAGAGAGAAAATGTTTAATTAACTAATACCTGAGAGTAATAAAATATTTTATCAAGTGTATCAAAGTTATTCAGCCCTTCCAGATATTCACTTCCATACTGTTCAAGCGCATGGTTCAATTCCTCTGTCATTCGATGTAGGCGGCTTTCCATAGCAAATCTTGATGTTTCAAACAGCTAATAGCAAAATAATTTAATTTACACTTTTGCCTTTCAAATTTACATTAAAAATAATTCTTCGTTACAATTCCATAGCACTTACGTGTGTGAATTTTTTAAAATGTCTTGGCATGGTATTGTAGATTGTTACAGTTTTAGAGATCAGTTCTATATGGTTTGGAGTCAAAATCAATAAATCGCTGAGCCTTGCAACGTTCACCATTGACAAAACGCATTTAAGCCTCAATCGCTCCATCAATATTGTCCTGCAATAGCACATGTACTTTCCTAATGCCATGAGCTCTTCAGTTGTTTTGGGAATTCTGACACATCTTTCCTTGATATCATTAAACATTTTTTGCAACCTAAAATATAAATAAAGTGGTAAAAAGATATAGCAAAGTGGCTGGTAAGATAGTAAAAAGGTATAATAAAGGCGTAATAAAGGTTTGTTGGATTCTTCATCCAACATGTGAGATTTTTAGATTGAAATGTATATTAAAGAACTTTCATTGCCTAATATTTATTTTAAAACCATCTTTATTATAGTTGAATCATTATTCAATTGTGATAATTGAAATAATTTAAATAATAAATTTAAAATAAATAATTTAAAAAAATCCCAAGGGGTGTCAGTGGCCACTGTGGCTACAGTGTTGACATGGTGCTCATCACTGTAAGGTAAAGGTCCAGCGTTTGAATCCAGAGGCCCTGAATTCAAACCCGACATACAATTTTCATTTATTTATCATACCGGTACCTCAGTTCATATAATCTTGCAGTTGAAATGCCTTGTAAAAAAACAAATCCTAAATGAAATAAACCTACTTGAAATTTTCTTCTATGTGCATAAGTATTAACTCTGTAGTGATATCATGTAACTGTGTAGCTATAACTGCTTCCAAAGATGCTTTCAAATATGTTTGATTGACCCTAAAAAATAATGCAAAATTAATCAATTGTTGAGAATTTACAAAAAATGTACCTTGTGATCCCAATATATTCAAAGTCACTCAGGTGCCTGATTTTTTTTCTTTTCTCTAAATTTTCATATATCATTTCAAATAATAAATCCATATCACCAAATGTATAAACCCCTCGATAGAATCGATGCGGGGTTATATCGGAAATTGCCATTGCTAAAAAATGATTTCTTTTTGTTAGTGTGCAAACTTAATGTAGTAATAAGTTCAAACATCAAGGTTTGTTAATTAATAAATAATTTTTACCTAATTTCCTATAAAATGAAAGAGTTGGTTCAATAATATTTCTCATGTTTTTTACAACAAGCTTCTGATAATTACGGATAGTTGCGTCTAAAAATGTATTCCTCATTGATATCTTCTCAGTTCCTTCAATTAAGTAGTACTGAGGATGAATAAATCCTTTGCCAATCATTGCAAACTGTGCATTAAAAAAAAATTTATAGAAAGAACTTTGTGTTCATTGAATATTTTCTTTAAACGATTGTATATTCAGACAAATTTTATGGTGAGTCAGTGAACTCATGATGAACCAGCACTTCATCACTTACTGAGCCTGTGAGTTCCTCACTGAAGATGGCACAAAGCTAGAACATGTTTGAGTGAAGTCAAAACTCACAAACCCAGTAAGGAAGAAAATGCCAGTTTAACATATTTACACTGCTAAAAAAAAAGTTTTACATTTTGATAATTTGATTTCTTTTTTAATTTGGCAATATTTTGGCCATATTTTTTGTTTGTTTTACTATTTTAAGAATGAACTCTAAGATGGCCAGCCTGTATCTTTTATTTTAACCCTAATAAGAACTTTTGGGATGAGCTCGGATGTTGGGTAAAATGAAGAAATAACCCCCCTACAACTTTAGCTGAGCTGAAGATATGTTAGTTGAGATTTGAGATGAAATTTCTCAAGTCATGGTTAAAGGCTTAATTATGAGCATAGAGAGGCTAGAGATTATAGCATGTAATAAGAGCAAGAGGGGGGTAATTAACCTTATTAACAAAAGAAGTTTGTTTTATAATGTTTTATGGTCTAACACAAAAGATTTTTTCTTTTTTCAATTAAATTTTTTGTTTTCAAGAGATATTTTTATTTTCACACTATCCAAATCTTTTCATAAATAAAAAAGTAAGTAAAGGAATTCCTGTAGTACAGGAGGGCTTAACGTCTAACTACCCGTTGGGTGGCATAGATAAGGGGGTCAAACTTTACAACACTTCATGCTATTCTCATTTAAAAACTATGGGCTGTGCTGGGGTTCATTCCCAGAACCACTAGTCTGGCGCAAATACATGTTGCATACCCTAACCACTCGGCCACTGCAGTCCACACTTTTAATAAATACCTGAACCATAAAAAATATAGATGTTAATATTACAGAAAAAAATACATGAAAAAATCAAAATTTCAAATTGCGCCACTTTTTTTTGCGGAGCAGTGCAGATAAATATTGTTGCACATAACAAAAATTCATAGATTTGCCTTGAAATATAAAATTAATAATTATAAAAGTTAAAAAAAATCCTTGACTACTTACTTGCCTAATGCATGCAGCATAGTACCTATATAACTTTTTAAATGATGGTGTCATAACAATTCTTCTATTGTTATATGAAGCAAACATGTGAATCATAGGTGTTCTGCAAGGATCAATAAACTTCTCAACAGCGTCTTTAATATTTTTTGTCACATACTCAAGGATCTGGGAATATAAAACATGCTTATAGAATCAGTAGTAATATAATACACAAGGAATGGAAATAAATACAGTAGAATTTAAAGAAAAAAATCAGAAGGGGAAAAAACACTTTGAAATTTGAAAAATGAATTAACATATTGACTGTGTAAGACACAACTACGTGTCATGCCAACTGTCCTTCTGACTGTGGTGTATGCACAGTTTGCATCTTCCTGTTCATACTTTTAAACTTTCTACTTCACCCGCTACACAATTCCATTTGAAATTTCTATGGCTGCCTCAAAAAGGGCAAACGAATCAATCATTGGCAATGGTCGTTTATTTTTTACTAACCGGAAGTGATTTTGTATTTTCTGTGAAAAACCACATAATTTGCCTTTCCGGGTTATTTTAATTATTATTTACTCCAGTTGTATGATTATGGAAAATAAAGGAAAAATTCTTTTGAAATTTTTTGTAGGTTGAGATGGGGAGTTGGTGTCTGAATGGATCGAAGTCCCGATAGCTCAAGTGGTTAGAGCAGCGGCGTATTGAGCCGAAGGTCGTGGGTTCGAATCCCACTCTTGACACTAACTTTTTCACTTCAACCAAAACCTTACATAAAAAGATTAATTAATTAAAAAATGTAATTTGGTCAATAGACTACTAAATATAATGGATTCTTTTGAAAGTAAATATTATTTAACTATACACTCAAATTACTTGTGTGCTGTGGGGGATGTTTTCTGATAATTTATACTAGCCATTTTATCTGATAAATTGGGTTACGCCATGGGCAACCAAAATGGCCGAGGATGCAGTCAACATATGAATCAAGTCTAAAAACATTTTGAAGTCTTACCTGGCCTTTTATAAATTGATTTAGCAGTTCCGAAAAAACACCCAACTTTTCATATGGTATTGGATGTATATGTGAATCTGATTTCAACCAACTTATTACACGTTGATACCATGATCCTAGGTCATAATAATTGAACAGCCTTATTTCACTGAGCATTTTCTTCCCTATATGTTTTATCGTATAAAATCTTTTTGTTCTGCAAAAAGTATAAAAATTGTAATAAAGCATAATTAAAAATTACTGCTTCTATGTCATATTATAAAGCTTACCTAAATATGCCTACATCAAAATATAGTACAGGCAATTCATCAAATAGAGTTGCTCTAATGTATAGGAAAACTGGGTGATAAAACATTACATTTTCTTCAACATCATGCAGCGGTTCGATGGTTTCGTGATTAAACTTTTTGCCATCACCACTAAAATACATAAACACATTTTATGTAATATTCATTGCAATTGTTTGTAAACAAAAAAAATGTTATTAATGCTGAATGTTGAGGTTTTTGATGAACGCTCCTTTGGACCCCCCCCCCAGATATTTTGGTCAAAAATGTATTAAATGTGAATCTATAAGAGCCTGGTAGTTTTCATTCATCAGAAACCTTGATAAAAATCAAAGAAAAAATGGTATTAATTTGCTCATTTAGTTCATCACATATACAATATATACAATTTGAAAATATAACTAACTAGAAAGACTTTCCTTATGGTCTACGAATGCCTGTGGGTTAAGGAAACTATAAGACTTTTCGAATAAGATTTGATTCTTAATTAGAAATAGTAAGAATAATCTCCAGAAATTTTATTATATTAAATCCAAAAGGAGTTGCTAGAATTGTTGTGCTGGTAAATTAAGTTAGTTTTTTTATTTATTATTTTGGTCTTGCCAGTCAGGATTCCATCCATCCACCATGCAGTAATGAAACACAAAACACAACTGATCATTATTTATAATGTGGCTTAAAGTTTAATGTTTTTATATATAGCCTATACATATTAGTACATATTACAAATGTGATCACAATATGTATTTTTCGCATGGTCACAGCATTAAAACTAATGCCATAGCTGCATCCAGATAACACATGCCGTCAGAAACCAGCCAATACTGACACTTAGTGTGAGGAATTAAGGGGCAAGAGAAGTCTCGAAACCAATTAAGGTAGGAAGGGAATGTGTTGATGGTCAAGACAGATTTCAGTCCTAGAAGTCTTCATAGTTGTCCAAGTCTTCTGTCAAGTTGTTGTCTTTAAATCTTGTGTGGGGATTCCATATCAGTCTGCCCTTCTAGGTATAGTCTTAAGTCTTTGACTTGACTTGAAATCAGTATCTTTTTGTTGTTAATATATTGTGGAGGGCAAGATTTTATTTTCAATGTAAGTGTCACTCAGTACATTTTTCTTCATTCAGTCTTATCCTTCACTTTTTGCACCAGTCATCGAAAAGCTAAAGGTGTTCTTGGCTATTGGAAGTAGCTTCGATAGGATTCACGCTAGAGGACAATATTTCCGTCTCTGCAGGTGGTGATGATGGAATTGGAGTGTATAGGTCAGTATAGATGAGATACAGGATGGGACCAAGAAAACTCCTTCGTGGGATGCCGGCTTGTATCGGTTAACCTCACTCAGTAGTGGTTGGTTAGGTTAAAGTTAAAGTTTAATTTTAAAGTTATTACAATTAGCTAAATATATTTTAATGATAAGCTAACATTTTCTTATTAGAATCAGAATAAATATAATTAACTTACTCCTGTTTTAATGGTTTGAATGGAAAATAAGTTTCAGTTCTTTCATGTTGAATGCTACCATATGTAGACACCTTTTGTGTCGATCTTTTGAACAAGGCATCAATGTCTGTCTGCATTTCTTCAAGAAAATCTTGAAATCTAATAGCAATCTCTGCGTTTAATGACTAAAAAACAAATACTTAGCAATGATATAGTATTCAATAAATGCTATTTGTGAATATTATAAAGAAATTCAATAGAACAAAAATCAAGCATAAATTATAAGTAGTTGATTTACAGTTAATCAAATCCAACAAACCTTCAGGCCCCGATCAAACCAAGGTGCGTGATAAAGAGCTGGTCGGCGATTCCTACTCAGCCTGTCTAGTGCAGTAACAAAAAATACTTCTTTCTTTCCAATAAAGGCATTGTGTAAAAATTTATTTACAGTAGAAGAAGGCGCTATCATTAATGCTTTCTCGCATCTAAAACATAAGATGTAAGCTTTAATCATTTGAAATAATTATGAATTTAGGTAGAAAGATGTATTTTTAAAACAGTTTATTTTAGAGGTCAAGTTTTCAAAATGCCAAAAGTCCTTTTACCCCCCTCTGTTTTTTGCAAACAAATTTAATTTACATTTTAGTAGAAGGCAAAAATCGTTTGAGTACTTACAAATGATGGTGAACTTGATTTTTGTGCAATTCATCTTTGTTTATTTTAAATAGCTGTTGCTCAAATACTTTCACACGAAAAATGTCAATGTTCACATTAGTTTCAAATTCTAATAGTTTAATAGGCTCTGGGTAGAAAAATTCAATCTTTTGTCTGTCATCTGGAAACTGTTTCATTATATTGCTGAACAGTTCATGAGGTATTTCATTTGAATCCCTGCGTCGTCTGTGTTCACATAGTGTACTCGAAATGCTGTCAGAACTTCTACTTCCAGGGGTCAGTGGTAATGAGACATCGGAGTAAACTTTGAGATGTAAATGTTCTATGTCTTGATCATAGTATTCTGAAGGATCATGGGGAGCGAATAAATCAAGTGGGATTAGTCCTTGTCTCACCGGTATCAATTTAGGCACAACACTTTTCTGTAAGGAAATATTTTCTGTTCTGCAAATGTTTGATACATTGTAACACGTTAATGCTCGTGATGTTAATTTTTCTGGCATTTTTTCATCCTTTTCTTTACCATCTTTTGAAGGATGCAACTTGCTTGATAATTTAGTCACAACTTGTTCAATTGATTTCATATTGTTGACTGCATCTATTTTCTGAGTACCTTGTGTACCTGCTAACTGCTCTGTTTGAACAGCGAGTTCCACTTTGGGATCAGGAGTTGCAGGATGGGTTATGGAAGGAGTTACGGTGTAACTTTTATTAATAAATTGTACACTCTCATGCTTATTGCTTCTTATTATCGAATCGTCTTTGGGGGTGAGAATTATTTTAGTTACACCAATAGATGGAAACAGTTTGTTTGGGGAATTCTTCCGACAGCCTTTTCTTCTCGTTATCCATTTTTGTCTACCGATGTTTTTGTTATTTTCAAATGGATGAACATTTCTTTCTGAAATATTGTTTAAATGTCATTGAAAAGTTTTATTAGGCTCCAACAAACTACAAAGTAATTATTTGAAATAAAAAATACAATTGTTACAGCTAATATAATAAATGGCACGGATAAGAAGAAAACACTCATTCTTTTCAACAATTTATAAAACTTCCTGAGCTCACAACTGCAGACTAAGTGTTCTATATTTATTTTCACAAACATGCCCTGTCATGAGAAACCAGACTTCAGCACATATCCTTTGTTAATGTGAAGCACAGATACGGTAGAGATCCAGTAAAGTAATTCTCACACCAAGATAAGTGCAAGAAGAGGCTCCGAGGAACGTACTTAGTTCAATTTTTGTGAAAAGATAGTTCCTTCTCACAGTAAGTTGTTTTACAACAATCCGGATTTCGAGCACTTAATGCATCATCAGGTTGAAGAAGTTCTACAGCCATGTCTCTCGATATGAATTGCAAAAGTGAACCCACCGATATGCCCGCCAGTTCCAATGAGAAGCTGGTTTTTTAATGGCACCCAATTTGAACGTGTGAAAAGCAGGAATTATAACACAAGTAAATATTATAATAGTATACCAATTATAAATTAGTGATTAAAAGTAAGAGTAAAAATTAGAATAATACCTTAATATTATTAAATTATTATAAAAATAATAACAATTAAAATAATTCATTTAATTATTTGGATGTTTAACATTATTTGTGTACGTATTTAAAATGGGAGGTAGATCAAAATCTATTTATTATTAATGCATTTATCTCCACGTTCAATTTTACATTTTTAATTTCAATTTCTCAAACCAATCTAGTTCTCTCCCTTTGTTGAAACTATGTAACACTGTTGTATTTAAATTTGAATTGAAATTATGTATTGTTTGGATTGGAAACAAAAAATTGGATACACTACATAGACGATATTTTATGCATATGGTCGAGAACATACAACAAAGAATTCCTCCAACTAATTAATTCTCTACACCGTAATATAAATTTTACATTGGAAATGAACAAAGATGGTTGTTTGAACTTTTTAGACCTAAAATTGTCCATAATAAACAACCTAATAGAAATAGACGTATATAGAAAACCCACAACTACAGACACTATGATATCCAGCGGATTCTTCCCACCCATGGTTCCAAAAGGCTGCTGGTTTCATTTGGCTCATAGACCGTATGTTAAAACTTCCATTAACACCTGCTAACTATAAAAAAGAATAAAAAACAATTAAAACCTTAGCAAAAAACAATGGGTATCTAGAAATATTTATTGATAGGTTGCTAGTTAAAAGAATAAAAAAATTGACTTTAAAAGAATCAACAATAGGACTCAGCCACCCCACCATAAATGAATCATTAGGTTTCTCTTGTTTGCCATACATTGGTGAATTACCAGAAAAAGTTAGTAAAAATTTTTAAACAAGAAGGTTTTATAATAGCTTTTAGAAGTATGGGTTCACTTAAAAACATCCTCTCATCACAACCTAAAGACAACTTGGCAAAAAGCGGGGTTTACCAACTTAATTGTAATGATTGCGACATTAAATATATAGGACAAAGCGGTAGAGAAATAAAAACAAGAGTAAAAGAACATTTGCCTAAATCGAGCAAATTTTCGGAATTTAAGGACCATCTAAAAGAAGCAAAACATAATTTCAAATTTAAATACAACAGTGTTACATAGTTTCAACAAAGGGAGAGAACTAGATTGGTTTGAGAAATTTGANGAGAGAGAGAGAGAGAGAGAGAGAGAGAGAGAGAGAGAGAAAGAGAGAGAGGGAGATGGAGAGGGGGCGAAAGAGAAAGAGTGGGGAGAGGGAGCGAGAAAGAGAGGGTAGAGGGACAGGGAGAGAGAGAGTGAGAGAGAGAGACACGAAATGAACAGGAACAGTTTAAGCAATACGAATATTTGGGAATTTCTTTTGTTCAGTGGATCTATCACTACCATTCTCTATTAAAAAATTAAATTAAGATCAGTCTAATTTTTTCTTCTGCTAAGTATGAATACTGCCTAAAAAGAAGTGAAAAAGAGGAAGAAATAATGAAGAAAATGTTAAATACATTTTACAACATCCTGATTTTTAAAGAAAAATGGACAGTGTATATATATTCTAATAGGTTTAATGTTTTGTGTTTGCAATAATAATAAAAGTTATGTTGAAATTGTTCGTTTTATACATAGTATGTATTTTTTTAACACCCTCTGTAATCCAAAATTTTAAGTAATCTAAATACACCCCTGCAACAATTAGTTCGAATTACTGAGAGAGCTCTGTTTAAAAAAATGAGTTGTTATCACCCACTACAATCTAGAATACAGTAGACTCTTGTTATCTGCAGGGGATACATACCAAGTATCACCGCAGATAATAGAAAACGCCTTAAATTTCAGACTTTGAAGCATTTTATTCAATCTCCATGTTCCCATTCTCTCCTCATTCTCACTCTACTCTAGAACTCAACTAGGAGGCAAACACGGATGAGTGAAAGCAGAGATAATAAAGAGTCTACTGTATGTTGTTAATTTAAGGCATGCATCTTTGCAAAAATAGTAAAAAATTGGTAAGAAATAAACAAATTTCATAAAACTAGTCACAACGTTGTCTATAATTTTTACTTTCTACACCTTTACAATTTTAAAAATTCTTACCCATCAAACATCATAATTTGATTGAAAGCATTGATGATTTATTTTTTCATGTTTAGTCAAAATTCTGTAAGGCTGCTTGTTAATTTTTCAATGGCTTTATTTACTATTGTCTTGTGTCTTTTAAGTTTATTAAAATACCACTTAATTTGTAGTCTATAATATTTTAAATATACTACCTTTGTCACATTCAATTCCTGGATGGTTGTTTGAATTTGGTAAGCATACTTCTTTGTAATAGGCCTTTTTATATTTTTTCTTTGATGTTTTAGTCATTATCAGTGCTCTGAAAAAAAAAAAATTTTTTTTTCATTAACACATTTTACATATTTATAGTACTTTCTTGACCCTACCATCTCTTTTAAAGAAGTAAGGCTTTGAAGAAAACTCATTTATTTTTTTATTTTTTTATTTATTTATATATTTATTTTTTATTTTTTTATTTACAGATCGAAATCCACTATAAAAAAAGACATTTTACAATAACAAAAAATATAAATGATATATGTAAAAATACAAATAATATATATAAAAAGAAT